AATTATCTCTTTTTAAGCTATACCGCGGCCAGGTATAAAAATTTCCTTAACCTGACTGTTAATCTGATAGAAGGTATAAATTTTCCTATTAACCTGACCTGACCTGGCCGTTTGCCACTCTAACAGGAGTAAACTAATTTCTAGAAATAATATTTTAGATTTATAGTAGATCACAATTTCTTCTAAAATCTAATAAAATAGTCATAAGGTACTTTGTATTCCACGGGAATAATTAATTTAAAAAAATAGATTAGGTCCGTCCTACTCAAAACACGGGCACGTCTCTATTCTGGATCATCTAGATTATTAATACTAGTTAATGTTACTTTAGTATATCCATACTTCCTCCTCTTAGCATCTATCGCGCTAGGGCAGAAAGCCTAGTCAATTCCGATTTTTATAGTCAATAGAAGGATTAAGAATAATGTATAGATAATAAATCATTTCAAATACCTAGGTAAACGTATCCGAACACGATACACTGCGGCTCTTGTTTATTGCCCGGGCAAGATGGGATTTACTCTCTTCCGACTAGGAGAGACGGATGTTTGCGCGCTCGTTATACACAATGGATTAACGCCCAGCGGCTCAGCCGAAAGGGCAACTATCACTGATCTATCAACACAGGTTCTAATGTACATCTGCCGTATCTCTTTCGAGCCCATACATAGATCCTTTCAGTATATGGGGTATAAAGCTGAACGTGGGCAAGACTGATAACCAGTGTCTGACCGGTCCTAGTCGGTCAGATGCAACTTACTTAAACAACCTATTCCGTAGCTATCATTGAAATAGAGCAAAATGTAGAGGGGCGGCCACATTGCCAGACGCTCGTAATTCGCTTGAGAGAGGCACATCTTATTATTTTGCAACATCTAGCCCGGTCAAACGACAAGTGTGCGCCTGTCTTGTTAATCTGTAACATACGGGTTCATACAAGGTGTAGATGTTTCTTACAAGACGGAAAGTGTCTAGTGCCTGTGGCGCAGCGTATCGAAACAGTCCAGGGGCCACCCTTGTAATAGTATCACAAGAGTCAACAACATCGTCTGATGAAGGCGTACTACTTTGCGTATCCCGTACTGTCAGAATCATCCAGAGGCTTACTAGGATGCAAGGCTAATTTAACGTTCCAATTCGATATACAAGCTGCTTCTTCGTCGCATTTCTATCTGTGTGAAACGTCAGCTCAATCCGGAAGTCTTCAGATCTGCAAATAATACCGTGATAAACGTAGCCGCCCATGTACCATACAAGACACACATCGTGCTGTTAATCCTACCATCGAGAGTATTTCTCCATCTGTTTAGGTTTGCGAGCCCTGGAAGTAGATCCTAATCATGGGGCCTGTAACCTGGCCCCTACTGAGTAGGAGTTCTGTTTCTTCATAGTATGCATAGAGTGGGTCGAAGGTTTCTATACAATGGACTTTGATATCCGAAGGTTTCCTTCGAACTTGTTAGTTGTCCATAGCCCTTGTTTCGATATGTACTCGTCCGGTAAGGTCGTACCCTTAATAGCTAACTCGTCTTCCCAAAAATATTCCGTCGAGCAGCTTAACTCGAACTGCGACGGCGCACGGAGTATCCGCATCTTCTCTACATCAAGGGAGTATCTGTCAAAGTGCGCGTGTCTGTAATACTGCGTATTCTACCGCTTAACCTGGAAGGTTGCAAGGACTTAGATTCCTACAAATCTATGGAATTTCTCTATTGGGCTGACGTGCAACAATAGCTTAAATTCTTGGCAAGGAAGTCACATGCCTCGGAAAGAACAAATCGGCGTACTCATCCAGATTGAAATCCACGGATAGGGGAATAGTTCGCTGAGGGTTAGTGGGGAGGTCTCAGTGATACTGGCGATTTGTAGGTCGAGGTGACCATCAGTTACCAGAGAGTGAATTCAAGGTTCACCGATAGAGGGTCAGTGTAGCTGCAAAACTGGGTTCCACTAACTTCTGAATCTGTTGGCCAGACACATGTCCCATGTTTGGTCCCAGTCTTCGTGCCTGGACCAATAACACTGATTGAACTGGATACCATGTCTGCACATCCGATCAAGCCTTCCAACCATCGACGCTGGGTCGCTTTGGCCTAGATGCACTCTGAGCTGATAGCACATGGTATGGTCTGCAATATGCAGCATACCATAGAGCCTTCTGTGACCCCTCGCATTTGTAAGTTGCGCGAACCAGGAACCTGTCGCCCACGCGTGATGATGGGAGTCCACCACTCGCTGGCGCTTCTCTGTTCGCTGTTTCGTCTTCGGTGGGCTTAGCAGGAGTACATTAGCAGTATTAGCCGTTGCTGCCTTGAGTCTGAACGAGATGCTGACTATTCGCATCTTCATATTGAGCACAATGTTATCCTCTGTCTAATTCTCTGTAGAGTTCTGATCAGCGCCGACGGTTAGGATGGATTCGACATGCACCACGTTAGGACTCACTATTAGTCGCTTCCGCAGGGGTAGAAAGTGATGCTTACCTTTCCATCTTTCAAGCGCTGTTCAGCCTCTGCTTCTAGCCCCGGTGAGGACTACGCGCCAACTTTCTGAAGTGCTCTGGTAGGTCTTGTCGAGAAGGACTCCTGGAGCAGTACCACATGTGCCGGAATATCAGGTATATTTTGTAGCCTGCGGATAAGGGAACGGCTACGAAGGCGGCCCAGGCAGATATGCCACCATTGGTCTCGACGAGACTCGTAGTTCGCCTGGGGTGGAGTGATACAACCGAGGTTTGCTGGGGAAAGCCTAAAGAGTGCATATTGCCATTAAACGCAACAGGCCAGCGCATGAATGCCGCCAATCGATATAATGACGACACAAGAGTCCATACGCATCTTTTAAGTATCTAGGACACAACACTCGATTTCAGAGTCCCGAATATGCCAGACGTACCACTCTCGCGTCGGAATTCCATGATAATAAGCAAAGCTAAGAAGAGGAAAATTCACCGCGTCAACACTGGTTGCACTTACTCAGAGTAACAGGCAGACAGGGCGCGTCCAAAACAAAGGTCCCAATATGGTACCAGGAGGGTCCGCCACGAATTTCAATGTACTGTACTGTAGGCATTTTCTTGGCTTCTTCGACAGTGCGACAGATGAAGGAGTTTGAAGTGATCGAACTCCCTTCGCTTCAGAGTGACTAGCCGAGATTGCCAGAAGGGGGAGCCCTTTGCGAGTCTAAATAGTCTCAAAATATAGTTGCTTTATTCCATGATGTTAGTTAACAAATGCAGCCAGTGAGTCTTTAAAGAGTGTTCTCCGGGGACCCGCAAGGATCCTCAGAGCCAGTATGAGCTTCCTAAGATCTACAACCCTTCTCTACTACCATGGGTTAACTATGATATCACATCATCACTTCCGTGAGAACTTTGGCTTACGTCTACTTGCACGTACTGCGTGTCGACCATCACGCCAGCTATACCTACATGTTGCTCTGACTTTGTCCTGTGCTTGAGCCAAGGCTTCGGACAGCAGAGAATGATGCTTCTTGTAGTGTTTACGCATATCAGAATTAATCTGACATCCCTCTGTATTGTATAGATCAAACCGTCCAGGCTAGGTTTGACACAGCTAATCAACGCCGCGTCCTAATTTTCGAACCGAATCTTTTTACTTGATTATATTGATCTTCAGTACTACGTGTTTTGATACTGTAGGAACACATTGGCCATGTCCTTCTACCCAGTAGTTCGCTCAAAACCAAGAGCCAGAGATGTCTTAATTGGCTTGCGCAGTTGGCCGCTCTGAGGATCTCTTGACTTGAGATGACCGGAGTTCCTCACATGAACTTCTGGGCTTTGTGTAGTCTATCGCCAGAGGAAATCCACCAAAGCATTTGCCATGCTGGTGCAGCGTGGTAATCACATCATTTTCCTACTGGGGAAAGAGACCTGGTGGTAGTGTTGGGCTTTAGGGGAGCGTGGCGGGAAAGAGTGGACTGCGAGTGGAGAAGCGGGCAAGGGGGTGATTATTAGTTGGGGTGCAGTTTATTGAGGTTACTCGCTCAGGGCACTCGGTCTCCCGCTCACCCCATGCTCAGTGATCGCCTCAGGCTGCTCAGGGCGTGCTCAGATCTACCCAGTGAGCAAAAACCGGCGAAGGGTGAGCACTAAAACGGAAAGAGTAGGCCATCGACCGTCCTAGAAAATCTTGTAGGTATGCCTGCAAAGATTCTGTCCATGGTTTCTGTAATAGTCTATATATAAATTTCCGTTTTCATGGCAACAACTATCCGAAAATCAGAGATTTAATCCAATCCACCCCAAGTACTCCGTATATTCCCACAAACCTCCTAGCGACAGCCCCCCCCCACCCCTCACAGGGATGATATTTTCACTCAACCCAACCCAACAACCATCCTCTACCTCCCCCTGAAACGACATCACTTCCCCTCATCATTGTTCCAAGCATGACTAGTAACGTAACAACTTGTAAATCTTACCCGCCAAACATCCTAGGCTCTATCCGAATGCCCCGACAGGGCTGACGGGGCGAGGACCCGCCCGGGACATAGGGCTTAGTGTATCCATCCGTACGGGGTTATTCTGCCGAGCACCCGCGATGCCGGTTAGCCGGACAGCCAGCCAGCCAGCCAGATCGTAAATGCCTCAGTCTCACAGAAGATGGTACCGTGTGCCTTGGTAGATAGAGTTTCGTAGAGAGGTACAGAGTCGGCATGTTATTTTTAGTCAATTTTCTTGATTGGTGTTTCTGGAGAGGAAATACATGTAAATCCCATGTTTCCGATCAAAGGATGGTGGGTTCGTATTGCTTGCGACCGGACGTCTGATACGCGACCCTAGTTAAGTACCTAGATAATTGTGGAGGGGCTGATAATTCCGCGGGATTGTGTATGATTCACGGGATGCAGGATGGGGGTTGTATCGGCATACTTTCCACTACTGCAAGGATCGTACTTTTGTGATGAGTGATTAGATATGTCGTTTATATTAATTTAATCGATCTAGCTTAGCCTACCGCATCCCTGAACATGAGTTTCTGATTAGAAGTTATCGCCCATTTTTTTTCGATTGGCAAAGAAATGAACTGAGTATCGCTGCACCCCCTCCTTTCCCCTAGTAGTGAGTGCATATCGTACTTCTCCGTCCTACTTCAAAGCCCGTCAACATCAAACCTTCCCCCAAACCACAAAGAATATTTACGCCATATAAGGCGGCAGCACACACCCCCCCGACAAATCCTCATCGTCCATACTAGCACCCAAGTATACCCGTCCCTCCTCACACGACGAAACACCCCCCTGTCCCCGATCATACGACACATGCACCGGCACCTGAAGCTGGAAGCTCACATCCCGAGCCCCATCCACATCAATCGATATCAACAGACTATACCGTCGCGAGACATACGGATGGGTGAATGTCGGAGGAACATAGTCGTCGTTATCGAAAGTGAATATCAGATGGGCGGTTGATGCCCATATCACTGGTTGGTCTTGGTCTGTATATATTCACAGATTAGCGTCCCTGGTATTTGATGTGTGGGGAAAAGGGGGAGGGGGGCTTACTGAGTTGATGAGTATTCTCCCGTTCCCACGATGCAAGTCTTAATTTTCGAGTTTGAGTGGATCCGATTTTGATTGTATTTCCGAGGAGACGAAAGTTGTGAAGCTTGTTTGCTTCGAGTTGGATGGGGACGCGGGGTTGAGATGTCACGGAGAGAAAAGTCGTTGCGCGAAGGGTTGTCCGGATTTTGGCGAAGAGGTCGGGGGGAGTATGCGGTTGATTATGATGATGATGGTGTTTTGACGGGGCGAGACATTGATATCGCAGTTTTAGAGGGATGATTGTGAATGCTGTATTGAGGCGATTGAGGTGCAGCGGGGCGGGTTCTTCTGTCTCGACGGAGAGGTAGTATAGATCACGCAGTGACAAGAGGTCACGAACGCGATTAGAGGATTGAAGGGTATATTCGCGAGGAAAATCGCCGATGCATACCGGCGGGGGACATTCGTGAGCTGGCGCGAATGTCACGGGAAATTGGTCTTCGGCGATGCATCCGCTTTGGTCGAAGAGGCGGGCTTTCAGGCAGTATTCGATACGGCATTGGCCGTGGAGAGTGAGGTCGTTGGAGTCGTAGACGGATAGTGGTTTCAATGAGAGGGATGGAGGGAGGGAAACGCTGGTTTCTGTATTAGATGAGGTAGGGTCGGCCGTTTGGGGAATGTTGAAGTGGAAGGGGTGGATGAAGGTCTGGGAGGGTGGACGGGTGGTGGGAGATTGAATTTGGGAGAGCTCGCGGATGTCGGATGCGCGGAGGAGCTGAAGTGGTTAGGATGGGATGCGAAATGAAGGGTGGTAGTGGAGCTTCTCACAATGAGGTTCTTGGCCATTCGAAGGAGTTGGGTTGAGATGTTGAGATGGATGGATGTGGACAGCTTGCCTGCATTGCCATTTAGTCTTGAACAGGAGGCTTGGGTGTAGTCTGTACCCTCAAAGATAACCTCCACGAGATACTCTGCAGGAGTTTCGGTGGTATCTTTGGCATCGTCCATTGAAATGACGACGTCACCACCAAGATAGCCGTCAGTGATGATTTGTTTTGCCTTGTCGGAGCTTGCTGCTGTGCTATTCGTGTATGTAGAATTTCGTGCCAGTAAATGGCTGACCTCAATGTGTACCTTGGGTGCCATCTTGCCCACATAGGAGCTTGGTTTCAATACCCTGTTGGAGCTTAAACGATATTATTAAAAAAGCACCATACTCTCCTCTGCAGGTGCGTTCTTTCAACAACAGGAGTATCTAGGCATTGATCGCCTGAATGGAGCTGGAGATCACCCTGACATTTTAAAATGAAGGACGCGGCTTGCTCAGGCAAGATAATTGAGCAGTGACGAACATGGCGGCGCGTCTTATTTTATTCCAGATCCAGGTGGCAAGCGGGAAAATAAAGCCAGCCACGCACGGCGATCAGCAGATGCATGAGGTTTCAAGCAGACTACGAATCAATGCAGACTAGCTAAATTGTATGAGTCCGATTTCGGCATAGGCTAGCACTGCTTCTTCATGCTCAACACATGCATCTAACCTCCATCCCTAGGACCAGGAAAGTTTATACGGAAACCAAGTCCCATGAAAAATGTCCAGTTGACGACAAACATCCGCTGAATCCGTGGCAATGCTCTAACGCGTACTAGCGCATCCCCTACAGCGGACTCCGGAGACCCCAACCCCAACCCCAACCCAAGGCTTGTATTTATTGTCAGCGTATCATGTGGCCAGAAAGCACGGACGACCTTCCTCGCCTGGAACTTCCAAGGCCCGAACCAGGATAATTGATAGGTTCCCCTCACGATAGGGCTGAAGGTGGAGCGGGAAATGAGGGATTTGTTTAGTTGGTGGCCCCACCGCGGAGGTTTGTTGCAGTTTTGCATTTGCAGAGAATTGTTCCGTCCAAGTCCCAATTGACAATTTCCACATCGCCATGTTAGGAACTCGGGAATCTGAGATAGCAAGGTAAACGTAAGCTGTCTCAAAAACCGTAAGACCTAGCTGCTAATTTTACTCTGCCCGCAGCTGTGAGCTGACCCCGTCACACGCCCGTCATCCTGTAAACATTTCGGGCCAAATCCTGGAATCTTAGCTCCCCATCCAAGCTTTGGCTAGTGAATAGTCCAAAGCTTAGCAGACGTGGCCATAACAGGCATGTTCTTGATTGGAGGTGAATGATGTGGGTCTTGTATGATGTCTCAGGAGTCAATGGAGGATGCAGTTAGGCATCCTTCATTTCCAGGCCGGTAAGCTGAGGGCTGATGGCCGGTCGCGGGTATTCGGATCTGGCTATCCGGGAGGGAACAAAGTCTTATCGTAATTTATAAGTCGAGGATTCATGGGTATGCTGAGAATAAACCCAACATAAATTGTTTCTGCTCATTCAAGAGAGATGAGAGCGCTTGTGTTGAGATGTTGTAATTTCTTAATACTACTCTGGAGAAAGGCAACTGAATCTGGCTTTGTCTAGCTATTCAATACATAGGTAACAAGAATGATACAGAGAAGATACATGTTTTGGCGGTGTTGGATGTCCAAGACTCACTCAAGCACTAGCACTGGCAGAAGGCATGGCACCCGTGGGAACAGCACCCGAAGACATGGCATCGGAAGGCGCACCGCCCGAGCCACCAGAACCACCACCCATGGCCGCACTGTTCGAGTTCTCGTGACCACCAGTCTCATCGTAGTAAGCAGCAATGCTGTAGTACGAGTTATCAGTGTAGTCAGCGGTGGTGTTAATACCAATCTGAATCCACGCGAACAAGCCATCCTCGATGCGGTCGCCAAGGTACAGGAACTCCGGGAAGGGATCATAGTCGCTGGAGGCCTGCAGCACACTCCACATGTCGTCCGCGTTGCTGGTCACGTCCTGGGTGTTGGTGGTGTAAGGGTAGGTGTTCTCGACGGCAGTGCGCAGGACCTCGTTCCAGAACAGCTGACCGATGTGAGCGACATTGCCGGTGCCCACCTCGAGGGTGCCGTTGTTGCGGTTGATGGTGGAGTTGAGGTGCGTCAGGAGGTGAGTGTGGGTGGCGCGACCGTCGTAGTGACCGGGGAAGATGGTCGAGAAAGTGACCACACCGTCCTCGTCAGTTTCCTGGATACCACGGAGGTAGGTCGAGTCCCAGCCGTCCGCGGCGTAGTTGCCGCTGGTGGAGATACCACTACTGACTTAGTGAATGAACGAGTGAAGGTTTGGAAGACATACCTGTAGACACCGGTGGCGTTGGCATTCCAGATGTCAACGAGGGCTCCCTGGACCGGGAGACAGGTGTTGACATCGATGTACTGCACCTCGAGGAAGACATCAACACCATCACAGTACTGCTCTTCCACGACGTTCTGGCGGATGACTTCACCCCAGACGTAGTAGGGTCCGTCGGTGATAGTGGGAGTCAGGATGGAGCTCGTGTTGGCACCGAAGATGTCGGCCTCGGAGGTCTCGGGAGAGAATTCGAGGATGCCAGTCTTGTTGTGGTTGATGGCTTCCCATTTCTCGAGGGCAGCGAGGTTACGACGCCACTTGTGGGAGGCTAAACCAGTTAGCTATGTAACAATGCGACGGTAGTCACTTACCAGCAGTGATGCCCCTCTTGGAGCGCAGCTCGCGAGCAGTGTTGGCCCGACGGGAGATCGTGCGCTGCTGGACCTGCTTGGCCTGCTGGGTGTTGGAGCAAGAATCAACTCCCTGCTTGCCGCGGGCAGCCAGGGCATCGCGAAGGCGAATCTCCCGCTTCACAGCCTCGTGGTCATGTTTCTCGCCGGGGTGGGCGAAGGCCAAAGTGGCCGCGGTGAGAGTGAGAAGTTTGGAGAAGTGCATTGCGATGATTTTGATGATTGGATTGTGAGTTGATGGCTCTCAATAGCGGCTGCTGCTCGCTTTATATCCTCCAGATTGAGGCATCTTTGTAGCCGCGTCATCAGTCCCATCAGTTAGCTGCCGTCTACCGTCTCAGCCGTTCTTGTTCTATTCAATGGATTCTACTATACCGTAGCCAGGACTCATCGCGTACCCTGGCGGCAGTTGAGGAGCCCTAAACCTCCGCCAGACCCGGCCAGCCAAGGGCAGGGTCTTGGCGCCGCGTACGTGGATCCGCAGCGGAGAACGGAAGCTCAAGGAAACATGAACCCTGGGCGGAGGGAATCGACATCCGCTACGAATCAAATCCATCGAATTAGTACACCTGGAATCTCTGACGTTATCAGATCAGGGATCCGGCCAGTGTCCGTCGGTCTGGGGTATTTTCAGGGCTTGGCTGTTGCTTCCGCGGTTCTGTCGGAAGGGTTAGGGGTTTCATCTGTCAGGCCAAGGCTGCCCCAGGCACTATATCGTGCACAGGATTCGTAATCCTTCGGTGAAGAGAGCACGGGGTTTTCTCGGCCTTGGATTGGCAGGTTTTGGATGCCTGTTTTCGACAGAGTCTGAGTGATTCTACTGGCGACGTACTTCACAAGGTAAATGGGATATTACTCGCCCACATCGGGGCGCTGAAAGTGCTCAGCCGCGGCATGGTGTTTAGGCCAAGACGTGTCGCAAGTCGTTGCGGATAGCTTCTTTTCTTCCCAAAACGGCAATGATTGCTGGCGGGGCTGCCGCTTAGTCATTACACTTTGGCTAGTTAACTAACTACCACTGGGCGATCCGTCGGGCGGCCCTTTCAGGCTGATGACGCACCTGCCATTCGTAATCCTGGTTCCTGCATCCACATATCCCGAGTTCCTCCCGTCCCTGCGGCTTGTGCACGATCTCACATCTGCAGTTCAGCCAGTTAGATTGTTGTTTTTGTCACGTTGCGTCCTTTGGTGAGTGGCGCAGTACAGCATGATGATGAGTCGATTCGCTGACAGATGGAGACCTCCCTGGTTGCACCAGGAATCATTTTCTCGTTGGCTCCCATGGTTCGCAGAGGGCAGTGATTGGTATAACAACGGGAACCCCTATTCAAAGGCCCTTTCCCGGGACTATAAGGCCTCCATATGAGACTGCGGGGAAGCCAGACGGTAGTTCAGTCGCCTTATCGCCAAATTGGATCTTCAGACTGCAGCATTCACTGCCAAAGACTGGGTAGAGCCATGCTGTACTTTGCTCTCGGCGCATTTCACGGTAAACAAAGCAAAGAGGGAACTCCTGTCAGGACAGGCAGTAGATTACTCATCTGCAACCGCAAAGAGTATGTCTCTCTTTGTGTCTGGTAAGGCGGGGGTGTCCCGTGACAAACTTTAACACGAGAAATGCTTCTGGGCGCCTTACAGGCGGGGAATCTCAGTCCACCGATGTCATCAGGGATGCCTGCCAATATATAGGCTCCTCAATCTTGGTCCGGGATGCTGACCCTGCGCGAGCTGTCAACTGCTCCCACTCCATCACTACGCAGATCAGATCCCCGCGATGGGCCAACCCTCCCAGTTCGAATTTCACCTTGCGGACAGGCTAGGCTACAGCCTGGGCCATGACAGCGCCGCAGGATTCCGTCTGAACGGGATGTTCTACTTCTGGAAACAAACGCTGGGCTTCAACCTCCATCCCACGATCGCAGGAGCCCTACGGACCCCGAACCCTCGCATCGCCGATGTGGCCACCGGCACGGCCATCTGGCTGTTAGACCTGGCCAGAGAACGTCCGGATACATTCCTGGAAGGGCTGGATATGACGCTCGAGAAGGCGCCCGCGGTCGAATGGCTCCCGGCCAATATCACTTTGCGGGAATGGAACCTGCATGATGAGGTGCCCCCGGAGCTCGAAGGGAAATTCGATGTCGTGCATCTGCGGCTGCTCATCATCGTGGTTGAGAACGGTGACCCATCGCCGATCATCCGCAAAGTCGCCCGGATGCTGAAGCCCGGAGGATGGATCCAGTGGGATGAATATAGCCTGCAAGGGATGCGGGTTGTTAAAGCCAGACCGGAGGTGAAAACGGAAGCGTTAGAGTCACTCGGTCAGTTCTGGGATGCCAACGGTCGACAGGACTGGGTCGATCATCTCCCGGATAGCTTGGAGAAAGAGGGATTCACCAGGACGCAGATCACTTATTATGGGCCGCTCCTGGAGTATCTCAGGGCTGAAGACGAGGCGTTTATCGTGACGTGTGAAGAAACCGCCCATACCCTGGCCTCTAAGGGACAGGTCGACGCGGCTAAAGATCTTTATCAACTGGCTCAGCAGGGGTCGTTGGAGATTTTAGCTGGTGCGGCACTTGCCACTAATAAGGTGGTGTGTATTGCTCAGAAGCCGGCTGCAATGGTGCATAGGAATGCCGCTGGGCCAGAAGGTGCAAGGATGCAGTGATAGACCGTCTGGACGGCCTAACAGATAGTTCGCAGTGGCGAGATACTTGATTTCGAACAAGTCTAGAATTGTTACTATCGCTGCAAATAAGGGCCCAATCTAGTTATCGCACTTGGAGTGCGAAAACATCGTATCAGTCATTCCAGCTACATTTTATCCTGACTCTTCAACAGCTCCCACCAATGCGGCTACAAGAACTGCCTCTGCAACCCCAACGTGTCCGCCAAATACGACCGCCAATCTTCCTCCAACCGTCCCAGATCCTCCTTATCCACATCCCCTAGCGCCTGCACAATCATCGACCCAAGATACGTATCCTCATCCTCCAACGGCCTCGAGATCTTCAACCACCGCGACCCAGGAATCGCATGAAGCAGATCCCCCTCCACACACTGCTTCTCCAGCTGCTTAAAATCACCACTCCCACAATGAAACGAACAAGTCAATAGATACCGATCGCGCCCTGAACCAACCATTAGCCCCAACCCACCCCCCTTACTCCCAAACAGGAAAACATACCCAACCCCCCATCCTCCCCATTCCTCAACACAAAACTCTGTTGAAACAACCTCGTGTCAAAATCCGCCACCTCCAAACACGACTTCGTCGTTCCGAGAAGGGTATGTGTCTTGGGAATCCTCGCAAAGTTCTCCGGCTGCATGAAATCCAAATCGTCACATTGGTAGGCGGCGAGCCAGCGATACGGTTTATTCGGGCTGATGGCTTGGTAGAATGCTCCGCGCGAGACGGAGCCGGTTTGGAGGACGTCCGGGACGTGGTAGTCTTGGTACCATTGGCGGAAGGCTTCGTCTTTGATGGTCGGGTCTTTGAGGCGGGATTGGGCGTAGAGCCAGAATTGGGGGGCGGACATGGTTGTTGTTGGTTATGGGGTTGGGTTGTGATGAAGGTGGAAGATGGGTGGGTTTTGTGGGGGTGGTATGTTTGGCTGGTAGATATATTGAAGGTCTGTCAATCGTTTCCGTCCTAGGTGCTAGGGAAGGCGGGTTATTTGATATATTGACCTGGATGTGCCCTATCAGAGGCCTTGAGACGTCATATCGACTGGTTCCTGGTTTCCTCTACCAAGGCCCTGCAGGGGATTAGCAGGGCACAAGAATATAGGCATTCCAACCAATGTCTCGTTTTCCAGGAATCAGATGTCAGTGATACCCTTGTAAGCTTATCCTTGGTGTTCTAAGAGGGCCACGTTTTAAGGAATCTATCAGTACAGCAAGTTCCCATTCTCCTCAATGTTATGCATACGATCTTCATCAAACTTGAGGGTTTCTACACGGACATTCGTCGCTTCAAATCGGCTCAAATTCATACGCACATAGATTTTCCAACTTGTTAGTCAAGCAGTTCTATTGGTCGTACAGTCATTCAGCTATAACGCGCCCTATCTAATTCCCAAGCTGCCGTCTCATCACGACAGGCGCATCTGTCAAACAGGTGACACATCATCATTGAACCTCGACTTGCATGAATATTCAATATCAAGTCCAAATTAATTACCAGTGCAGGGCATCTATTTGTGACAGCGCAATGAAACATATAACATAACAACTATTGCCAAAAGCCACAGCTTGACATTTAACCAGCCAGGAATTTCCACAGACAGTAACAGAAAAGCAGTCACCAGACCTACGGATAATTAACCTTTCGACAGCCGTGTTGCAAACAGGCTGCTGTAACCATATATTTAGCTTCAGCTCTTTCATGACTGAGGAAAGAAACCCTCGAACTTTGAGAATATTACTACCTCACGTAATGGCTATCACGATACTGGGTTGTTTCAATCGGTCGCATCGCCGGCCCTTGACTTGCATAGTGAAGCAGTGTCAAAATGTCGAGGTGACCGGATGCGATCTGTCTAAAGTTCTACACTGAGGGGATGGAGAGATGTGATGGTTCGATGTTATGCGACCGATATACCCTGATCGTATGAGTTATGGACCTCATAAAGGTACGAGATATGGTATTCCTCGTGTACTGCGAGTAGAATTCAACTCCAGTGGGACATTGATCAAGCAGCTCTCTCGGAGGCGACCGAACAAATATTATGCATTTGGCCTAATTCACAAGGAATGAATTTCAGGACATCCGACCACGCTTATCGTGTTGAGCCTTCCCGCAATACGAGGATTCTATGTTGATCGACGTGGCTTCTCTTGGCCGCCGAAAACAGTCTGACTCGCGGCAGTGGCTGAGATGGATCACAATTGATTAGCTGGGGATGACTTACAGCAGAGCCTGCCTTGGCGGTAGCCTTATTGCAATATGTTTCAGTCTCCAATCATTCTGTGTAACCTGTCCAGTCTGTTGAATGTTACACGGAAGACCAGACCCAACCATAGTCAATCTGCCGGTTGAGCGACACGGTTGGGACTTTTGGCCCGTGAATTTCCAGGGACTAGGCATCTCATGCAGTTCAAAATGAGAGGCTCTTGTGACTCCTAGCCAATAGATTCAATAGATTCCATTCACTTGTATTCGACTATCACTTGCATGCCATTTCCCGGATGTTGTGGAAAGCCAGGGATACTGGTTTGGAGCTTACCGCTCCATGAGAACACCACTTGCCTATTCCGTTGGTTGTCTACGTTTAGGCTCTGCTGATGCCTTCTTCGCTTGGAATCTTCTGACTCATCCATGATGCCATGTTAGGCGTGCTGCCGCAGAGTATCTGTCCCTCTCACAAGGCCGACGCATGGCAGCCCCGCCATGCCAAGACCCGGAAAGTTCAACCCAACCTCAGGTTCAAAGCTTTCGCGAAGATTCATTTTCATGTGATAGAATGCACCTCGCTCCGGGGGAGACAACCCCGACGAGGGTTTGTTTGACCAGCACGGCTGACGGCCATACCGCGATTGGACCAACCGGCTGGGCGCGGTCATCTGCAAGCTTCAGGAGCGGTTGGAAGCTTTGGGCGGCGCGCCACGTCGGATAGATCGGCGCCACCTACGTTTCCTCGATCAGATGAATGGCTGCCAAGGGTGCCAATGCGACATAAGCAACCAATGACCCGGATTTCACTCTGATTATTCACTGGTCTCCGTCCTGTCGCATCCCGCCACCGACAGGTCACGTGGCCGTACTGATGGCCTCAGGCGCGTCCCCGCCGGATTGGGGAATCCAACCCCAAATCCTGGCCGAATTCCCCCCGATTCCAACTTCACTAATGTCGCTAACCTCCGCCGGCTCACGTTAGCCTTCCATAGCGCGGCATCCAACTCAATCATATCCCGTTGTAAGCCCGGGAGTGGGGTGTAGTTGACCCACGGTTGTCTCGTGGTCTGACCAGTGCTGCTCCTGTCATCTGGGGATGTCTACCAATCCCCACGGGGTTCCCCAGCTGGGGATCTGCCCTCGGACTTTTGTGTCGCTGCCACTGGCCCATCCATGGTTGCCATGCCCATCCTATCTCTGTCTCATCTCCTCATCTCCGTCGGGCCATAGCGCCCGCCGACTAGCCTTGGTGCTCCAACCCCTCTCGACCGGCACCAATGCTTCCTGAATGACGGCATGGAAGGGTATCCCGGCTCAACCTGACCAATCTGATCGCTTGTTATGTGCCCGCACGCAGGATGTAACGGAGCCTGGTGGTCGAGGATTTCCAATCCAACCAGACGCGGCTGGCACGCGTAGCGGTCGGTATATGCCGCATCGACTCCCCTGCCATCCAACTCGCTGCATGCGTTGCTCGGTGAAATCCTGGTCCTATCACTATTCACCCGCTGCATGGGGGGGATCCACTGGCGAGGACAAGGCTCAACGCGACATTCAATAAAGCTGGGGTCACCCCCGGATGGCCCCCGACGGTGAGTGCTGTTAATCCGCCTGGTCTAGCGTCTTGCGGCTGAATTATGTTTTTGTTGGCCTCCAAGCCACAGTTGCGCAGAAAGTTTAAGGTGTCGGCTTTCCGGTTTCTCTCCATAACCTGATTCTCGCTGCCCATATTCTCTAAGCTCTCCCCCATCGATTGCTAGACGGGCCATCATGGATACCGGAGAGATCACGGAAAAAGCCGTCAACAAGAGCGAAAGCCCTACCAGTGTGGAGCACGCGGAGAAGCCGCACCAGCGACACGATGTCCTCGATATCGAAGGCCGCTCGGGTGGTCTCAATGCAGTGTTCGAGAACCCCCTGGCAGGTATTCCGCGGGAGCAGCTCCTCGCCGACGTGGAGAGCTTTTGTCGCGAATACGGTCTGGAAGAACACCTCGATGACTTTCGCAAGGGTGCCCTAATCTCGCAGAACCCACAGGCCGCATTGGATCTTCCTGAGCTCACGGAGGAAGACAAAGAGGTCATCCGTCGGGAACAGACTCACAAATGGTCGCAGCCCTGGCAGCTTTACTTTATGGCCTGTAAGTCATCGTGATCCTCTCCAGACTGATACTAACAATCTCAGCGATGTGCTCCCTCGCGGCCGCAGTGCAAGGAATGGACGAGACCGTCAACAACGGCGCCCAAGCAATCTACCTCAGCGTAAGCCCCCCCCAACCCCTTTTAACTCAACCAGCTAACACAGCCCAGCAACTAGGAATCACATCCCCTCGCTTCTCCGAAACCATGCAAGACTACCTCACTGGCCTCGTCGTCGGCGCGCCCTATCTCGCCTGCGCCATCATCGGCTGCTGGCTCACCGAGCCCTTGAACCGCTACCTCGCCCGGCGCGGCACCATCTTCCTCTCCTGCTTCATCGCGGCCGTCGCCTCCATCTGGGAAGGCGTGGCCAACTCCTGGGTGAACCTGTTCATCGCGCGCTTCGTGCTCGGTCTTGGCATCGGTTCCAAGTCCTCCACCGTCCCCGTCTACGCCGCCGAATGCTCCCCCGCCCCCATCCGCGGCGCCCTCGTCATGATGTGGCAAATGTGGACAGCCTTTGGTATCATGCTCGGCAATATCATGGGCGTCGCCTTCATGGGCCTCTCCAAAGACCTCTCCTGGCGCCTCATGCTCGGCTCCACCGTCGTTCTCCCGCTCTTCGTCTGCGCCCAAGTCTACTTCTGCCCCGAATCCCCCCGCTGGCTCATCCAACAAAACCGCATCCCCCAAGCCTTCACCTCCTTCCGCACCCTCCGTCCCACCTCCCTCCAAGCCGCACGGGACCTGTACTACGCTTACATCCAAGTCCAACTCGAGCGGAAAGTCAACACCGGCAAAAACTTCTTCTCCATGTTCCTCGAACTCTTCACCATCCCCCGCAACCGTCGCGCCACTCTAGCCACCTGGATCGTCATGTTTCTCCAGCAATTCTGCGGGGTGAACGTGATCGCATACTACAGCACCACGATCTTCGAAAATTCCGGTTATAGCACGCAGCAAGCCCTCTTGGCATCCATGGGAACCGGGATCCTGAACTGGGTCTTCGCCCTGCCTGCATTCTTCACAATCGACACCTGGGGCCGTCGAAACCTCCTCCTCTTCACCTTTCCCTTTCTCGCCATCTTCCTCCTCTGGTCGGGCTTCTCCTTCTGGATCGATCCGGAGGACAGTACCAGTAAAAAGCGCGTCGCGATGGTCACGACGGGAATGTATCTCTTCGAAGTGTTTTACTCGCCCGGCGAGGGTCCCGTGCCGTTTACGTACTCGGCAGAAGCATTCCCTCTGCAGGTACGGGAGGTAGGAATGTCCTGGGCGACGGCAACAACCTGGTGCTTTAACTTCATCTTATCATTCACGTGGCCGTTGCTGCTACGCGCATTTAAACCCCAAGGTGCATTCGGGTGGTATGCGGCATGGTGTGTGATTGGGTGGTTCTTGGTGTTGTTGTTTGTGCCGGAGACGAAGGGTAAGCCTCCTCCTCCTCCAACTGTACATCGATATATACTCTACCCTTGATGGGGGATACTGACAGCATGGATGATGATAGAACTTACATTGGAAGAACTCGACCAAGTCTTCTCCGTGTCGACGCGCAAACACGCCGCCTATCAGTTGAGGAACGCGGCGTGGCATTTCCGGGTGTGGATTCTCAGGCAGAAGTTGGAGCCCTTGCCGAAGTTCTATGAACATGCCGAGGAACTGGCGGAGGGGGGTGCCGAGGGGACGGGGAGGAAGTAGTGTGCTTTTGATGGTGATGAGCAGGAGGGTGTGTTGTAGGTAGGGGTGGAAGGTATAGAGGATATTAGGGGGGAATTGTGGTAATGTTGGTAATGTTGGTGGTTGATGGGATGTAGTAGTTGTTATATCGAGTGCAGAGTCATGTGATTTTCAATCTGATGTTATAACTATACCTATAATCATCGAAGGTATGGATGATACTATCTCAACACAATCACTCTGTATTATTGAATATATCAACATCTATCTAGTCTATCAACATCTATCTAGTCTATCAACATCTATACTCTTAAGTCTAGGCAAACCCCGGCGTAGTCATCTTATGCACATAATCCTCCATGAGCTTCTCCTCCTGCGCAATAATCGGTTCCACAACAGTCAACCCCCGATCAATCTCCGCCTTCAACCGCTCCCACTCATCCGACGTTCCATCGGCCGTCTCCTTGCGCTGCACCGCATCGCCATTGACATGTCCGTTCACTCCCGTCGCGTGACCATTCGCTTCCGTCTCGAACAAGAAAGGGGTATATCCCGCCGCCTCAAAGGCATCCTTGGGAGGGACCGTGTAGCGACCCTTCTTGAGGACGTACTTGCTGATCGACACGGCGTAGAGACGCTTCTTCAGAACCTCCGGGTCGTCTTGGCCCTTCTTGCTCTTGCTGGGCTTGAGGAAGTAAGTGACGATGTAGATCCATTTCTGATCGAAGCTGGCGACGTGCGACTTCACCTCGTATTTGGTGTACGCGGGGATCTCTCGCTTAAAGCTCGTGTAGACGCTGCCGAGGATAAAGCCCAGAAATCCTTTCTTGCCTTGTGCGTGGAGACGCTTTTCCAGGAGCGCGGCGCCCTTGACGACGATATTGGACATGAGCGCGGTACGGGAGACGTCAAGATCGGAAAAGTAGGTCGAGTTGGACTTGTGCATGTTGAAGTCGAGTTCCATGATCGGGGCGCGGGAGAAGATGCTGACCGGCTCGAGGACCTCGGTGCAGGGACGGGCGGGCTGTTCGACGGCGGGGGTGATGAGGTAGCCATGTTTGAAGAAGTAGCGGTAGACGCGGATCTAACTTGTCAGTGGTTGTATTTCTCTGGAGATGGAGGACAACGTACATGCCACACCATGGGGACAGTCTTCAAATTGAGCAAGGCGAAGCAGATGGCCGCGGCTTTCCAGAAAGTGACCGACTCCCATAGGGAGCACGCCAATGAGCGAATGGCCTCCATCGATAACGACAAAAATGAACGAATGTATATACAGCAAGACGAATAGAGTATGAAAAGATCAGGCAAATTTCCAGAAGCACCGAAGAAGAGACGGAGCGGAAAAAACCTGCCGAGGGGCGTTGGGCCGATTAGTGATAAGCTCCGATAAGCACGAGCCGAGGCTGGCCCAAAAGGGATGCTTGGTCCGCGCAAAGTTTGACCGACTTTCCGGATCCACTGCGATTTGTTGAGTTGCCTGCCGTGGGCACGCTGATCATGTTCATGCCATGTTGCCTGTACTCCGTATATGGCATATATAGTATCAGGCTGTCTGCCTCTTAATGCCACTCATTCATTGTTGATGTGATCTTCTTTGAACTCTCGCATGTACAAATGAATTGTTGATGCCGATCTTTCATTGTTGAACACAATCTCATGTCTCAATGCGGACCAGGCTGCCCTAGCCTGAGAAACCACGATAACGCAAGTTGGCGACTCGATGGCATCAAAGACCGTAACTACATCATAGAGCCCAAATGGACAGCAGACGGTACTTCACAATTCTTCATTAATAGATTCGGCGGAGGAGGTAGAGGACCGAGACACATTTAAAGATTCAGAGGGTCAAAGCGGTCTCCTCCGAGCTCCTGTTCCTCTCATCGAACCATAGTCACATACAACGGAGTCATGGACAGGGAAGTTTTCCGCAGCGGACCGAAGTAGATGGGTTACCCCGCAACCCGCCGGGCATGGCGGTCTTCTGACGTGACCAGGATCGGGAGCAATTTACCCGATGGTGCAATTAATAGTTTTCTTCCACCAATCCCTGCCTAAGAACATCGCCAGGGGCACTGTCGTGATTGCACCTGCATATGCGTGCAATTCTGCACCGAACCATGCGCACCATCCGTTCCTCGCGTGGATAATGGCGGGGAAGCGGACTTCTCTAGTCAATTGGCAGCGGTGTGTATAAAGGGGGAGATGATCTAGTGCTTGAAAGGCAGTACACCCTCGGAGCAGCGTTTATTTACCATGAAGCTGCAGTTCCTGCTGTCATGCTGGGCGATTTTGGTCGCCCAGATCCAGGCGACCACAGATGGTCTCACCGATCTGGTTGCCTGGGATCCTTATAGTTTGATTGTCAATGGAAATCGCCTCTTTGTCTACTCTGGGGAATTCCACTACCCCAGGCTGCCGGTTCCAGAGCTGTGGTTCGATGTTTTTCAGAAGATGCGCGCGAATGGTTTCAACGCTGCTAGGTTGTCCGCAACATTCCGTACAGCCGCTAAATGCTGACATGGCAACCAGTCTATATTTCTTCTGGGACTATCACTCGCCGATTAATGGAACGTATGACTTTGAGACCGGCGCACACAATATTCAGCGCTTGTTTGACTATGCGAAAGACGCCGGAATTTATATCATCGCACGGTTAGCCTATCACCATACCCTGTCGTGCCACGACTAACATGATCAGTGCCGGGCCTTACTGCAACGCCGAGTTCAATGCAGGCGGTCTGGCTTTATATCTCAGCGACGGAAGTGGTGGCAAGTTGCGAACCAGCGACGCGACTTATCACCAGGCGTGGGCTCCTTGGATTGAGCGCATTGGCAAGATCATTGCGGACAATTCCATCACTAACGGCGGTCCGGTCATTCTTAATCAAATTGAGAATGAGCTTCAGGAAACCACCCATTCTTCGACCAATACTCTGGTTGAGTATATGGAGCAGATCGAGGAAGCATTCCGAGCTGTCGGTGTGGATGTTCCATTCAGCAGCAACGAGAAAGGCGAACGGTCTCGTAGTTGGTCGACCGACTATGAAGACGTCGGCGGTGCGGTCAATGTCTATGGTCTAGACTCGTATCCTGGAGGTACCAGTTGCACAAATCCTTCAACAGGATTCACTGTCTTGCGGAACTACTACCAATGGTTCCAGAACACCAGCTTCACCCAGCCCGAGTACTTTCCCGAGTTTGAAGGTGGTTGGTACTCTCCCTGGGGTGCTGATTCATTCTATGACCAGTGCACGAGCGAGCTGAGCCCACAGTTTGCCGACCTCTACTATAAGAACAACATTGGTCAGCGGGTGACAATCCAGAACCTATATATGCTGTACGGGGGAACAAACTGGGGTCACTTGGCTGCGCCCGTGGTGTACACTTCATGTAAGTCACTATTCTTCTAGAATAAAGCCATGCTTACCGATGCAGACGATTACAGTGCGCCCCTCAGCGAGACCAGACAGGTCAGGGACAAGATGAGCCAAGCGAAACTCATTGGCCTGTACACGCGGGTATCATCTGGTCTGCTGGGCGCAGAAATGGAGGGCAACGGTACCTCCTACACATCGACCACATCGGCATATACGTGGGTGCTGCGAAACCCCAACACAACCGCCGGCTTCTATGTTGTTCAGCAGGCCACAACCTCCTCCCAGACAGATCTCACGTTCTCTTTGGATGTGACGACCTCGGCTGGTGCTGTTACCTTACCGAACATTAACTTACAGGGGCGCCAAAGCAAGATAATCTCAACGGATTATCCCCTCAGACACAGCACGCTCCTTTATGTCTCCACTGATATTGCAACATACGGCACCTTTGGAGACACGGATGTCGTGGTGCTCTATGCGCGTGCTGGACAGACTGCCTCTTTTGCCTTCAAGAACGCGACCAAGCTGACGTTCGAGGAATACGGCGCCTCAGTGAATTTGACCAGCAGCTCAGGGAACCGGACAACCTCGTACTCGTACACTCAAGGTACTGGTACTAGTGTCGTAAAGTTCTCCAACGGGGCCATCTTCTATCTCTTGGAAACCGAGACTGCGTTCCGATTCTGGGCGCCCCCTACCACGACAGACCCCTATGTGACGGCAGAGCAGCAAATCTTTGTGCTCGGTCCGTACCTGGTACGCAACGCCAGTCTATCTGGGGGCGTTGTGGAACTCATAGGAGACAACGACAATGCCACGACGGTAGAAGTGTTTGCCGGCTCCTCCGCGACTGGCGTAACATGGAATGGCAAGGAGGTTTCTGTGAACAAGACGGAATATGGCAGCCTTGTGGGATCGATCAGTGGCGCCGACAGCACAATTGAGCTTCCCGCTCTGACAGGATGGAAAGTTCGGGACTCTCTACCAGAACTCCAGTCTTCCTATGACGACTCCAAATGGACGGTGTGCAACAAGACGACCACATTGAGCCCGGTCGACCCACTCAGTCTTCCAGTTTTGTTCGCATCCGACTATGGGTACTACACCGGTATCAAGATCTATCGCGGTCGGTTCGATGGCGCCAACGTGACTGGGGCGAACTTGACGGCACAAGGAGGTGTGGCCTTTGGTTGGAACGTCTGGCTAAATGGCGATCTCGTGGCCACCTTCGAGGGCGATGCTTCCGAGACATCATCCACCGCGGATCTTGACTTTTCCAATCAAACGTTGAAGCAAACGGACAATCTGCTCACGGTCGTGGTAAGTCAGCAGTCAACCATCTTGCTCGTGTCATTGATTAACAGCTTCGCCAGATCGACTATACCGGCCACGACGAAACGTCGACTGGTGACGGCGTGGAGAACCCTCGCGGTCTTCTTGGAGCAACGCTCAAGGGAGGCAGCTTCACGAGTTGGAAGATCCAAGGAAATGCAGGAGGTGCCGCTGGTAAGAACTCCACACGCTCCCGTTCCTCAAAGCATCGAGCTGAGCAATCCCTTTCTGCTATAGGAGCCTATGAGCTTGACCCCGTCAGAGCACCGATGAACGAGGGTGGTTTACTCGCCGAGCGTCAAGGTTGGCATCTTCCAGGATACCAAGCCAATGCATCTGACGGGTGGACGGATGGATCACCTCTCGACGGCCTGAACAAGTCTGGTAAGCATGAATACCTTAAACGCATGCTTTCATCCACATCATCTAATCCAATGCCGCAGGAGTCGCCTTCTACCTCACGACCTTCACGCTCGACTTCCCCTCGGACTATGACGTCCCCGTCGGTATCCAATTCACCTCTCCATCGACAGTCGAGCCCGTGCGCATCCAGCTGTTCATAAACGGATACCAATACGGCAAATATGTTCCTGTGCTAGGGCCACAGACCACATTCCCCATTCCACCTGGTATCATCAATAACCGCGGCACGAACACCATCGGACTCAGCTTGTGGGCGCAGACGGATGCAGGTGCCTATTTGGAGAACATTGAGTTAGTCAGTTATGGGGCGTATGAGAGTGGGTTTGATGCGGGGAATGGAACGGGCTTTGATCTTAATGGAGCAGAGTTGGGTTATCAACCTGGGTGGACGACTGCTCGGTTGCAGTATACTTGAGTGAGAATGTGAGGTGGATGTATATATTTGAGAACATAGGGGGATGGGGGGACGGAGTGGAGATTATGCATCACTTAGGTAAAGAGACAGACACGCTTCTTCAGAAGAGTATATAGTAGGTACGCTCAGACGTCAAAGATAGCTTATAGGAAGAAGTGTTGTAGAAGTGAAATGCTCCCTCCTAGGCAGTCACTGTGTAGAGATCACTTGATATGATGGGAAGGCCGCCAAAGAGCCCCACATTGTGCCTGAGGCAGACACACATGTTACTCAAACGGTAAACACGCGTCGCGTCTCCAGATGTCGGCGACTAAATGTGCGACACACTAGCCCGTAATTTACACACCGTTACCGATGCTCAACAATACACAATGCCAATCCGCTCCACATCTGCGGATGTAGATAAGCTAATCAGTCACTGTTAGTACGATTACAACAGTATTGTTATACTGTTGGGCTTACAGCTCAGCGTGGTCTGAAATAAACTCAGCGTGGTCTAACGCTAAATACGGAACAACTCTTTTCCATCTTAACCATGATGAGGTCTTTAATTTTCATAAAAATTACATATTTTCAGTATACTGAAAATATGCACATTTTAATCCTAAGCTTAGAGTATTCAAAAAAAAGACTCCCTAATAAAATATCCTAATAAATACCCTAAATACCATAAATACCCTAAAATCCTAAATACCCTAGAAAGTTCTGATATATAGCTTATTATAGGCTCATCGTGGTCTAAAACTAAGATTCTTGACCATGATGAGCTTTTCCCAAGAACAGGTTCGGCGTGGTCTGAAATAGGCGGTAAGGTAACTGGCAGAATGTTAGACCACGCTCACCTTTTTTCAGACCACGATGAGCTGCGACCCGACAATGACAATACTGTCGAACATATAGTCAATACAAAGATGGTGAAGTCGTGTTTGGGCCCCACAAAATGGCATAAAATTGAAACGGCGAGTGGAAGGGAGTCTGTTCTCATCCATCCTCCCCTCTATCAGATATCCCACCCAGCGCGACGCCATCGGAGCTCAATATATCAGCGATAACGCTCAGCGGGACAAGATCAAACAAGCTACTCGCACAACATGTCAGACTTCCACATCTCCAAACAGGCACGAGCCAATGAAGCCGGAGACGCGCACGTACGCTTCCCTGGCGAGGAAGAGACGCCGGAACTGAAGCACACAGTCAACGAAGAGAAAGCCCGCAGAATCCGCGAGCAAGTCGACAACCTCGAGATAGAGGAACTCGCCAACATTGTCATCAAAGCAGCCGAAGCCCACCCAGACGTCTGCGCCATGCTCGAGAGCACCATTGAGGCAATCCGACGACAAGAAAGTAGTCGAGTGATCAACTTCGATTGGGAATCGAAGTCAGTGTGGAAGACTCTCAATGTCACCTACCGGAGTCTGAGCGGGTCGAAGCAGTGTGACATCGCGGGGGAAGTTGAAAATGATATTATAGAGACTATTAAACGGATTGCCGCGCAGTGCGGACCATATGCCAATTCTCAAACACGGTTTAATGGTCTCTCGGTGCTACGCAAGATTGGCAAGTCGATTGCACTCTCCTATGATACGTTGGCCCGTGAGGTGCGCATGCGGTTTCAGTGGGATCCCACCATGGAAGACTCGATGATGAAGATTGTCAGTGCCATGGAGGCACAGGAGAGACTGGCTATTTATCAGGACAATACCAGCTCGGAGGCCCTGTGGCCCAAGTTAAGGGAATTGGAAGGACTGGCAGAGAGTCACTGTATTTTCAAGGGGATTTCACAGGTGCTGGACCTATTGCAGGGAGACGAAGATCCGGAAGAATCTCCCCAGTCCGAAGATGAGGGAGACACGGAATCTACTAATGAAGCGAGGTAAGAACTGAATGGCGGGCCAGAGAAACTTTGGTGGTGCGATTGATTTCAAGGTACATGTTCTCGTGATAATAATCGCTCGTGTGTGATAGTCGATGCTCTCCCTGAAATGTCCGTCGAGTGTATATTAGGGAGCAACAGAATGAAATTAGTGCAGCTGTTGCAGCTTCAGGCCAGTAGGCAAAGTACGCATCCAGCTGGGAGAATGTAGATTTAGAAAGCAATGGAAGTTGGAACGTTGCATACCCGGCAAGTCTCCATTTTTGCTTCGAGTCAGCGTCGCTCGTTATAGTTCTTAGCAGAAAGTCCTCGGATCCGCCGTTACCGCGTGACTATAGGAGTTCCACATGAATCTAACCTTCTTCCTGATCCATGTCATCTCTGCTTCGCTTGCCATTTTTATTACGTCGTGAATTAGGGATTGTTATGCCGCCTTTGCCCTGAATATCTTTCATTGCACGCGCTGCAACTCGTTGGGCCTCCCCAACTCGTTCAGCCAAGGTCATAACCTCGTCTTTTAGTATCTGATGTTCATCCACCTTCTTGCCCAGAGCTCCCTCTATGCGGAGCCACAGCTCGATATCGTACTGTGAAACAAAGGAGACCGCAACGCCGCTTTTTCCGGCACGGGCTGTTCTGCCAACCCGATGTATGTAGGTCTTGCTATCACCCGGCAAATCATAGTTGACAACAAGGTCCACCGAAGGAATATCCAGTCCGCGAGCTGCCACGTCCGTGGCTACAAGTATATTTCGAGATTTGGTGCGAAACTTGTTCAGGGATGCTAACCGTACACTCTGTGACAGCTGACCATGAATAGGGATCGCAGAAAACCCTAGAGCGCGTAGCATGGTGGATAACCTCTGATTTTCATGTACCGTCCTCGTAAAAATGATTGCAGTCTGCCCCGATCTCTCTGTCAAGAGATGAACGAGATAAACGTCTTTATGCTTGAGAGCAACGAAGATATACGACTGTAGGAGCGTCGAGACTGTTTGACGCTTTGTAGCCGCTGAGACACGTACAGGATTTGACAGCGCCGCCCGCTGCAGCGTTTCGACTTTCCTGGACATGGTTGCAGAGAATAGATATGTGGTCCTCTTTGGCAATCTCTTCAGGATTTTGTCCAAGATCGGGCCAAAATCTAGGTCTAGCAGTCTATCGGCTTCGTCTAGGACGAGCACTTGCAAATGACGTAGCGAGAACCCCTTTGTATTTTCTAGATGGTCGAGAAGACGTCCAGGTGTTGCAACCACAACATGTGGTTTCTTCCCCAGCGCTATCGCCTGCGAGACATTATCGGCTCCTCCGATCAGTAATGTGCACCGGACAGAGATAGAGGCACCCAAGCCCTCGACGACTTGAGAGATCTGAAGTGCGAGTTCTCTGGTGGGTGCAAGTATCAGAGAGTATAGAGGCTGTGGCTTATCCATCAATGCCTGCAGAATCGGAAGCACAAATGCTGCCGTTTTGCCACTGCCAGTCTCTGCGAGAGCGATTATGTCACGACCTTCCAATGCCAGGGGGATCGAAAGCGCCTGGATGGGCGTGGCTGTTTTGTAACCCAGGGCATCGCAGGCCTCACATAGTTGTTCTAGAACTCCGAGCTCTCGAAACGACTTTGTAGTCTCCTCTGGTGAGTGTGTATCTGACGGCTGCGAGTGTGTCTTGGTGACATTCGGTTCGGATGGGATAGCGACATCTTCGACGGGGTATGAGAGCTGTTGACGAGGGGTCTTCCTCACCGGAGACGGCATGGTGAGAGTTTCGCGCGCAGGTTAGCGCCGCTGCACGGCCAATATGGGGCAGATGCGTTAGATGGCTAGCATTTGATCCAGAGAAGGTTCAGTAAAACAGGGTGGTAGAAACCAACAAAGGCTGGGGATAGCAAGTCCAGCTTATGTCACCCGGCACTCCGCAGCGGAGATACCAGATCGGTCCTAGCGCCGCGGGGGATCCCCGGGTCCGGCCTCGGATTAGTCTTCCAGTGATTCCACTCTCTCCATGTCCATAACACGTCATTTCAGCGGAATCATCAACACGACTTTCTCGTATCCACACACTACCTGCACCACTGAGATCACTCCTTGGAAGAATAGACATAGCAAGTAGAAGATACATTGGGCCTGCCCGTTTCTATGTACATTCTAAATCCGGAACACAATGACTTTCAGCTAAGCTACTCACAACCACTAGTTTTGAGGACGAGCACCGCCACAAAGCTGATACCGGATTTGAGCAAGAAGATTGCTCACACCATCCTTTCCAAGCTTGTAGTAAACCAGGCCACCAAGCGCGATGGCGTATCCAAAAGCCTGGAGAGGGGTGACGGGGTCGCGGAAGATCATCATCGAGGCCACAACAAGGAGAATATCCTTCAGGACACCGGACAGGGTGAGGACAAGAGCGGAAGTTTTGCCGATCTAGGACAGTTAGCGACAAAGCTATCCAATTCAGTTGACAATAGCGTACCAAGAAAACGACGGCAACGTTAAGTCCAAAGGCCACGGCAGCGTTGGCGAACAAAGTGCCAATGCCAAGCTGGTAAATGTCAGACATGTGCAGGGTGGGGAGCTCGACCACGGCAGTGATAATGCCGTTCATGACCGCGCAGGCGGGAGCGAAATAGTAGAGCGAAACCAACGGATCCATCTTGAATTCGGCGGAACTGAGCAGACGCTGCACCATGACCAGACGGACGGATTCGAAGATGGTCGCGAAGAATTGGCCTAGCAAGTCAGTGTGGGGTGAAGTACTGGAGCTATAAGAGAACCCACAGATAAATCCGATCAAGGTGAACTTGATTTCACCAATAGAAGCGATGATAACACCGAGAACAATGAATGAGATATTTCCGAGCAGGCTCAGTTTCACCGGCGCAATGCCCATGGCCCAGGTTGCGAGCAGCGTCGCGACAGAGTTGGTGGCCTAGATACGTCAGCGAAATTCCTCCGTGGGATCGAGCTAATCACCTTGAGCATCTGGATAAAGGACACGCTGAGGTAGAGGTATGCGAGGTTACCGCAGATCAGACTGAGAGAGAAGAATGCGCCGATGGGGACAATGGCCCGCCTGAGCTTCCATTAGCCACGGTCGATTGTGATTGAGGGTCCAACTGACATGTAGATGCGAGAGGTCATGGGCACCTGGTGACGGGAGTCGAGCAAGGTGGTGAACCGCGCCATGAGGCGGGTCATGATGGTGGCGAAGACGAGATGCCATGTGGTGAGGAAGAGAGCTAAGCACATCAGTCAATGCCCTGGCCATTGTGATAGGTTTGGACGTACGGAAACCTAGGTAAACAAGATGGTTAGTCTATGCGCATAGGATGACGATCGCATATGATTTCACTCACTAAATCCAGCAGTGTGAAGAATCCACTTGTTGAAGATGATGACACCCGAACTGAGGGCGATCCAGGTACTAAGAGGTATTAGGGGAGGACAGTCATTCTTCACGGACGAGCGTACGCGATGTAGAAAGCTGGGTGGAGGGCCGCCTTGGGAGGGTCGGCCGACACGGGGGTGTTGACGGTCGGCAATTGCGATTTGGCAGCCATGGCGTCGCGCAGAAATTTGACGAGATATCGAAAAGAAGACCAAAAAGACCAACAAAGGACGTGAAGAGACTCCGCAGAATGCTGCTGGGGAGGGAAGAAGAGAACGGAGGAGAAAAGAGGACAGCGAGGAGAATAAAAAAGCTTAGCGGCGGCAGGTGAAGGGCTGGAGTGGGCCCCCGCCCGTCGTCAGCCGTCTGTTGCGTTCCTGATCGTCACTCTTCGTCTTCAACTCTTCCGTCACTAATCATTGGAAAACCATCACCACCGGTCCATGCATCCGTCATGATGAATACAGAGTTGACATCCCTCCACAGAAGTGCGGTGAAGCTAGAATGTGGTCACTCTGCCATCAATGCCGCGGTGATAAGAGTGAGGAGGCTATAGATAGCAGCACCAGCGACCTCGGCCAGGCCACGCGGCCCTTGGGCCCAGCCTCGCCCCTCCGCGTCATCGCCCCTCCAAGCGTCAGATTCTGGCCTCTGTGGTTGCTCCGATGACCGACCGCCAGGCCACATTCAAGACATTTCCACTGTTTAATCTCCTACACGCTAACCGAATTCAGTACTCCAAACACTGACAGCATACCAATCAGGCAGTCCTCAACTCCTTTTCGGATCAATGGTGGAGCAGCACCGGCCAGGGTTCGTCAGGGTCTCGTCTGCGGAGGGTGCTTATCGATAGCCTCTATTTCTGGAGTCCAGAAAATGTGGGAGGCGGTCGTCGTTGTGACCACAAGCAGCATGTACATGTGATGCAATGCTGTGCCTGCTGGAGGTGAACAAGCCGAAATTGCAAGTCCACTTCGCCGCCTCATTGTGTCCCATTTATCTCTGCCTTGTCAAACACGGGATGCATGGCATGCAGTGTTGAAACAGGCGCCCCGTGGAGCGGAGAATCAATACTCCGACCGGTCACTTACGCAGCCTCCAGAGCCAAAAGCCAAACACGTCTCTTGAGGCTGGAGGTTCAATACAACGACGCTGAAACAATCCAACCGTCAGGTTCCACGGTCTTTATGTTAAAGCGTCCGCCAACTGCACTTGAGCTGAATTCTCAACGGTCGAATAAATATGCCCCACTCTTCCGTCTCAGCCTGGCCGACCGGGAGAAATCGCCGTGCATGCGGAGTACTGGCGGACATCAGGATCTCACAGCGGTACACCGTCCAGCGAGCACCAAAACTACTCCGTATAGTTGACAATAATGGTATGGACACTAGACTTCGTTTTGGACATTTAGCTCCGTCCTTCGGAATTCGGAATTGCTCTATCCCAATCCAGAATGGTGCTTCTGGATATATTGCAGCCAAGCGTGGTGCAACCTAGACTTGATATGGCCATCAGCTCCAACCACAGCGCTGGCGCTGGCAAATGACGCTGCCTGATTCCTTCGGCCAGGAATGTTGCCATTCGTTCGCCAAAAACGCCATCGCCGTGGCCATCGGCTGTGGCCGACGGACTCCGCGATAGGGTCCCGATAAGCACTAGCGTAGTCACCCAGCTTATCTCGCGCTCATCCCCTCGAGCTGAGTGCAAACTCAGGCTGCATCTTTTGATCAGTTCAGACTCATTGAGATCCGTCATGCTGGCTGGTCTGGTACTTGGTGGCTTCCTCGGCCTCGCCACTGCCCAATTCCCTCCCAAACCTGAGGGAATCACAGTGCTCCAGTCCAAGCTGCATGAAAATGTGTCGCTTTCCTTCAAAGAGGTGTGTACTGATGATAATGTTATGATTGTGTGTTAATTGTTAGCCTGGCATTTGCGAAACTACCCCAGGTGTCCGATCTTATTCGGGCTATGTGCACCTTCCACCGGGTTTCCTGACCGAGGAGACAGGAGAAGTGCAAGATTATCCCATCAACACGTAAGTTTCTCGACGATTGAGAGCGGATATGACTGAGTTGTCCAGCTTCTTCTGGTTCTTTGAAGCCCGCAAAGATCCCAGCAATGCCCCCCTTGCCATCTGGCTGAATGGCGGACCGGGTGGTTCCTCGCTGATGGGCCTTCTGGAAGAGCTTGGCCCCTGCTCTATTGCAGCAGATTCCAAGACCACGATCAACAACCCTTGGAGCTGGAACAATGAAGTAAACCTATTGTTCTTGGACCAGCCAACGCAGGTTGGCTTTTCATACGATGTTCCCACGAATGGCACTCTCATCATAGATGATAGCGACATTAACATCTTTCCTGGGGATTTCTCCGCCGATATTCCTCAATCCAACCTCACCCATCAGGTCGGCACCTTTTCGAGCCAGAAGCTCTTGCAGACTGCCAACGGAACTGCCTTCGCGGCTCACGCTTTGTGGCATTTCGCCCAGACCTGGTTTTTCGAGTTTCCCCACTACAAACCCAATGACGATCGCATCAGTCTCTGGGCTGAGAGTTATGGAGGTCATTATGGCCCGGGTATCTTTCGGTTCTTCCAGCAGCAGAATGACCGAATCGCTGAGGGGACTGCCGAAGAGGGCTCACAGTATCTGCATCTCGACACTCTGGGTATCGTGAATGGCCTGATGGATATAGTGATCCAAGAAGAGGCTTACATTACGTGGCCGTACAACAACGTAAGTATGCTTTCTCCCGATGTTGATGTGTATTATCTGACCTTGTAGACTTATGGACTTCAAATCTTCGATCAGCCCCTCTACGAGGAGCTGATGTACAACTGGACGCGGCCAGGAGGCTGCCGCGACCGGGCGAGGGCCTGTGAAGTGGCCCTGAAGGAGCGCGACTTGGACCCTTCTTACTCGAAGAACATCACTGAAATCTGCGGAACGCTTTCCCTGGAATGTGATGCAGATGGTCCCATCACCCACTATCACACGTTCAATGTATGTGTCTGCTCCTAATGAGAATGTTGTACTGATATTGATCTGCAGCACGGCTGGTACGACATCGCCCATCCGCACAACGATCCATTTCCTGCAAAGCGTAAGCACCCACAGCTCATTTTCGAGGCTATTCCATCCTAATTGGATACAGATATGTTGGGTTATCTAAAGCAGGAGTCTGTCTTGGCTGCTCTCGGTGTTCCTGTCAACTTCACCGAGGCCTCAAATACCGTGGCCCTGCAGTTTGTGAACAGTCATGAGTACGTCTGCCGTCCCGCTCCCCACCAGCCGATCACTAACGTTCTCAGTATTGTTCGGGGTGGCTTCCTTGACGCAATTGGCTACCTCCTTGACAGTGGCGTCAAAGTGCACATGATGTACGGTGATCGCGACTACGCCTGCAACTGGGTCGGTGGTGAGAAGGCCAGTCTGGCGGTTCCCTACTCGCGGATTGCCGAATTCTCCGAGACTGGATACTCGCCCCTGCTGACTCCCGACGGGATCAGCGGCATGACCCGGCAGCTTGGAAACTACAGCTTCACTCGCGTCTACCAAGCAGGCCACGAGGTGCCTTCCTACCAGCCGGTGGCGGCGTATGAGATCTTCATGCGGGCGACCTTCAACAAGGATATTCCTACTGGTCTTTTGGCTGCTGGGGATGATTTCCAGACGACCGGACCGCTCGATACGTGGCATATTAAGAACATCCCGCCGATCGCGCCAGAGCCCAAGTGTTATATCTTGAGTCCGGGGACGTGTCTTCCGGAGATTTGGGAGACAGTTGCGAACGGCACTGCGACGGTCAAGGATTGGTATGTTGTGGATGCAGAGGGATTCAGTATCCTTGGAGGGGATGAGTTGTGATTGCCACATTGAAAGCCTCGAAGAGTAGTTATGAAGCAGGTAGTTAGATCATCACTTCTAGCTCGGGTACCATCAAACCGTTCTTACCCACAGCATCGGTATCTTCACTCAACTGAACTATGACTACCATCTTTCAGTCTCTCCCGGAATAATTTTTGCAGTAGGCAATGCCGTGTCGCAGTCTAGTAATCAAGGGTGCCCAAAGAAGGAGAGTCCACCTGATAACTTGGAGTCAACCATCAAAAACATTGCCCTTACCTACCAGCATCGGCAATCTTCACGTAGAATTCGACTACAATCAATCAATATCACTCGAAGTAATTCCGACAATAGGCAATACTGTGCCTGCTGTCTCGTAGCATGCAAAGAAAGAGATTCCGGTACTCGAACACACGGCGGCGACTGCTGTCTTTTCCAGACATCTTGCGCGGCACTCCGGGTGCTCGACCCCGGAATTGAATTCCAGCTTAGCACTCTACAATACGCATGCCTCTAGGTCCAAGGCCCAGTCGAGCTCAAGGAATGGTAAGTCTAGTTGTTTTGGTAATAACGCATCACATTAATCGAAAAGCCTGCTATAGTACATCAATATTAAGCATTAATCCCAGCACCCCATGTATATCCTCGCACCGCCATTGTATCTCAAAGTAATCATTCCGTCGTAAATAGTATCAAAGCAGCACTATGCGCGCGTGGACATTCCTCGCATAGCTATTCACTATTAGCTTTCATTCTGTATATGGATATCAACAGTCGTACCGTATCGAGTGGATCCGTAGTCAATGCTGTCCGGAGTCTGCTTAGCAGAGGCCTTTTCAGGCCGGGGCTTTTCTTGAGGAGCTACTGTGGTCGCGTCACTGAGGACGGATGAGGAGTCGTCTGTGGTCTTGACGTATTTGTCTTGGTTGATCTTGCCGAAGGATCTGGCCTTGAAGGGCCGGTAGATGCTGTTCAGGGGGGTGAGAGGCATGATGGATGTTTGTGGTGGCCGTTGATAGAGGTGATGGTTCAATTGATATTGGGTTATCTGAGGTAGTGCTGCTGATTGATGCTGCTAATTGATGCTGCTGATTGATGCTGCTGATTGATGCTGCTGATTGATGCTGCTGTGATGCTTTCTGAACAGTTATATACTAGATGGAAGAGATGGCATCGGCCCTCGGAATCCCGTCGGAGCTCGCGCACGAGCCATCGGACTGCAGCCTTCTCTCCAGGGACCATCAGCGCTAGCAAACAACAGGCTAATCTGGCTAACGGTTCTGCCTACCCACTATTTTCTTCTTATCTTCCTGGCCTTCCTTCTCGCCAGGCTTTCGGACTCGGACCTCAACGGACCTCAGCCACTTGAGTCACCACACCTTGCCCCTTGCACTCTCCTCAACATGTCCGCGCCCCGTCGCAACGGGCAATTATCATCCTGCGAGCCTTGTCGTAAGTCCAAGCTCCGATGCGATCATTCAACGCCAGTCTGCAATCGCTGCGTCCGTCGGAGTCGATCGGACCTCTGTGTGTACCACCCAGCTCCGCTGACCAAACCGCGCGAGGGCCCACGATTCAAGGCAACCAAGAATGATTCCAATGGAATGCCGGTGCCTGCGAGGACGTGGACATGGGAGAGTCTCAGCGGTTCTCCAGGATCGTCATCTTCTGTCAGTGTGTTGGGGTCAGCCCAGTTTCCCACTCCGACCAAGTTGCCTTTCTCCGGAACGGGATTTTTAGGGCCCACCAGTTACTCGGGGGCCTTTAGCGATGGGCTCGGCCCTGTGGATCGCTCTTCGTCGAGTCAATCGACGCCGATTGATCCTCAGCAGGTGGCACGGGGTGCTCAGGTGCTTTTCCTCCTCGAGAATTTACCATTGTATCAGGAAGTCATTGAGAAGCGGTTTGCCATTGCGCCAGGATGGATCCTCGGCCCCCCCCTCATGCGCGAAATCCTCAAGGCCCTGGAGGATGTCTATCGCAAGGCAACGCAGGACTCGACCAACAAGTATGCTCGTCTGATGGATCTATCGCGGGTCTTCTTCAGAAATACTCTGACTCCCATTGAGACACATTCTTCTATGGGATTGTCGGAATATTTTACGGTGGCCGCCCCGCGATGGGAGATGATCAGTCTTGTTTTCAGCTTTACTGGTACCTCCACCTATCAAGTACCGCCGCACAGTCTGGGCCTGGAGCAGACCGACGATGTGACGAGCAAAGAAGGTCTACGGCAGATCTGTATCCAAGCGAGCGAGACCTGTCTGCAGTTCTGCAATCATCTAGGAACTCTCAGCGATCCACTTGCGTGGGCCATGATCCAGCATACAGTGTTCCTGTCGTGTATGCACGGAAGTAGTAGTACGTCTCTCGCCCGGTTGAATGCATGCGCTGACAGATCAAGACCACAGAACATGGCAAATGCTTGGTGAAATCACGACGACCGTGTTTGCACTAGGACTTCACCAACCGGAGGCAGATTCAACGACGCCGTTCTTCCTGACTGAGATTCGCAAACGAACCATGGTCGGCGCCTATTCCATTGACAAAGAATTTGCGACCTTCCTCGGGAGACCGCCGCGGATATGCTGGCGATATTGCAATATTCAGTACCCGTTGGACATGACCTACGACGAGATCGTTGCGGAGCCGGAGGCCCGAGATGCCGCCCTCCAACGCTTAGACTCGGCGGGATGGAACTTGGATGGCCGTCTGGACAAGGGGGCTAAAGCTCGTGGTTGCCTCATGGCCAGCATTGATCAAGAAAACGTATTAGAGGTCTCGCTGAGCAACCAGCTAGAGGGCTTAGAGGAACGAGTTCAGTGAGTGTGTCTTCGCAGTGACTTCACCATACTAACATAGATAAGAGAGACCTGCCGAAAATCGGACGAATTGCGACGAAGTCTACCTTCGTACCTCCAATGGACAGAAGACAACGAACACTCATATGTCGCGTCTCTGCACCTGGAATTCCTCTATCACGAGTTTCTGCTGCTACAAACGCTCTTCAAGCGCACCGGCAAGGGAAATGATGCCTTAGTCACCAAGGCATCAGAGATCGTCACCATCGTCTTGCACATGGTGTCTATGGAGACGCGGGCCGGACGCGTCCATCCATTAATTATCTGGGATGTAAGGAAGAACCACTAACTGACCACGTTGACTCGCTCACCAAGCAGTTATGCTACATCGGCCTCCCTGCCGCTGGAGTCCTCTGCACCGAGCTCCTCCGACGCTCCCAGCCCCAGTCCAACCTCCTCTTATCCACCACGCCATTCCCTCGGTCGGACAACATCCAAAAACTCAGCGTCTTCGTAGCCCAACTCAAAACCTTCGTTCGGCAGAAGGAAGGCGACTACGAGATCTGCATCAAGGGTCAGCAGGTCATCTCTCAAGCCTTGGACCGGGTACTATCTCCCGCTCCGTCGGTCGTACCCAACAGCATACCAGCAAGTAATGCCGTCGAGGCAGATGTGGATTTCATGGCCTTTCTGGAGAACTTTGACTGGGAGCAGGAGATGAGATTGACGTTTGGGTGTTAGCTACCTCTAGGCAGTATGAGCAGGACACTTACCTAATAAGACATTAATTGTTGTAGTTAATCCAGCATAGAAATGAAGCGTAAACAGAATTCCACATCGGGCGGGAGCGGACCATCTCGATTCGTCATCCCGAGTTGGATCGGCTTCTCCGGAAGAGGCAATGCCCCGACCTGCAGATCGAAATCTCATAGACTCTCATTAGACTTCAGCCAATAACAGGTAGCAATTGAGTTCTTGCCAGCTGTCGCGTACTGTATCATAGAAATCAGAAGGGAAGGCCAGCGTTTGACTCCCTTAATAGAGACTGCGGCGTGTGCAAACACTGAAGGACGTGTATGTAGAATCTCAGGAGGCCCAACAAGAAGAGGTCCGAAGACCTCGGGAAGGCGCTAACCCGATCCGACAGGGTGCCAAACTAGGAAGCCACAGCACCGGAGCTATCGGTAGTCCAGCAGTATTAGAACCAAATCATGTACTCCGTATCGACCGAGATCATCTTGAAACCACCTGAGATATCGACTCGATTCGTATGAAAGCTAGAGAGGATCCAAGTGTGGTCATGTGGATTCGTTCCATTATCATTCACGAAACCATCACAACAGATTGGACTTTCCTTTGGTTCTAATACCTGCTGGCAATTTTATGCCACTGTACGAGTACACAGAGCTTTACGGTGTCAACATGGTACCTACGTGAAGTGTATTAGCCGAAGATGTCTAGGGAGTATTTTATTTGCCGCTCAGGCTCCTGGGATACGCGTACCCCGGGAACAAGGCCACCAGAGCCCTTTTCTGATTATCGACGATCTAGGTGGGAGGATTATGCTTTCTCATTAACTCAAACTCTTGGTGAGGTTCAGCCCGGTCCCGCCTGCTTCTGTGGAAGAAGTGCGTAATATTGCAGGCTTCTTTCTGCAGTTGCATATCATATTGGGTATGAAGTACGGGCAACACTATAAGGGTGTGTTAAAGCTCCAGAGAGCTTTACTAAAGCTCCCAAACAAGTAATTTGGAATCTCAAAGCCCTGATCTCAAACTGAATCCCGTGATATTCAAACTCCACATCGTCACTGCTAGAGACTGGGAACAGATTCTTGTTGGAATAGGTAGCATTCGTGCTGATGTTGCCCATGCACTTGCTGGTGTTGCTCATGCACTCTTGTTGGGGACCCGATTGCCATACGTCTCCCTGCACCAGCACTCTGGACATTGGAAAGAATAATTGACGAACCAAGATCTGACCGCCCTTTCCCAATATTCAGATTTCATCCCCACCTCCATCCAGTCCTTCTTGCACGTTTCCCAGAATTGTTTTCGCCTTGTTCGACGCCTCAAGCAGTCGCAGCAAAGGCCGACACTTTTATCAGGACGGCCAGTGTCATCACGAGGTGCGATTCGCCTGAAAAGATCAAATATTTCTGCACAGGTGGATGGTGGCCGGAACCTGTGCTTGGCTATTGACGGTATGCGGATTCTCACAAGCGATAAAACCTGGAGCATCCATTTACACGTTAGAGCGAGACACATTCGATCTAACGAGTCACTGCAATTGAATATCTCGACGAGAATCTCAACTGGTAGGTGCGATAGTCCGCCAGTGATCTGTGCCACCGCCTCCAGGAGCTGTCACTTGTCAGACAATGAACATCCTTTCATACTGTGAGAGGAACAGGCGCTGCTCACGTGGGCTGGTCGTTAAAACCGGCTATGGCAGGCATGCTGTCTATCCCAAGCCTGAGCCATAGCGTTCTTTTGGCTGGTCAGCGCGGATACCTCGATGACAGGGGATTAGGTATCTAGAGATAAACGTTATCTCCAACTTGCAATCCAGGGGCGTTGTTACACATGAGAAAAGCAGCGTGTGTTTCCAGGACAACCAACCACGCCTTCTTTGTGTCGATGTCCGATCAATCAATATCCAGAACTTTCCCTACTCTGAGAATCCCGAGAAGGGTGAACCCTCTACAGGGTAATCTGAAAGAGAACCCCGCGTAGGATGAAAAGACGTCAGGTTGCGGGATTTCTTTTCCCCATGGCGGATTACGTTTGACTCCGTAATCCAGGCATCACCAAGGGCAGCGGGGAACAAGGCACTGCCTAGCCCCTCCAGTCTTGGTCCCTTAGTTAACTCCTCCAAGCGCATCCCTTCCTGGTCCATTGTTCCGCGGTTCATTTAAAAAAAATGTCTCCGCATGGAATGCCCTGCGAGTGATTCAAGTGAGATAACGACCTCGCTATGGTAACTGGGTCTGACAGCGGACGGAGCCTATCTATGTATTGACGACGCACATTGAGGCACCATTGAATCGGCGTATATTTAAAAACGGAGACCGCAATCAACGTGGACAAAAAGGTATTGGCGCCCAAGGCACCAACCAATGACGTCTGTTGCAAGAACACTCTGTCGATGGTTTTTATATTTGATTTAATACGGACCCTTTCTTGCCTAAAGAACTATATTCAAATATCTAGTTAGCTAGTAGATAAGGATCATATATTCTAATTATTTAGCCATTATTATTAAGGTATTCTTCTTCTTCCTTCCAGCCATAGCCTAGATAACAAATACAACCAACATCTTCAACCCCATGAGCCGTAGCTCACAACATATCCTTACTGTCAACGAACATCATTCTCCCCAGGTTGGCCTTCCAGTTACTATGGTACCCCAAATAAGGGGAAAGTCCAATAGGACACACCATCAAATGCCACGGTTTCAAGGCCCTCGTAATGGTCATGTGATATTTGATCGCAGACGGGCAAGAGTGTGTGTGGGCTTCGCTGCTCCCTGAGGACAATCCAGGAGTGAGATCGATCACATGCAGCCTTGGGAAGCGGTGGTACCCAGATCAGCAAACCTGACACAAAGCACATAAGGACCGGTGAATACTAGGCTTCTGCATATGGTTCATCTCACCGACAGAATAACACTGTCGAATATAGATAGTATCAGTTGATCGCACAAACATCATTGATTCAGTTGGAACGCAACCCGGAATATAGTACTGTATATCTGGCCAACCCATAATACATTGCTACCACATTAACGACTCAGCACTCTATCCTCGCTAGTCAATCATATCCCTCTCTTCATGACACTGACCATGTTCTTTCGTAGTAACTAACATACACAACAACCCACCGTAACGTAGACTAAACACCCGGTGCATGCTCCTCCCCCTCAGGCACATGATCACTATTCACGAGACTCAAAAAGCAATTCCACCCTAGAAAAGTTAGCCAACTCAACCCCCAACAACCCCAAACTCTCCCAGATTAGAAAGAAAGGAATGAACATACCAATATTAACCACATTCACCACCAACACGCGATACTGCAACGGCACCAACCACAGATTCCCCGCCTGGACCATGGGCCAAAGGGTCCAATTGGCCTTCAACGCATCCCAATACGTCCGCTTCAACTTCTCCTGCGGCTTAACACCCTCCATGACGGACATACTAGTCAAAAAGACCCCGATCATGGTGGGTGCGCAGAGGAGTTGATCGGCGCTGACGCGCGCGGCAAGAGTCCTCCCGGGAGTGGAGAGTTGGATGCGGTTCTGTAGGAATTGGAACCATTTTGTGGCTACGGGGCCGAAGATTGCTATTTTCATACCTTAGATTTGGGATGGGGAAAGGGGATGGATGGGATGGGGGACTCACCACCACCATACAACGCCATGCGGCCCGATCGGATAACGTCATGGTTCGAGAAACCTCGCTTTTCGACGGCTTGTTGGGCGAGGCCGTCACCAACTGCAAAGAGGGTCTATCTCTGTTAGATTCATGAATAGCAATAGCACTACCCGATGGAAGACATACAGCCGTCGTGAGACTCTGCGTCAGCATGGGTCTCTGGACGAGACATCTCTGGTACCTGGGTCCTCATTAGCATACTCTCCATGATAAAGATCTTGAATACGTACCAAGCAAACATGATATCGATTGGTGGATGAATTGCTGAAATGGGATGAGAAGAGTGAATGAACTTGGAAGTCAAGAGTGACTGTTTTGGGTTCGGGGGGTGGAATGCTGGCGCGCGTGGCGGCTAAATTTCCTTCTTGGGAGATCGGGCCGCGGTGATGTAATGGGATGTAGACCGCCGGGTAGTGGATCCACCTGATAACAGGTTGTGGAGGGATTATGTCAGTGTTTTACTTTTCTCTGGTGTTATAGTGTTGTGGTGTTGTGGTGTTGATGGTGGTTATCTGGGGGGTTGAAGATAGTTATAAGATAGCGTGTAGGGTGAAATGTAAGGCACCTTGGTGGTATATAGGGGCTAGCGTAAATTTCCAGATTGGGAATGGAAGCTATTTTGGATAGAACGTGACTAGCGAATTTTCAAGTCACGCGACTTGTAAATCGGACTAACACAGCTAGGCATGCAGTCAGTCTTACCTATGTCAATAGATTCTGTCATTTGGTAGTTAATCCCTCCTTGTACTCCGAGGAGCCCTTGAATATTGCAATTGGCTCACCTCATTGGAAATTGCTTCCGTAGTCAAACTACCTTGAGATCAAGGTTTGGGCTGACCGCTGAAGTGATGGTGGACGCATCACTTCATATATACTCTGTACAGAGTAATACAGACAGATATCTTCTGACAAATGATCCATCAAAGATATGTGGGCATGTGACTTTGCAAGCCTAAATTGTCTTAACCAACAGGAAGTTTAGTTCAATGGAAGCACAGCCACTGATTTAATGGCTAGACCCAACCACTGTATTGCATTGGAGATTAATAAATCGAAACACTAATAGATCTATTTTTGGCTGCAGGAGTCATCTGCAGGAGATGCAGCGATTTATTCCTGAGGCATTTGACTCCCGTCTAGCGCATAGACATGCTTACTAACACAGTACAGGAACAATTTTTATGCACGGACTCACACTGAGAACAACATTCGCTTTCAATTATGAGCTAGGATTGATTGAAATCTGGAAAGCTCGACTATGCTGCACCTTGGACCCCTGGACCGGACCTGACCATCATTTCCGGCGTGGGCACTACCACATAACCGAAATGACCTCCCACGACGGACCAATGACAATTGCTTCGTACCTGTTAGCTGCGGTTAGCGTCCCGGACCCTGAAACCTAACCTATTCGGAGCCTCCGGAGCAGTTCGCGATCCCCTGAGCTGCCTCCACTCATCCACCCCTCTTGGGGCCATTACCCCTCTTTAAGGCTGTGCAAGATCCAGTAGAACACAGGTCGAACTCCGGTCCACACCCGTCAGCGAGGCTTATAAGCAACATGACTCGCCTGCTTACTCGGGGCCACCCACGCTCGTTCAAACATGGTTCGCCTCGACTACCTAGCAGCTTTTGCTGCCACCTTGGTCGGTAGCGCAGCAATCAACCTCGACATTACCAGTGAAGGTACCACCACTACTTAATCCACACGAAGTCTATCTCACAATCAACAGAATCCGTCAAAAATGCCGCCGCTATTGCCGCCTCCAACACCATGTCCTACTACACCGGCAACCAGACCGGGCAAATCCCAGGATACATCAACTCGAGCTGGTGGGAGGGCGGCGCACTCTTCGACACCATGATCCAGTATTGGTATTTTACCGGCGACGCGTCCAACAACCCCGCCGTCAGCCAGGGACTGTACTTTCAACGCGGCGACAACGACTACATGCCCTCCAACTGGTCCTCCTACCTCGGCAACGACGACCAGATGGCCTGGGGCCTGGCGGCCATGACCGCCGCGGAGCTGGACTTTCCTCAGGGCAATGACATGCCCTCCTGGGTGAGTCTCGCGGAACGGGTCTTTGATATGCAAGCCGCGCGGTGGGATACCAATACCTGTGCTGGCGGTCTCCGGTGGCAGATCTGGCCGTATGAAGCCGGATACACTTACAAGAACGCGGTCAGTAACGGTGGCTTGTTTCAACTGGCTGCTCGGCTGGCCCGGTTCACCAATAACCAGACGTATTCGGATTGGGCCGAGACGATCTGGGACTGGAGTGTCACTTATCTGATTGATGAGGACAAGTGGACGGTTGCGGACAGTACGCAGACGGATTCGAATTGTTCGACGGTTGGGGAGAATCAGTGGTCGTATAATTATGGGCTGTATCTGGGCGGTGCGGCGTATATGTACAACTATGTAAGTTGGCCTTGAGATTTGCATGGAGTGCAGTCTAACGGGAATAGACGAACGGCGCGACCGCCAAGTGGAAGACCGGACTCGATGGACTTCTCAACACAACGTTCAGCACGTTCTTTCCTGAGAAATACGGCGGCGAGATTATGTCGGAAGTGCTGTGCGAGCCTAATGAGGTTTGTAATGATGATGAGCTGACCTTCAAGGGTCTCCTCGCGGGCGACCTTGCCTTTGTGAGCCTTGTGGCGCCGTATACTGCGTCGGATATTCTTCCGCGTCTGCAGGGGTCTGCGGTGGGGGCTGCGAAGCAGTGCACGGGTGGCGATAGCGGGTCGGTTTGTGGAGTCCGTTGGTATCAGTCCACCTGGGATGGATGGAGTGGTATGGAGGAGGAATTAAGTGCAACCAGCATCTTTACGTCGACTTTGGTAGCATACAAGGACCAGTCTCCTGCCACGGAGGCCACGGCGACGAACCAGACTGTGTCGGCCAACGGTACTGTGAGTGGTAATGGCACGACTACTGCCGGTGCAGCTTCGGAAAGCAGTGGGGTTTTGAAGAGCGGCGCCAGTGCTCTTGCGTATGGACCGGTTGGTCTCATTGCTGCCATTGCGGCTGTTACGATCGCCTGATCGCCTGATCGCCTAGTGGTGATTTCTTTCGGACTTGTATTACTATGACCAAATAGATGCATGGCGTCTAACTACATTGCATTTCGACTTCGAAACCCAAATCGGGATGTGCTCTTAGCAATTGATAAGGACCAATAGCCCCCTGACTTCCAGAATCGATCCCGCGTCCCGTTGAGTCGTGCTAAAATCCGGCCCCAACGATGGATCTAGCGTCGGGTTTGATCTTCTCCACCCGCAACCACTCTTAGGCAGCATCCAGGCAACCATGTCCCTGAAACCAGCCAGGATAAGCTATCATGACCTAAAACTCTGATTGGTTACTCATGAGCACCTCTAAAATTAATTCCCCCCCTGCTAATACGGGCCTTCAACCAAGTCCCTCCACAAAATCTCCAGAACCCGTAATCCGTGTCTCGGCTTTTGCAACCTCACAAACCCCGATATAAGAATATCACCACCAGCACCACCAGCACTACCGCCACCTCTGTATTAAGTTCCACACTTACCTAATAATCTCAACACCATATACCACCACAATGTCCCCCACACCACCCAAAATAACCCTCTACCGCGGCTTCCCCAGCACAACAATCTACACCTGGTCGCCCTTCGTCACGAAACTCGAAGCCCGGTTACGCTTCTCGGGGATTTCATACACCACTGAACCCGGATCCGTTCGTGCCGCGCCGAAGGGGAAAATACCCTACATAGCTATTCAGAATGCGTCTGGGGCGGTAGACACGATGGCGGATTCGACATTAATCACGCAGAGGTTTATTGAGGAGGGGGTGGTTAGCGATTTAAATGCGAAGTTGGGTGCCAAGGATAAGGTACTGGATATGGGCATTAGGGCGTTGTTGGAGGAGAGGGCGTATTTTTTGCAGGTATGTACCATACCCCATCTCCTTTTGGTTTGCGGGGGTGGGATGGATTGGGATGGACGGAATACTGACTGGTAGAAAGAGCCACGAGAAATGGATCGATAATTACTACACCATGCGCAGCCACATCCTCGCTTCACTACCGTATCCAGCTCAGGTCATTGTTGGCTATCTGATCTATCGAAAACAAGTCCAGATGTTACACGGACATGGTATATCCCGATTCTCAGATGCAGAGCGGAGGGAATTCAAGAGGGAGATCTGGGCGGAAATTAATGCATTGCTTGTTGAGGCGAGAGCGAAGCGAGGGGGTGATGACGGACCTTTTTGGGTCTTGGGTGGTGACGGGCCGAGTGAGGCAGATGCCACCTTGTTTGGGTTTGTGGTGGGGGCGTTGATATGTACTGCGTGAGTGTCTTCCTTTCCGATGGTGCGTTGGGTAACTTGGGGCTAATGGAATAGGTGTCCTGAGATGCAGGGGATCGTGAGGGGGTTTCCGGTCGTGGTGGAGTATGCGAGGAGGATTCATGATAGGCTTTTTCCGGAGTATGAGGTTTGGGGGGATGCGTAGGGAGGACATTGGATATGTGGTTGGTGATGATCTCCGGATAATGTCGTTAAAAGAGTTCATATTTATCGAGATCGAGTAAGCTGCATAGTACCAGTGACATAAACTGACCTCATTACTAACGTGTAGATCTAGTGTCAGTCATCGAATCTCAAACTTGATACAGAGCTTCGATCTCAGATCGACCAATCATCAACTGGAATAGATCTATATCTATGACCCAAATCTTAATTCTTATCGCAATTGACATACAAACAGCCCACTGGATTCAGATGTAGTGGCAAGCCATTACCCATGAAGCTGTCATGACACTCGGAAACTATATCAATCAATTCACATTCGTCCGACACATTCTTTGACTTTACAAGCAACGAATGCCGAACAAGGCCATGACTCTAACGTGATAAACTAGCTAAAAGGCCTCTCCTAGATTCGAATCGTCATTCCTGTGTAATCCACATCGCAACTATTTAAACCAGTATGCACTGCATCCCTTCCCATCTAACTCTACAAACCACATATGCAAATCAAACCCTACATCATCTACAAAATGCCCCCCTCTCGCATCCTCACAACCCCCCTTCGACTCCCCACTCTCCCCCGCCCGCTCTACCAAACAACCACAACCACTCTCACCCGGGCTATTAGCACCACCACCTCCCTCAAAACCCTAATATCCGACTCCATCCGCGCCGACCACCGCGCCCTGGAACACGCCTACACCCAAATCCTCACCGCAAAAACCAACGACGAGAAAGCCCGCTGGCAGAACCAATTCACCTGGGACTTAGCCCCACATTCTATCAGCGAAGAAATCGTCCTTTATCCGGCCATGGAGACGCATTTGTCTCGGGGGGGGGGGGGGGGGGAGGTCGCGGAGAAGGATCGAGTGGAGCATAAAATTGTATGTCTAACACCTATTCTACAGACCCAGGAGAGTAGATAATGAAAGTACTGATGTGAGTGTGGGATAGGTACAAGACCTCCTCTATAAATTCCAATCATTACATCCTACTTCAGAGGAATTTATACCAAGTATCAAAGAACTCTGGGCCAATTTAGCAGCGAAGATCAAGGAGGAAGAAGAATGAGATATGTCAGCGCTGGAGAAGACATTACATAAAGACGAGTCGGGGAGGATGGTATCTTCGTTTGATCGGACGAAGCGATTCGTTCCCACGCGGAGTCATCCCGCGGCGCCGGATCGGCCGCCGTTTGAGACGGTCGTGGGATTGATGGCGGCGCCGGTGGATCGGTTGATGGATTTGTATAGGGAGTTTCCGGAAGAGGGGAGTAGGGGACGGACTTGAGAGTTTTGTTGGTATGGGTTGTTTGGCATATTGAGTTTCATCTGATCAAGGGGGCATATTGACCTGCAATATGTTACTGCATATATGCAGGATGCTGTTCTCATTTCCAGTGTCATGCACGATAAGGGAGAAATAGCTAGAATGTGAGAATATGTTTATCTCTCTGGCCAATGCAGGCTGGGTATGTCGTACGATGGAAGTATCAGACCCTCTTCCACTTCATTCCAGAGCATTCTCATGACATAGAGCTTATCTTAGAGCCGCAGATAGCAACGGAACCAGTTGGCTTGTTTTGCCCTGCATTGCTGTACAGCATCGGACTGCACCACTCCGGACCCGCTCGGGCCGACGTCACTCTGAAGTCAATCGAAGATTCGGCAAACCCTGTATATCCGTGCCTCGGTCTCGGACCGAGTAATAGCTAATTGCAAGCGTGAATATGACTGGTTGGGATCAATGCCGGCGGCTGGCTGGGCTGGCCGAATTGCTTCATCATTGTCCGATACGCACGGAGCGTATACGTCAGATGCGGACATCAATGACAGTGTTCTCTATATAAGCGAGCTGGAGGCATCGTGCGACTGCTATCGTATGTCTATTTCCGCAGACTCAACGTTGTTCGAAATGAAGGAACCGCAAGGCGCCCCCGGAACGGGCATTCACTTCCCGCAGGGTATGTCGTAGGCAGCTGCCTGAATTCTCAGGCTGACATTGTCGCAGGGATCCCAGACAGGGTATCGGAGGAGGTTAGACGCATTGCAGAGATGTTTGCCATCGATGGAGATACTCTCCGGTGCATCACAGATCATTTTGTTCGCGAGATGGAGAAAGGTTCGTGTCCAGTCCCGGTCACCAGGTAAATTCTAACAAGTTGTAGGACTCAGCCATTCTGACAGCGATATTGTATGTCTGCCTTATCCACTCTATATGACTAGGCTAATGGTCAGCCAATGAATGTAACCTGGGTAACGAGCTATCCCACCGGACACGAAACAGGTCAATACCTCACCGTCGACATGGGCGGGACGAATATCCGCGTCTGTCGGGTGATCCTAACGGAAGAAAAAGGGGGATACGAAATCACACAGAGCAAGTTCAAATTACCCAAGGAATTGAAGACCGGTAAAGCGGATGACCTCTGGGGATATATTGCCGACCGGGTAGAAGACTTCCTGCGAGAGCATGATCTCACTCGTCCGGACCAGAAACTGCCCTTGGCGTTTACGTTTTCCTATCCGGTGACGCAGGATCATATCCGACATGGTGTGTTGCAGCGCTGGACGAAGGGGTTTGATATTGCTGGGGTGGAGGGACAGGATGTTGTTGCGCAACTGGAGGCTGCGTTCGAAGAGAGGGTAAGTTGTTCCTTGTCGATGCATAAGAGACAGTTCTGATTCGACAGAATGTGCCGGTGCATATTGTTGCCTTGGTCAATGATACAACCGGGACGTTGATCGCATCGGCGTACAAAGATCCCGAAATCAAAATCGGGAGTATCTTCGGAACGGGCTGCAATGCAGCGTATATGGAAAAATGCGGACGCGTGCCGAAAATTGCAGAACACAATCTTCCTTCTGAGCAGTTGGTGGCCATCAATACGGAATATGGTGCCTTTGACAACAGTCACAAGGTTCTTCCACGATGTCAATTCGATCTGGAAATTGACCGTGCTTCGCCGCGGCCGGGTCAGCAGACATACGAAAAGATGGTAGCAGGCCTGTACGTTGGCGAGATTGTTCGGCTGATTATTATCCATCTCCATGAGAAGGTAGGGTTCCTAGATGGAGGCGACCTCAGCCGTCTTCGGGAAATGCATGCCATGGAATCGTCGTGCGTGTCGAAGATGGAAGAGGATGGGTCGTCGGAGAATAGCGCAATGGCAGAGACACGCAGTTTTCTTAATGAGGAGTTTGGCATCGAGCCTACGCTGGAGGAGCTGCGAGTGTGTTGCCTTCTTGGGGAGGTTGTCTGTAAGCGTGCAGCGAGATTGTATGCTTGTGGGATTGCCGCGATCTGCAAGAAGGAGGGCATTCGACGAGGTCGGGTTGGGGTGGACGGGTCAACGTTCGAGAAGCTATTTCGCTTCAAGGAACGGGCGGTATCTGCTTTGCGGGAGATTCTCCAGTGGCCAGACGATGAAGATCTGGTGTCGTTTGTTCCGGCAGAGGATGGGTCAGGCATCGGAGCGGCTTTGATTGCAGCGTTGTCTGGACACGATTAAGCGTATTTATATTAACGAGTAACGAGATAATGGAACTTTGAGCCATCTTTTGAATATTCCTTTAGTAATACCTGCAGACATTCTCATGTGCTATCTCAATAGCCTTGAGCTGCGTTACAGTCGGTGATTTCATCATCATGCCCCCTCGGGGGTGTTAGATGGTCGAGTAGTGGTGGTGGGAGGAGAGGCGTGGAGCGCCGTGAAGGCCCCTAAGTGAGTGGATTCGATGTAATGTGGCAAGTGTTGTGCGTTTTGTTTACCTTCTGAACCGAATGTGGCAGAGAAGCGAGCGGATATATACCTCCGTCGCGAGTGTAAGAAAACGGAACATAAAACTCCTGACCTTAATAGGCTGACTGGGAAGGAATTTGGAAGAACATCATATCCTAAGAAAGTCTACTCAGCTATCTCAAGGTTACTGTGCGTATATTCATATGAGGGGATGCAGGATGTCGGCACGGTGTCTTCTTGCCGATCGGTTTCCGGCAAAATACCAGGATGCCGGTAGGCGGGAGACCGACTTTTACATCAGCCACATATTTCCATGCCTAAATATCTTCGTGCATTGGTAACTCTACTGCAATTTTGGCTCAATTAGATACTAGAATTTGGTATCTAGTAGCAAAGCAATGAGGAACGAAACACGAAGGAGGCCGCTGAGACATAGCAGCTCCTTGAGAATTAAGAACGTAGTTCATATTAAACATTTTCAACAGCAGAATACGATGCCACACAACAAGATGAAAGTTTTTTTCATGATACATAAGGGACATTGTTCGTGGCACATCTCACTCAATCAACATGGTGGCCGGATCTTCGAGATACTTCTTCACCAAGGTCAAGAAGGTAACCGCCTCACGTCCATCCACCAGTCGGTGGTCGTACGTCAGAGCAGTGTACATCATCTAGCGTTTTATTAGGCCTCGTCATGAAATAGTTAGGAGAAAGGCTCACCGGGCGGATCACTACCTGTCCGTTAACAGCAACAGGCCTCTCCTTGATGCCATAGATGCCCAACACCGCCGTCTGCGGCATGTTGATGATCGGAGTTCCAAACAGCGATCCCCACATACCACTATTGCTGATTGTGAAAGAACCCCCAACCAAGTCACGCATGGATAATTTGTTGTCACGAGCCTATATAATCAGTATCCTTCATCAGAAGCAGATGTGAAACCAACCCTCTTCCCCAGCTCCGCAATCCCCTTTTCAATTTCCACCACACTCATATCCTCCACGTTTCTCAACACCGGCGTGACTAAGCCCTTGCGTGTCGCAACAGCGATGCTTAGATCAATGTAGTCCTTGAAAACAATGGTATCGTTGTTCTCAATCGAGGCATTGATAGCCGGGATCTCCTTCAACGCGAGTGCAGAGGCACGGGCAACTGGACCCATGAAGCCGAGCTGGACACCGTACTTCTTGAGTACGTCGTCTTGGTTCTTGGATCGAAACTCCATTATTTTCGTCATGTCGACTTCGTTCAAGGTGGTCAAGAAGGCTGCGGTGTTCTGAAATTCTTTAAGACGTTCTGCGAAGCGGAGACGTAGGCGGGTCATTTTCTCCTGCGTTACTCATTAGTGTCTGCTGAAGGATTGAATGGAAAAGGCAGATACCTTGGTCTCTGCACGAGTGGTTCTGGGAGCTGGAACAGGATCCTTGGGCCTTGCAGCAGGTGCTGCTGGCTGAGGTTTAACCTGAGGAGGTGCAGACTCCTTACGCTCAGGTTCAGGGGTGGGCTGAGGCTCAGAAGAAGTCGTCTGTCCCTTCACTTCACCAACAGAGTCAGAAGCATGCTCAGGCTCTGTATTCTGCGAAGCATCTTGGCTTTTCACAGAAACCTCAACAACGGCCTGTCCAACTGTCACGGTATCTCCCTCGCTGACAAGAAACTTTGTGATCTTTCCACTCTCTGAGGCATTAACAGCCACATCAATCTTGTCGGTCTCGATCGAGGCGAGTTCCTCATCCTGTTTCACATAATCACCAACCTGCTTGTGGAAGGTAGTCAGCACACCCTCAGAGATGGATTCAGCCATGGCAGGAACACTGATGAGGCTTGTTTCCTCCGCATAGAGGGTCGAAGCACTGAAAGGACGCGTCTGCTGTGATGACTGGTGATTCCATTGCAAGATGACATCGAGTGACGCGACTGGAAGTGAACTGAATGTATGACTGGAAGGTAATGAAGAGAGGGTACGGAGAGCACGGGGAACATGGATATATGTGCCCTGGAGGCGGGATGCTGCACGATAAGCCATGATGAGATCCAACGTTGTGATTCAACGAACGCTGAGTGGAGAAACCAGAGAATGTAGATCGATGGGATCCTTGGTGTGGGATCATGAAGCCGCACGTTGCCCGGTCATTTGGTCGCTTGCCGACCAGTCGGCTATTTCGGCTATTTGCGAGTGTTACGAGGGTATGTTTGCACGGAGAACGTACAATGTGGTGAAGGCCACAACTGGCGGTGCACGTGGTCTGAATGATATTAACCAGAAGGGTGACTGTTACCATACACTATTTCATCCTGTCTGCCTTCACTCCGTCCCGATGGTTATCATGGAATGCACCCGTGTCCATAACCCGGGGATCTTAAATCCTTGCATCGTAGTTGTTGACAAATGAGAAAATGGACATATACCGACGCCACATGAAGACTCAACACGATGGTTGGGCTATGCCCATGAAAATGATAAGCTGCCGACTCTTCCTGGATTACAATAAGTGACTGATGATGCCAGACCCACCATTGCTCTTGTTCCGTGCCATCGTGTCCTCTTGTCTTAAATATGGACCAAATCAAACCAACAGCCAAGCGTTTGCACGGGCCCTTTCATCGGAAATACCGAGTCCTCACGATTTGTACCTCGGAAGTGGGAGCCCTCCGCATTCCCGAGTGGGTCGTCCGGATATCCCGCGATCGACAGGGCAGCATTACGAGTCTGCAGTCCCCGCATCAGCACGCCAACAGTCTGAAGAACGGGGCAAAATGGTAGCAATTGAAGAAATGTCGTCTTGCTTGAAGGATGACAAGATTGGTGGTCTAGACCCACCCTAGGCAGTAGCTGGTCTTAGGGTTCTTGTCCAGCTGACGCCGATGCCGGTGATTACTTCCGGTTAGGAGAGTCCCTAGTCCGTGCTCGACTTGATGCGGGGTATTTAAAGTAAAGGGCAAGGAATTCAGTCCAGGGGCGTGGATATCAGATCCATCATGATCTTGCCTGTCCTCCTCCTTGCGGCCCTCGTGGCTCCCGCGGCCGCAAGCAACGGCCACTTGACCGTTCAGACCAGAACCGGCATCTTCACTGGCCTCCTTAATCCTGAGTTTCCCTCAGTCCGTGAATTTCGGTCCATTCCCTATGCACAACCACCCGTAGCCTCCCGTCGATGGCTGCCACCCGCACCACTTCCCAGCTCCAACCAAAGTCACTACGCGACCAGCTTCCCTCCCGCTTGCTCCCAATATGTCTCCTCCAAATCCACCGTTTTCGGCAACATAGTCCCTGAATTCTTCATCTGGGACGGCAATGAGAACAGCACGGCGGGGTTAATGGCCCAAGCCAGCTCCGAAGACTGCCTTCAACTCGCTGTCTGGACCCCCGCGAATGCCTCCACTTCGAACCTTCCCGTTCTCCTCTTCATGACAGGAGGTGCCTTCAAAACCGGCGGGATCAATGTGCCTTACCAACTACCCGCCTCCTGGGTATCCCGCACCCAAAGCCACATTGTAGTCACCATCAACTACCGCGTCAACATCATGGGTTTCCCCAATGCAGCCGGCCTCGATGACCAAAACCTAGGAATTCTCGACCAACGCGCCGCTCTCGAATGGGTCCACGAAAATATCCACCACTTTGGTGGTGATCCCGCTGCCATCACCCTCTGGGGGCAATCCGCGGGGTCTATCTCCACCGACTTTCACACCTACGCCTGGCACGATAACCTCATCGCTCGAGCGACATTCTCCCAATCCGGAACAGCCCTCAAACCCCTCGACAACAAGGATCACACCCACACAAACTTCACCTTTGTCGCAAAGCACATGGGTTGCGACTTCCCTCATAATCCGGCAGCCGAACTCGACTGCATGCGCCAAGTTTCCGTCAACCGGATCGAGAACTTTGTCGGGCAGTACTTGGATGCAGGATCCACTCCATCATTGGTTTTCACGCCTATCGCCGACGAGAAAATCATCTTCTCGGACTATCCCGCTCGCGCAGCACAGGGTCTCATTGCGAATACCCCCGCCATCATGTCCAACTGCGCCAATGAAGCAGTAGCACTCTATCCTTTTCCTAGTACCAATGTTACTGCGGGACCGTGGCAGCCTGGTGTGAACGCTGTAACGCTCAAGGACTGGCTATGCGTCACCGCCAATACGAGTATTGTCCGCCACAACGCAGGACGGAAGACGTATCGCTACCAATACGCGGGAAATTTTTCCAATGTGAGTCCGTTCCATTGGATGGGAGCGTATCATTCTAGCGATCTCACGATGAACTTTGGGACGTATCCGGACTTCCGCGGAGTGGGGACGCCGCTGGAGAAGAGGACTAGCGAGGTCATGCAGGATTATTTGCTTGCGTTTGCTAGGGACCCAGTTCAGGGTCTCGAGCGAATGGGGTGGCAGGCGTTTGAACTGAATGCGGGTGATGGAGGTTTTATAAAGAGGTTTGGAGCTGATGGGCTGGCTGAGCAGGATGTCACTGGAATGGAGGTGCAAGGAGCTTGCTGGGGGGAGGGGACGTATGATCCGTTCCCTTGAAAGTAGAAGGCTTGCTTATCAGCGTTGGCTAAGCTGGTAAGTCATGACACGCTGATCTGGTGGCTCTCTAGCAGATGACCCGGTTATTGCATGCTCATGCAAGTCACAGCAACAGTTAGACATAGAAGCAAGATCTCGAAGGTTATGTAACGTTGGTCTCAGTGCAAAACTCTCGTGCCGTCACTTTCGTTGATAAAATCTGGTTTTGTTGCATTGTGTCACGCATGTTTTCAGTATGCCATACAGTCTAGAGTTGCTGTTGCATGCAACCGACTGTAAAGCCGATGAAGAATGTCATCAATGACAGCATTCCACTTGAAATTGCCGAGAATTCCAGTGTAACATGTCCCGAAAAAGAAGTTGCATTCAGCTTTTAAACTAAGTATAAATCTCTGGCAATTATCCTTCAACAGAAAACCATTCATCCACTCTTGACAATCCCACGGCCCAAAGGCCCAATCCACACAACAACACCGCCAAAATGCACGACGACGAGCCCGAGGTCCACTGGTTCAAAGTTATCAACAACAGTGATGCGACTCAAAAATACATCATGTTTGCTCCGCCTCCCACTCCTGACTTTGATACTCCGATCTGGCAGGCCAGCGATGACATTGGCAACGAGACTTCCTGGGAGGTCCACACCACCGCTCCTATCTTTGCTGGTATATCCTTTCCAATCTATGTCGCTTTACACAGAATACCCAGAACCTAGCAGGGGCTATGCTGATACAGAGTTAGGTGTCGGAACCCAAGACGGGACCCAGATCACAGTCAAGGACAGCGGATGGGAGGATTCGGGGATTACTAACGGAGGCCCAGGTAGTTGTATCTTCAAACGCTCCACACTGCTCCCCAAGAAGTACTAACTCAATGTCCAGAGGTTTTCAAACTTAGCTTCGATGGCAATGGAGATCCCGGCCTAGAGGATTTGGGAATTGTCAATGACGCGGGAAATACCTTTAGCGTTTCTATTGAAGATCTCCCAGACAATGGTAAAACGTACGTGATTGTCTTTGGAAAACGCGACGGTCCTAAAAGTGATATTATTGCGCCATGCGCATCTGTGAGTGCCACCCCCCACCTCCTGATAATTCAAAGCTTGTGAATATGACCATTACTGATACCGTCCCGCCCTCTAGATTACTGCCAAGCCAAATACCCACCAGCCGGTGACCCCTATCATCCAGCTGTACTTCTACAACGACTCGGGCACGGCGGGCGGTCTGATTGATTACGATTCGTTGAAGGATAAGGCTGCACATATCGACTTTGCAGTTCATACTCCGGATGCCAGTCTTTGTACCGTGATTCATAAGACGTCGTCGTGGGAAACAGCTTATGACAACACCCTTCCTAATCAAGAGTAGGCCTGTTCATCTTCTGTAAAGGACGGCTGTTTCTATTGGCGAACGAGATATGGATATTGTTCCATCAAAGATCGGGAACAGACCTTATAAAAATACACTAGATAGTATCGAACTAATACCAATCCTTGTCTATGTGATTAATGGGGAAATCATATCGCCACTCAAATTGTTCCAAACGAGGATCAAGCAGATGGTTTTAGCCTAAATATTTTGTTGGCTGGTACGAGACGAATAGGTAATCTAGTGTCGTTTATATTCATACATTTTGTAGAAAAAAAGCATGTTCGCCGAATACTTGATAATTTGGAGTAGCTACAAAATCGTTACGCCTTCGGGATGCAGTTTTCTGCGGACTCTTTTCCTCCTTCAATCCTGGTTTCATCTTTTATTCCATGCATGATTCCTGCGAGGACAGTGAACCGTGACCGAGAACTACCTACACGTCACTTACCGTAAGTTTAAAGTTCGACATCTTGTTTCTCTAAGACCTTCGGTCTCCAGACACTTTCAAAAGGTCTCAGTAAGAAGGTTGAGATAGTGTTCGATTAGGTAATATTGTACATGTATCCAGGTCGCACCCACTATTACTCGCTATCGTAAACTCCCATCCACTAAGTCTACTTCCGACCTTGATGAGAATAAACTCATCCTTCAGCTCCACATTTCAAGCCTCGTGTCCGGATGACGTAAAGGAGCGGCACCCAGCCTCATCCGCGGCCATGATCTGCGATCTCCGCATGCGTGCGAAACACCAAACGAAAGCGGCATCATCTGCAAGGGGTGAATTCACATCCCCAACATAACCATCATGGCCAGGTATAAAGAGGATAAAGGACCCCATCACGAATGTCTATGCTCTCTTCCTAACCACACAAAGAATACCTCTCCCCCGTCTCAGTACTGAAGAAAACCGCAACAATGTCCGACCCTGAAGCCGAAGTCCACTGGTTCAAGCTGTTGAACAACAGTACCAAGGACCAGAACTATATCATGTTTGCTCCTCCTCCTGATCATAACTATCAAGATTTCCAGACTCCAGTATGGGTATCGAAGTTTGTTGAAAATCATGGGTGGTGGGAGGTTCATACCGCGGGGCCGATTTATGCTTGTACGTTATGAAGTCTCCTCCATTGCACCTATTACGTGGATATGTCAAGGTCAGCTGATTGTCATGCACAGATGTCGGACGCCAATATGGGGATACCAAGACGGGCAAGGTTAAAATCGAGAATTTCGCAGTGGCATGGATAGACGACGACTCGAAACCACGTATGTATTTCCTCTGCACATCTTACAGTCTGCTAACCAGTATACTAACATGATATATAGCCGTCTTCGAGTTATCAATTGACTCCCATGGCGCCCCCACCCTGACAAAAACCCAAGAAACATCACAAACACCCGGTGCCTTCATCGTGAAAACCGGGCCCGACTTTTCCGAGAAAGACGCAAACGGCAACGCCTACGTTTTTGGCTTCGGGAAGACGGATGGTGCTACGAAGGAAGTTGCCCCTTGCGCATCGGTGAGCTTCTCCCCACTCAACAGAGTAATCATGCTTCATACGCTAATCCTGGTATTCAGAGTGTGGCTAAAAAAGACCAAAGCGTCCCTGTCAAGCCTGTCATCGAGCTCCACTTCTTCCCCAGTGATGCCAAGCCGGGTGAGTTCATCGATTACAAGACGATTGTCGATAGCGGTAAGACGGGACACGTCCAATTTGCGGGTCACTTGGATGCGACGCTGTGTTATGCGCTTCATAAGATGGAGGGCGAGGAGTGGGCGATGGGGTATACGAAGGAGCCTCCTGTTTGAAGAATCTTCGTGCTGGAGGTATCGCCAGTGGCTTTTGACACAAGGACTGGAAAATATTGCTTGAGGATGGCAGAGAACGGGGTTTTGCTTGTTTGCATTGGCTATGGGCATCATTTGCTGCTGTTTCTCGAATCCATTAGTTCAATCGAATCACCCCTAGAATACCCCGCTGGATAAAGTCTTGATGAGCAGAGGAGTGAAATATATCTTACACAGTCTGTTCCTTTGGTGCAACCAGTTTTACCGTAGCTTGGATGCACGCCGCCCCCCACCCGGAACCTCAATGCTTTGGACAGCTGCACCCTACCATGTGCGGCAATTACAAGCTGAAACGCCCTGTATGGGTTTAGGTCTATAAAGGCGGGGCAGTAGGTACTAGTCCAGGGGACTGGGGGTGTTAGTGCTTTTGGGTTGCAGGTATGCGCCCTTTACTCTGCCATTGCAACAGTCCATACTAAGAAGAATGTACATAGTTAGCCAAGGCCGCAGGCGCAAGTGTCGTCGTGACCACATCTTGCGACGAAAAGGCTTCACAACTGAAGCAGCGCGGAGCCGATCATGGTCTCAATTATCGATCTCAACCAAACTTGGTGGGTATTGCCCGCCAGCTCACCCCGAATGAAGCGGGGGCGGACTATATTCTGGACATCGGTGGTATGGATACACTGGAGCAGAGTTTGAAGTGTATCAAGATGGAGGGGATCATAAATTTGGTTGGCTTTCTTGGAGCTAGTGATAAGCCTCATCCGGGAGTGTTAGAGGCTTTGAGCCATGTCTGCACGATAAGAGGCCTGTGTGTGGGCAGCCGTGCTATGCTGATTGATATGGTGCAAGCGTTTGAGGGAAATGATATCCGTCCAGTTGTTGACAAGCGGGTTTTCAGCTTCGAGGAAGTGAAAGAAGCATTTGAATATCTGGTAGGCTACGTGAATCTGTTTTCGGGGCGACTTAGGATACTATCTGTCGAATTTAGGCCGCTCAGGAACATATGGGCAAAGTCCTTGTACGAATTAATTAAGCTCAACTTGACTTGCCAAGCGAAATTTGTTGTTACCGGGAAGTGCAATGAGAGGGAGATGTTCATCGTAGTTGCCCTTCACGAAAATATCTGTCCTTTGTTCTCATTGTGGTGGGAGTTTCTTGGGGTCGGGTATTGAATTACGATCGGTTCCTGAAGCTGCGCCGAGGAACTGGCTTATGGACAGCCACTTAAGTTATGGACATCCAGATACCAATCTCTAACAACCTTAAAGATATACAATAAAACCCCCAAAGCCTACATCAATAAAATTAGTGTCGCGAGACTAGATATGCATGAAAAGGGAGCCCCTCTGAGCCTATAAAGGTTAACACCAAGGGTAGCACGCATTCAGCAAATACCGACCATCAGGGAAGAATGTATCCGCGGACAAGAACTGGGGAAGCATGCCCTGATTTCTCCACGGGTAGCCATGGAAATAGCCTCGGGCCCGGAAGACCAAATAAACTTCCTATCTTGCGTAACACAGACTGGGTAATAAGGTCTGCCATGTCCTGACAAACCTAAACTTTGAATTGAACGGGCTTCACCATTACCGATACCTTGAATATCCTTAATTCAAATCCCCACGGGCCAAGAATGTACTTCCGCGGAGTGGGGCGTGGCTGGATAATGTTTCCGTCAACATGAGCCTATCCGATATGATATCTGGTATGCATATTTAATCAAGGGCAGGCACATTCCCATCGCCTCTAATTTGGTACTGAAACCGATGTGATCTTCTCTGCATAGCCTATCGCACCCACCATGCCAATGGAAATGGATCGCGAACGCTTCGCAGCGATGTTTCCCGCCGTTCTCGAAGACGCTCTCAGCTACGCCAGAAGCATACATACTCCTCCTGAAGCCTTAGCCTGGCTGCAAAAGGTACTCTCCTCATACCCCCAGCACTCCCAACACCCCACGTACCTCCAAATACCAAAACCATCCAACCCACCCCACACCCATCTCACAACCCCACCAAATACCAAATAACCCATCCTCAGAACATAACCCACAACACCACATCCGGAAAACACCTCCGCGGACTCCTCATCCCCAACACCCACGCGCACAGCCTCTCCCGCCCGCTCACCTCCCCCGAATACACTCTCTCCGCGAAACTCGGCTGGCTGCTCGAACTCCTCCAAGCGTCATTCCTCATCCCCGACGACATCGAAGACCATGATACCGTCCGCCGGGGCAAGGCATCCTGGCATGCTGTCCCGGGGGTGGGGATGAAGGCGATCAATGATGCCGCATTGCTGCAGAGTATTGTATTTTACTTACTGAGGAGGTATTTGAAGGGGACGTGTAGGTGGTATGTGCAGATTGTGGAGTTGTTGCATGAGGTGGTTTTCCGGATAGGGTTGGGGTAGATGGTTGATTTGATTTCTGGGGCTGGGAGTGAGGAGAATGGGGGTGTGGATGGAGAGGGGGAAATAAGTGGAAGATTGAATGGGATTAGTGAGGGGAGGTGTGAGGTTATTGCGAGGATGAAAACAGCGTATTATACCATCTATGCGCCCGTCGTGGTGGGGATGTATCTTGGGGGTGTGGGCACGGAGGAGAATCTGGAGAGAATGAGGAGGATTGCGTTGCGGTTAGGGATTTATTATCAGGTGCAAGATGATTATTTGGATAGTTTTGGGGGACAGGAGCAGATTAAGGAAGGAGTCGGGGAGAGATATTAAGGATGGGAAGTGTAGTTGGTTGATTGTGGAGGCGTTGGGGAGGGTGAATAATGTGCAGAGGGGGGTGTTGGAGTGCTATGGGAGTGGGGAGCCGGGGGCGGTGGAGAGGGTACAGGCGGTTTTTAGGGAGGTGGGAATGAAGAGGGTGTTTGAAGAGTTTGAAGAAGAGTTTATTGAGAGGATGAGAAGGGATGTTGCTGATATAGACAAAAGCACGGGATTAGAGAAGGGTATATTCGTGGATATTATGGGTATTATGTACAGGAGAGATAAATAAGGCCCATAGTGATTTGTACAGTTGTTTCAACCCAGTATGTTGGGGTAAGAATGGAAGGTATGGTGGCGTCATAAACAATATTCGCAAGCCACACTGCGGGCTGATGACAATGCCCATTTAATCATCATGGATGCATTAATGTTCCATCGCTCATCATGGCCAATCATCAATGTCCAGAGGTGTCACGACAGACACAGGAATTCTGAGACCTCATTTGCAACTACGATCTGGGCAGTCCATCCAGTTCGGCATGCTGCGCTGACCGGTCCAGTTCATATATGGGCTCAGCCTGCGCAGGCTGCTTTTGCGACCACGTCTCGTCGAGACCATTATATCCAGCCGCCCCTTGGGGAAGGACATTCGACGCAGTCCGCCGGCGGAAGTATAGAAGCGCTAACATGACCGCGACTAGGACAAATCCAGCTGCAGCCCCCACACCAATCCCGGCTGCCGCCCCAGCACTGATGCCCGAAGAGCCACCTGAGGATGAACTAGCGGTAGCGGACGATGTAGAGGTAGATGAGGTGGTGGTTGACGACGAAGTGGAGGTGGAGGTTGCAACCGCATAAGTTGGCGTACCCGATGCCGTGGGCGGAAGATATTGGATTGTCGCAAGCTGCGATGGGGCGGGAGCGGCCCAGATCTCCTTGGACGGATTGGAGCAATTCACCGTCCCGGAGTCATTTTCACAGCATGCCCAGTATCCTTCGGATGTGTAGACAATCTCGGCATTATTGCGACCTCCTATGGAGTGGAGCACTGTCAGCAACTGTTGGGGCGGCTTGGATGCGGATCGGATTGGACTCACCACATCGCGTCCCGCAGGCGGCATCTTCCAGCGTCTCGTCGGTGCAATCGGCCGCATAATAATAATCTCCTTTTTTTGATCGGGTGTTAACGCAGATGGAATTGCTCAAGCAGTAGTCGCCATTGACGCAGCAGTTCACGTAGGGGTGGGTGGAATTGGTAACACCACATGCAAGATCGGCTTTGATATACTCAATCTCACTATTATGCATGCCATGGCAGGTCGAAGACATGAGGGCGAAATGAATGGTGCGGCCAGTGATGTGTCGCGCGTTGTTGGACTAGTCGAGTTTCCTTTTCTGGGCTGCGCAGGATGGTTCAATTGTACGGGCCTCTGGAGTTAACATTCAGGGATAGTTAAGCTCCAGCCTCAAGCTGACCAGGGCCCGGAAAAACCATTTCTCAATCGCAGGGCTTGGGGGCCAAAAGCTGATCCCCTTCAGCTCAGATGGCATGGATCTGCGGAGATGTGCCCAGGCGAAAGGCCAATGATGGACGCGAGAGGAGCGCCGGTGCGAACTAGCAGCAGTATGGCTGACACTAAGCATCTCGGTTATATCGGGGCACCATTGTTCCGGGCGGTCTTATGAGCCCAAGTGGATCAAGAGCAGGGTCTGCATCCGAGGGTGCCTAGAGGAGGCTCGTGGATGTTTTCCTGAAGCTGACGATCCGATGCAGGAAGGAGGATGCGACCTAGTGTAAGCCTGCTTGGTGAAATCCTACATTATGGATGAGCAAACAACGGATTCTGTTCGGATAGCTCGACTGTGAATATAGTCTGCCGACTGATTGCTTTCATCCTGTATCAGGCCAGGTGTTTGCTCGCTAGACAGCAATCGGACTTGCCGACAATGGTGTCAGCCTCACCGCCTACTTCATCCAAGGCTAGACTGGCAGAATGAGACACATGATGACATGTCCAAGATGGACAGGCGGTGAGAATTGTTACAGCAACCGGGTGTGGCTGTGGCTGTGGCTTAAGCAGTGGTGGATTTGTGGCTGAGTCACTTGTGACACCGGTCGCCATCTTGTATTCAATTAAGAGACAATTGCCAACTTTAGAGACCGAAAGTGAGATTGAGAGCCTATATTATCCCTCATATCTTCATCTTCTGCAAAATTCATATGCTTTTAACAACTCATGTTTGTGGGCGAACGCTGTTTTGTCTGAAACATGTCATAGGACCTTGCGTGCACATGAGTATCGATTTATCATATGCCTTGTTAACAGCCCGAGAGAGGCATAAGCTCGTCTCGGTAGAGGATGTATCTTATTTACATGATATGCTATCCTCATAAAGGCAGCTGAGGCGAGGTCGAGTAATCCAGCTCCTGCCTCCTCGGGTAAATATATAATGTTTGTCGATAAGGTATCAACCACCGTAGCTCAAATTGCGTCATTTAGATGGACTAGAATGAGCCCAGACACAACATATAAGACAGCTTCAGTGAGTTGCAGCTGTTACAAAATGCAACAGGCATGTCCTTAGACTGAACAACAACGCTAATTGGAAGCATGCAAAGGATATCACCACAGGTAGAGTACGACACAAATATCTGGCAAGATGATATTGCTGGGAAGGTATCCAGACTTGGAAAAGTCTAGCCCAGACTATTCTCGCGGGCCTTAACCCAATTTATCTTGATTCTCCTCAAGCAGGAGGTCGCACAGTCTACGGTTTCCTCCATGTCTCCAGAAACAATGGCTTATACTAAGAATTGGATGACATGTGGTAATCCAGTGAGTGCAGGCAATTTCCAGGGACATTCGGTCGCCGTTAGAGTCTCTTATCAAGCACTCAAGCAAATTCTCAATCTCCGTCGATCCTAAATAGGAAAAGTGACTTCCTTCGCCCATCAGCATGTGACTCTTTTGCTAGAATGCGACTGCTTTATAATAATTATTCCGACTGAATCTGGAGCCAATCGGCGTGCCAATTGTCCAACGCGGGGAGTAAGGAGCTAGGCAACTTTTCCACGAATTGGGGAATTACCAACATGGGGTTCGAATATCAAAGGATCTTTACATAATGTCAACCCGTCAGTGGTGCTCCGCGATATGCGTATTTTTATTTTTCTGGCAAAGTGTTTAGGTGCATAATACATGATCTCGGCGAGCTTCCAGGTAAAATGTCGCGATCAATGGTAGACAAACCGCATGACATATGGCTCCATCTTGCGCTTACTACCCAGGGCTTGGGCCATAAAAGGAGCGTTTATCATGCCTCCCGGGAAGAACAGGCACACAGAATTAACAAGGGCACATAAGATGCGCATTGACTACACAGGGCTGACCGATTCTCCATATTTTGCAGATGCAAGACCGATCGTCTGATTCCTATTCAGGGCACTTATCTAGTAAGCTTGGCTTCGAATACAGTAGTCGATCATGCCGGCAATAGAGTCTCATCCTCCAACGGTCAGACAACCATGTGTTCGTGAAAAATCCGAAATTATCGATCCAAGTGGATCGGCGGGTGGGGTGTGGAAACCGTCCGGTGGACTACGGTCTGGATCTGCAGCCATCATGAAATGAGACTAATTTCAGCCCTCAAGTCTCCATTGGAAGCTGCAACACCATCTGCCGGTGGAGTTCACACGCGTCGACGAATCCGTTCCCCGCCCGAGGTTGACGGATGAAACAAGCCCGGGCCCTGCAGGCCACAGGGGCATATATACGATATGGCCGTCATGATTCCTCCGCACGCCCTCCAACCCTCCCCCAAATGTAATCTTCTTCACTTCTCCGTCCTTTCTTTGCAGACGGCCAGTCGGTCTCGCCATGGAAGAGATTTGGGAGAGAGACCTCACCCCCGAGCGAATAGCCTATCTGGCGCAGTCTCGGATTCCCGAGATCATCGCCTGTAATACGGTACTGATCGTGTTCGCGACCGGTGGGTTGCTGGTGCGTCTTTTCGTCCGGATGCGCTATCTCACGGGCATCAATCTCGATGATCTGCTATGCTTGACCAGTTGGGTACGCATTTACCGCTATCTTCGTCTATCTATGCACTCACTGACAATGTAAATTCTGTTTAGATTTTTACCTTCGTTTTGTGTTTTACTTGCATGTTGAGTGAGTAGCTGCCACAGACAAGCGAAGGTATGAGGTATCCTAACGGTTCTCTTAGTGACCAAGTATGGATTTGGCAGGCATATTGGTGTGATCGATATGAGCGATCGGGGCATGTTCCTGAGGGTATGGTGTTTACCAAGACTATGAGCCCCACGCCGCTGTCCGCTGACTACTCGGTTTGCAGCTCAACTTCGTCACGATGCTCGCCTACGTTATCGCCCTCGGATTTATCAAGACTTCCTTCTGCGTCCTCTACCTGAGTATATTCCCCGGGAAGAAGTTTCGCATCGGCTGTTGGTGTGTGCTGGCCATCATCGCCGCCGAGACAATTTCGGAAATCCTTGTTGTGATATTTCAATGTTGGCCGGTCCACAAAGCATGGGATGCCACGGGGCTGGTGGAGGGCCACTGTGTGAACATGACAGCATTTTACTATGCGAATTTTGGGATCAAAATGGCCAGTGATTTGGCCCTCTTCTTGATGCCGATGCCAAAACTGGTGCGATTGAAGATGACGGTCGGAAAGCGCGTGGGCTTGGTAATGATGTTCAGTCTGGGTCTTCTGTATGGCGCCTTTCAATCCAAGATGGCAGCAAAGCTAACCACCTGACTGATAGTGTTTGTGTGACATCCGTCATTCGAGTTTCTTATATGAACCCTTTCTCTGTCGACCACACCTGTGCGTTACGATCAATCTTCACATCCCTATTTACATCCTACTAACATACGGTCAGGGTCGTTGGTCAACACAATGAACTGGTCCTGCGTCGAAGTCGGGGTTGCCGTCTTTATTGCGTGCATTCCCTCGTTCAAATCGCTCATCACTGCCCGCTTCCCAGGACTGCAGCGTCTGCTCGGCTTTTCCACCCAGGGCGAGTCTAACGGCCCGTCAAAAATGTACAGCACCACAACCCGTCGGACGAACAACGGGATGCCTATTGGGGGGCAGCACAGCATCAGACTAAAACCGGTGACAGGACTCAGCAGTGCAGAGGTGGAAACCACGAATGAATCCCAGGAGCGCATCGTCTGCCCAGGCATTCAGGTGACGACCTATGTTTCTGTGAACGAGACCGTCTGAGTGCGGATAAATGAGTTCTATGCTATACTTCTTTGTTATATCTTATGCAATCTGATCATTATGACTACATTTTACTCTCGTTCACACTGCTCCTTCTCTCACTGTTGTGATGTATCGCTTCCTCCGATGGTGTGTCGGCGCAGCGGTGGGTCTTCATCGCTCTAGCCAGACTACTCTAATCCCACTCCAGGCACTTCCCCGTCCATTGAGCTCAGGGGAATCAGTTGACATCGAAACGCCGACGCCAAGGAATTTAAGTCAAGGCGGTGGATCCTTTGCATCCTGGGGGATTGGAGGAGAAAGTTAGGACCTGACTCGGTGAAACCCTCAGATAATCCGTTAATCTATGCCTGTCACGCTACGGCCGCACCAGTGGAGTCTAAACCAAGTAAGGCCCGAACCCGCCTTGTCACTGGCAGAAATTTCCCGGGACCCACTACCTAAATCGACCTCATGGACGGCCAAATGCCTGAAGGAATCTATTTCGCCGAAACCTTATCACGGTTTCTAATCTACATCCAACACCCGTTGAGTCTATTCCGTCTGTCGCCCGACAGAACAAAAATAGCCCGTTCACACGTGTGATGTATCATGTGTGCCCCTCCATATGAAAACTTTGCCACATTCGTGTTGACTGACTTAAGCATTTAGTAATTGCCGGGAACCAGGGTACAGCCCTGAGGTACCTGACACTATCCCTGCCAAGAAGAGGCTTGGACCCGCCGTTTTACCTTAAAACACTGGCTAGACCAACATCCGTGGTCCAGCAGGTGAGCAAATGACACAGCCCGTCGGCTCTAGAAAGTGAATCTGACTCGTGGATGTCCGGTTGTTATCTTGACCCTGCATGGATTGATCGCCTCTTCAAGATATGACACCTCGATATTGAGGTTGTCTATTTTTGCGGAAACCGTTGGATTTAATATATAGCAATATAACTCCAACGGGGCTTCATGATTAATATATGCACTCGATATTGAGTATGGCATGATGCGACCGTCACCTCCTCATGGAGGTTAATCAGTCACCGGTCGGACTTGAAGGTCTGAGTGTCAGCAGACTCTCTTTTCGGGCCTGGTTTTAATTGCTGCATTACGCCACTGCCCAAAGGCTGTAGAAGGAAGACCGCCCTTTTCACACGGGATCTTTACCAGCCGACAATGGCATTACAGACGCTGGATTTTGTAACTCACATCCCCAATAAGATGACAGGAAGCAGACTTGTCAAGATTGAAGTTATGCTATGCCCTATTTTAGGCTTTTGGTGACTGTGTGGGCTCAAAACCTGATCTACGGCATACAGATTATTAAGGATTGACTGAACTCGCGTTGAAAAGCCATGAACTGCAGCACGATTGATACGAACATAGGGGATTGATTGATGCCTACTTACACTGGAGTAGGAGGAGGCTCTCGAAGAGCTATGCATCTTGAAATACAGTCTGAAAATATACACGAAATAAACCACCTTCATGACTAGTGCATGGACTCATTAGAGGCCAACATAACTAGTTATAAAGTGCTTTCATGACTAATCGAGGACACTCGATCTACATTATCGATCCTTGCACCAAGTATCATATGAATATGGGTCCTTACTATCACCCCGTCCCGTTGATGCGGGCATATGAAGCAAACCCCATAGTTATGGTCCTTGACAATAAGATCGACCCCAGTAGCAGAATATGACCTCCTGAATATCCCAATGCACGTAGCTGAAAGGCGAAGCAGATCATACAGTCATAAACATTTTATCTGCCTAAGAGGTAAATATATTAAACAATTCCGTCGAGATTACGCGTTCCACAATTCGAACCTTCCACAACCCTTCCTTAACAATAGCTTAATGTGCCTGATGTGGGCCTAGATATCTTATGAAAAGAAGATCCAGTTCATCAACTGTGGGTATTGTGGCTATATGAAATACAGCATCCACATACCCACAACAGTTGGAAACGAGAACAAATATCTCCGGACGCCCCATACGGCCAAGCTTTGTGCATTTTCTCGGAGCATGGACCGCCACGTGTGATTTGTTCCAGGAATATAATAACCTTTAACCATTCAGTGGGTCTATTTTTGATAATCGGGTATTTGTTTTGCGGTCAGGGGGTTCCTAGTTTGTTCAGGTTTCAACTTTTTTGGTAGGCAGGGAGGTCACCTGACCATATATTCTCGTGGCCTAGTTTGGCTCGATAAGACTTCATCCTCAATGAGCTAATGTGACATTGATTGTCGTGATAATTTCCACTGCGCATGCCTTTAGGCAGGACAGGATACTCTTCTGGACCTCGGTTTGCATCATATGGCCACGGTCTTGTGCCTAACTGTTGGTCTTGCAGTCTAGGTGTCTGTTCGCGCTGACTATCAGGTTTGCTTTGTGACCTCTCCCTCACATTGCAATCGAATGCCTTGAGCCTCGTCAGATTCTGTCAATATCCTAATAAGATCCATTATCTTCCAGATTCCCAAGGTCTCAATACTCCTTCGACCCTCCTTTGACTTCCAGCATGATACATCTATACACAGCTCAGTCCTCGCGCGCGATATTTCGAAAATCTATTTACTTCATTCCCGAGATTGCATCACTACACTCACCAAAAGTCATCTGACATCGAAAGATGGACCTCACTACTTCCTCACCATTAGCAAGATCACCAGATCCTCACCTCTCCGATACTATATTTATCCCGCCTACCTCTACCCCAGACATCAACAACCTCAGAATCCTACGACGGCTCGCCTCAATCTACCACCTGATCATCAAACAGAAACAAGCTGAAGGGACCTACCTCTACCCAAGCCAACACAGACGCCGACCCGTCTTGGATCCCCTCACTATCCACAACCGATTCAAGCCTAAACCCCTGAAAACCTACAATGTGACCAGGTCATTCCACCAACTCCCGCTCAAAGCCCATCTAAACGGGTCAAACCCCCGAGTGTGACCCAGGCACACCCGTCACACACCCCAGAGATGATGTCACACAAAGCCGTCAAGAACCTTTCGGGCAGTTTATACTCCCACATCAATGTCGCACACGGCTCGCTGCATGACATAGCCTTATTTTCCGACGTTGCAAGATGCACCGGTTCCCGGAATCATGCACGAAATGGGATGCTTTTTCCGAAGATGAGGAGGGATGTGTCGTGGAGTGTGGGTGGGATTGATGGAGGGTAGCGGACATCGAATTGGCAAATGGTACGTGCCGATGAGGAGTTGGATGATTATATATTTCCGGGGTTGGGATAGGCAATCGGCTTCACAAACGGATTGAAATACTTCTGGATCAACGCTATCATGTTGTGGAAAACCCTCCTCGCGATGACTGTCCTGTTGGGCACCATCCTCCCAGTCATGGGAATCCCCACTGCCAATATCACCTCCGATGACCCCGACGATGACACTGATCCCCAGGCTCTGGAAAAATATGTCTTTGCTCACTTCATGGTACGTAGCCCTTCCCCCCATACCAAGCACATACTAAGAAAACCAGGTCGGCATCGTCGAAAACTACCAACTAGCCGACTGGATCACCGACATGACCATCGCGCAATCCATCGGCATCGACGCCTTCGCCCTCAACTGCGCCAGCATCGACAAATACACACCCACCCAGCTAGCTCTCGCCTACCAAGCCGCCCAACAAGTCAACTTCAAAGTCTTCATCTCCTTCGACTTCGCCTACTGGAGCAACGGCGACACGGCCAAGATCACCGAATACATGCAAAAGTACTCAAACCACCCGGCCCAAATGCAATACAAGGGCGGGGCACTGGTGAGTACTTTCGTCGGGGATAGCTTTAACTGGGGTCCTGTGAAGCAGGGCACCTCGCATCCCATTCATGCGGTGCCGAATTTGCAGGATCCGGCTGCCGCGTCGAGTAATGGACAACGGGGAGCGGATGGGGCGTTTTCGTGGTATGCGTGGCCGACGGATGGGGGGAATAGTATTGTTAATCGGCCGATGGATACGGTTTGGGATGAGAGGTATGTCAAGGACTTGGCGGGGGCGACTTATATGGCTCGTTCGTATACCTTTTTTTCTTTTTTGGTCGTTGGATGTGGATGGGCGCTAATATTGACAGCTGTTTCGCCATGGTTCGCAACACACTTCAACAGCAAGAACTGGGTATTCATCTGTGAGAATCTCCCCACGCTGCGATGGGAGGAAATGCTTTCCCTCAAGCCGAGCTTGATAGAGATCATCTCCTGGAATGGTATGTACCATACAGCCCCCTTTCAAGGAAGCAGGTCCGTTAACAGCGAATAGACTACGGCGAATCGCACTACATCGGCCCCTACGCCGCCCACCACAGCGACGACGGATCCTCCCAATGGGCAAAAGACATGCCCCACGACGCGTGGCTCGATCTCTACAAGCCGTACATTGCCGCCTACAAATCCGGAGCTAGTAAACCTACCATCGAGAAAGACGGACTCGTGTACTGGTACCGTCCCACTCCGAAGGGGGTGACATGTCCGGAGGATCCCATGCCAGCTCCGAACGGCGTCAACATGCTCACTGATAGTATCTTTGTGGCGACGATGTTGACGAGTCCGGCTACGTTGATCGTGACGAGTGGATCAAATGGTCCGGTGAGGGTTGAGGTGCCGGCTGGGATTGTTACGTCGAAGGTGCCGATGGGGGTGGGTGCGCAGGTCTTTGAGGTGAGTCGGGATGGGAAGACGATTTTGAGTGGGAAGGGGGGGTTGGATGTTAAGGATCGGACGAAGTATTATAACTTTAATGTGTTTGTTGGGGGGGTGTAAGCTGGACTGGGTATGACCTTGGTTCGGAGGATGTGGAAAGAGTGGTACAGGCACAGGTTTCTGTACTGGCTGAAAGATCCACGAGCCACATCGGTGTATGACAACAACGGTCGCAACGGTGTCGATGAGCGAGGTGTCATGTCATCAGTCTCACAGAATGTAGGGAGATCATTAGCAAAATGACGAGGGAATGACATTCATTCTCGTATTTGATCCTTCAACTATGCTCGTTGTGTTATGCCACAGAAGCCCGCCGCACTACACGAACAAATCAATATTTCGAAAGTCTCATGTCCAACCCGCCGGATGCATATAAACTTCATCGTAGAGATGGATAGTACATACGACCATAGGGTGTGGAAAACAGGGCTTCCCGTCCGCTCAGCCGTACTTAAGCCACACGCCGGGAGGTTAGTAGTTGGGTGGGTGACCACCAGCGAATCCCTTCTGTTGTATGTTTTTTTCTCTGCAACTGGTTTCCTTACCATTCAATTTTTTTTTCTTTTTTCTATTTTCTTTTTTCTGGGATTGGCGTGGGAGGTGGTTGTTGTCGCTGTAGACGGCTTCCGGACGCAAAGGAACCAACGTTATATGTCAAGAACCACGTAGACCAAAAGTGATATATCCCCTCTTAGCCTGGGGCATAGAAGGTAAAAATATGGCATGTCTCAACATTATATAACACTAGGCTAGGGCCAACACAAGATCAGACAGGCATTCTGGACTGGTCTTCAGTAGTGATGTTTTGAGGAGTGCTGACAAGGAGAAGTTGAGTATCTTGGGTTTTATTTAATCGAATAAGCTACTATGATCCATCTAGAGTTGAGCTGTAGTCGTCATTGTGTTATGTAGGTCTTCATAGATTGATAATAATTCTGTTTAGGGAACCACACCACTCTCATTTTCTTGGAATGTCGATATCCCGGGGGATATAAGCATCAAAGCGAAATGTAGTAAGCCAAGCTGCTCCTCGGGCTAGCCAATATTTCCCTTGTGAGTTCTTACAGTTATGAAATGCGGCGCAATGGTACTTACTATTCCGCCTTCGGAATATGCCTCGAACTATAGAGTTAGGTTTCGGGGAAATTGAAGGTGACAAGATGCTTCGGTTGGGTTGTCCGGGTAGGGTAGGTATCTACGTGCTTGTCCTGGTCTGCTTAATCATGATGGTTTGGAAACAGCATGGGACAGTGTGCATCCGTCTTGAAATGTTTGGATTACTGGATCGTGTTATCAGAGCGTGAATATATCTTCTCGTTATACCTACGTGGAGAAAGACGATTCGGACACGCGGATACTTCCAATGCCGCCTGGACTATGTCCCCGACATGCACTTATCGCAACCAGTCCGTCCCTATAGGCACAAGTTCCTCTAACTGATAGGAGCAAACGACGCAGAGGCCCGAAAGTCTCTGCTCGAGAACCCAACATGCGCTTCTATTCTTCCACTTGGAATGGCCCATTGCTGCTTCACTATATCCCAGTTACTGAGGTCCCTTCTGGTTAAAGCGTATGTGACCGTCTTTGACTCCCCATGTTCGGGATGCACCTTTTCAAACCCGCGCAAGATATTTACCGGTGAAGGACTGTTCCTCTTCACAGGAGGAAGGCTTACGTAGAGCTGGGGAACAGCAGCACCGGTAACATCTCCTGTGTTTGTTACCGTTACTGAGACCGAATAAAGCTCATCCCACAGATGGGGGTTTCCGTCTGGAAGGGTCTGCGAGATTGGAGGAAGAGCGGAGATGTTGCCGTGACGGAGAGAAGTGATATCAATTTCTTTGTCGATAGAAAACGTCGTATACGAAAGACCATACCCGAATTCATATTGAACGGTTTCATTGTAGTAGTCAAAATGACCTGTGGGTACGAAAGGCTGTTAGTCTACCTGAAAGATTGGATGAGGGAGCAAAGCGTACGGTAGTCAATTAGCGTTCCCTCTTTGAAGTCAGACTGCCATGCCGTCGGATCGGTGGTGTTCTGCAAGCTAGTAGAGTTCGTGATTGCAGCGAATGAATAGTCTGATTGCGTCCTGGCAATTGTGTACGGTAGATGACCTGAGGGGTTAACGTCACCCCAGAGCACATTGGCAATGCTGCTCCCGGCTTCTTGCCCGGGGAAGTGGGCTGCCAGGATAGCAGTGACGTTGGGATGGTCAGCCCAAGGAAGAAAATTAATACCGTTAGAGTGCGTCACGACAACGGTGTTAGAACACTGTGATGCGATCTTCTCCACGACCTGATCACCTTTCCAATCCGTGTGGAGGGTAGTTCGATCTTCTCCCTCTGTGGCCCAGCTCTTCAGGAACACGAGGCAAACATCAGGAGAAGACGGTAGTAAGGCGGCAAGACTGAACTGATTAGTTTTCCTGATGTGGTTGCAGTCTGACAGATGAGAGGACTCACTATGGACTGTTTTCCTCAATGATAGCGGTATTGTTTAGCACATATTGAACGAGCGTTTCTTTTTAAAAGCCCGTGCGCCGCTTGATCGCCTCCAAGGGGCTCACAATGTAACTGAACAGACCAGATCCGGAGCCTCCTCCCGCTGCTACGACACCGTACTCGTAGTTACCAACCCCATTGAAATAGAAGACTGACATTCCATTCGTAAAGTCTCCTGCATCATTGCCAAGGACTGCGATTTGCTTCGGCCTGGATCCGAATGAGATACGACCACCCTACGGTCGCCTGTCGGGTAGAATATGATCGGAACGAGAAAAATGGCACAAAGGTCTATGAGACCGTTACCGAGCCATCGTCCTTGCAAGACTGGACCGATGCGACATTCCAAGTTATTTCCACCGGTATATCAGGACCCGAATGGTGCAATTCAGACCCTCCTGTCCCGGCACTGCCGACTCTCTTCCTTCTGAAGACCTCATCAGAGGACGCTACATTCCGTGCAAATCTTGTTCTTCGTGCTCATCATGATATAATTGACGGAATTGGGACTTTGGTTCTGTTCAACAATTTATTCACCCATGCTGCAGAGGCCTATGCGCAGCGTACCAGCTGCTGCCTCCCGCAGTCTGGCGGGGAATGGGTCAACCTGAGTCCACCTCTTCGTGTGGCTGCTGCGATACCGGACAACTTATCTACCCACCCAAGAGGAGCGACTACAAGACATTTCAAGAACGAATGCCTTGGTCAAGGAGAACGTTGAGATCGCAAGCCCTCAATTCAACAAGCAGAACGCTTTCCCAGGAAAACACCAGCGTGTCGCCATCTCTATTTCCCCGGACTAGACGAAGCATTTGCTTGAGAAATGTCGAGCAGCGGGCTTAAGTGTCACTCATGCCTACCATGCTGCTATTGCGGCTACTGTCCGCGATAAACAGGAACGTAGTACAGAGGGGCGCAACGTCCGCTACATCAACTACTGTCTTAGAAATGAACGTGCCTACTGTCAAGGGCCATATAGCACGTCGGCACATCCTGTATCGGTGTACTATTCTGTGTCCGGGCGATGCTGAACAGTCGACATGCATGTTCCAAGCTTACATAGCGATGCACAAACCGCCATTACCGAATCCGACACCAAGTCTGAATTTATGAACATAGCTCGCCCAATCCGCCACTTCTACCTCGACATACGAGACGACAATGAGCACATTTCCCTCGTTCCTGCATTTTGGGCGATGTCTACCATTCCATATCCTGTTGACGAGATCACGCATGGTATTCCAGCCCGCAACGATACGCCGTCCGTATCAATCTCCAGCATGGGTATTCTAGATAAGGTGATAAGGCCTGAGCACGGACCCTTTCAACTGGATGATCCATGGGTTACCGGGGAAGAACTCGGAACCGGGATTGGGTTGTTTCTGGGTACTTGGAAAGGGAGATTGGCATTGAGTGCAGCGTATAATGAAGCTTGGCATGAAAAAGAAGAGGTGCTGGATTTCTTGGAGTGTTGTAATCGTGTCACGTTTTTGGGGCTTGGGGTTGATGAGTGATGATACATTTGGTTTGAGTTTGATTTATAGATCACTAGGATCTGTTGGTGTTCAGTATACTATAGAGTATGAGATGTTGGTTGCCATTGTGACCCTCTACTGTATTACCATTAATGCTTTTCCCGTCATGTCTAATTTTGTGTTTCTTATCGGGATTGCTTAACTCCGGCCTCCGTACAATTCACTCGGGTAGGCCTGTACCCTTCTTTTAAATTCCCTGTTATATTCTACATTGAGGTAGACATTCGATTGTGTCCACCAACTGATTTATAAGCATTGCCAGTGGTACGCTGAAAACAATCTACGTGGACTAGAGAAACATCCACAACCATGCGCCTGCTTTTGCGACTGCCATCCTTGCGCAGAATTGAAATTGAATCAGCAATGAGCGGAGTCACGGTGAGTTTGGACTAAGGTGGCCTGTACCAGTAGTTGTAGAAACTGAGATGGTTGCGAGATAGAAACAGGAACAGCGGCGATGGGGGGAGATAGTGTGATATTTTGGTTCTTTGGTGGCATCCTACCCTTGACTAGAGACCTCAAGGGGCTTAAGACCTCCAAAGGAATTCCAAGTTGGGTATACCTATTTGTGAATTTTACCTAGCAATTCTCTCTCATGGGGCCAAATGGGCTCGGCATGATGGTTCATAGAAGCTATCCGACTAGCGCTTACCACCATCCGACTTTTCCCATTCCTTCTATTTTCAGGACTCAAATCAAGTCCTTGACCTTCTTTCATCGCACCTTATACCCACTCCCATCATGGAAGACTTCTACGAAGACCTCCCTGAGCGACCAGAATGGCAAATCATCGCCGAGTTAATCAAAAACCCAGATTTCCCTCCCGCCGAGGCCGTCCAACGTCTCCTCCGGGCGCGCGAGGTCCTCCACCAGGAGGAACAAACCCCCCCGAGTGAAATCGACGGCAACCACACATGGTTCACCATGTTCCCGCTCGTAGAGCTCGCAAGCCTCACTCCAGCCGCACAGCAGCAGAAGATCATCGAGTTCGTCGCCCAACTCCAACGCATCAAACTCATCGACCCCGCCACGGGCCAGCAGCCGACGGCAGTCGACTTGAAACTGTGGACTGATCTCCCGTACCTTAGCGTGTACTTGGCTGATCGGTATGGCTTCCGTTATAGAAGATCCCGTGCGTCGGACGCCTTTCCCTTAACCCACCCTGTTGGTTGAGTCGGTGGCTAACTCTGCGAGGTATCGCGTGCAGAGGACGACCAGAAGGCTGACGAGGATCTCCAGACGGAGTTGGAGTATCCCCCCAGCGCAGTCCAGGAATGGGAGAATCGCAATGCGTTCATGGCGCAGCTGACCGCCGCGGCAGACGAGCTCGGCCATCCCATGGATTTCTCGCTATACGGGTTGTACTCGTGCCGAGAGGCGTTTGAGGATGATGAGGCGCGGGTGGAGGAGGCTGTGCGCGCAGCGTGTATCTGGTATATGTATGCGGGGCAGCGAATGTGGGAAAACTGCCAGGTTCAGAGGATGTTTGGGGATGATGACGATCCTGGCCCGCCGCGACGATTTGATATGGACCGATGGGGGCTCTGGAAGGATGGGTTGAAGGCGGCGCAGGTGGGCTTCCGACGGGCGAGTACGCTGGAGATGATCCGGAAGGCGTTGGTAGAGGTTGAGAAAGCGGAATGTGGGAGTAAAGATTGAAGGAGAAGGTGTGTCTGTTGTGTCACCTGTTGGACAAACATCGATACACTGTAGGTAGTAAGCCATAGCAAAATAAATAATGCTAAGAGAATCTAGGCTACAACACGAGTACTACACACACAAATCACCTGATGTATGGTGTACTGGATTGTACCCCGCCGAGCGCCAAGAACAGTAGTCCTAAAAAGGAATCTACTCATATAAGTAACTTTGAGGCTAGACTCGACTAGGGCTCTAGTAAGGCTGGCCGGGGTAGCAATACCTCATTGGGAGAGTCAGGACTGGGATGGTGGGTAGGGTTCTTGGGGGGACCAATTTCTACCAAAGAATGCCATTACATAAGGGAACATCTTAGACGGAACTACTAGCATGGGGGGGCCAAATTGACTCTTTTTATAGGTACTCTCTTAGATAAGTGGGTTCTATGCTACATCCTACTTCGTATTGTTCCTACTTACTACCGAATGTTTTGTGTGCAGGCGTGGATCCAAGTCAAGTGGGAATCATTTGATTTATCATAGACATATGGGTCGATGGGGATATATCAGATCTATCAAATCCAGATGGGCAGACCCTGAGCTGCTTTATTCGCTACCAAGCAATCCGAGAGATAGCATTCCACAGCCTGACCGAATCCCATGACCAAATTGCCCATTTGGGCCTAGAATGCTATGCATCCCCGTCTAAATGACAAATACCAGACAGTGCATTAGGCTGCCACGCTCCTAGATAAAGCCTAGCAGGTTGCCAACTGCGACCGGCTCCAAACTTCAACCTCTTTCTCTCCCGGCAATTCCTGGCCAACACTTACTTCACTTCATCTCGTTCGTCAGAATGTCCAGCCCAGAGGGATCTCATCCGTTGTATTATCTGCCTGCAGAACTCTTTGAGAAGATCCTCACTTATCTGGATCTCGACTCAGTCAAGGCTTTCCGTCTAACCAACCGAAAGCTCGCCGACAGGTGCATTGGACCCCGATTTCTAGCATCCATTCCACAACCTGTTCTGGACGCCTCGTCGCACAAGCTTCGTTCCCTCCATGCCTTGGCTTGCAATCCTGTTCTCAGAAAGAAGATCCATTCTGTGACTTTCCAGGCTACAATCGTGGACGCTTCTCCGTTGAAGAAGAACTTGAAAGCTAAAGGATATATTGAGCAGCTGCACATCTTTGGGCACAAGTACAAGTCGGTGAAAGTCAAATATACCCGCGAAGAACTTGCTAAAGTCAAATCTGATCTGAAAAAGTTGAAAGAAGACCAGAAGGCACGAGCCACGGAGTCAGCGGATGAGATTATTGATCTCCTGCGACTTGTGTTCCAAGAGTTTGGCGAGTTAGGCGCTATTCACCTGGATGGTGCGGTTCCCCGGGGGCGGATGAAGAGAGAAACACCCGAGGACGGGGAGTGGTATTCTCTCTGGACGCGCGCCTGGCATATTTTCACATGGATTATGACAGCGTTCATGCAGAGCGGGGCCTCGGTGAAGAAATTCGATCTCTTTAACACGACTCGCCGGTGCTGTATCCCAAATGGAAAACTTGCCAGCTACGCATCAAGGCTTGACTCGACGCAGCGAGAGATGTTGACCAAGGGTTTGCAATCACTCGAGCTAAGTATGTCTGGGGAGATACAGGATAATTTTGATGTCACCGAAGAATCAGATCGGGAAGATGGTTTGAATGAAGAGGGCGAGAAAGCAACCTCAGTGAGAGCACCTCATGCATCGACGGGACATTTGTTCTTGGGTGATGATCCTCGTGGTGCGCTCGCGCATGGAACTCCGGGTGTTACATCCCTCTTTCTGAAGTCTGCGCTCGCTCTTCGAGAACTGGATTTAACGTTCCGTCGTACCGTGGAATCAGGGTCAGAGTTCAAGAAGAGCTATGACCGGATCATTGACAATATCGCCCATGAAGCCCAGCTCCCGATGCTGGAAAAATGTGCCTTTTCTGGATTTCCGGCTAAGGGGGAGTCTATTCTGCTCTTTCTCCAGAAGCATTCTGACCTCCGCTCATTCAAGGTGCATGGGTGCCGTTTGACTACAGGGTCATGGACACCTATATTTAGTTATCTGGAGCAATCGATGCCAAAGCTAGAGAACCTAGACCTGTCAGACCTCTTTGGGAAACATATGCAGAATCACAAGTATGCACAACGACGGATGACTGGTTACTTTAACTCGGATGACAACATAGAGCAAGAGGCGGAGGATGATGAGGAGGAAGGCAATGGGTTGGTGGTTTTGCTGCCGATTTGGGACACCGCTCCGGAAGATCGTGAGAAAGAATTCCTGTGTACGAACGGGAGATCCGTGCACACCAGAAGTTTCACCGGGGAGGACATCAAAAAAGGGCTAGTGTTCCGACCGCTACATAGAGGGCCGGGACGGCCTCTCGCCTCTCCCACCGTTAACCGGTGGAATGTTTCTCACAGCAAGCTTTATGGGCCTCCAACATCGGTTAAGGCCTGGCTCTGAGCTCTCTCTGTTACTTAGCGGGAACGAACAAATCACTACCATTTGACCTGTGACAAGGCAATAGGAACTCTATTGTCTGAAATTCTGCAGGCAATTAATATGATGGTAGCATTGTATCGTTATCTAGGCCTTCTCCTAGTGGCTCTAGTCAGTAATTTGCCTGCGATTTGATCATGTCTCATTTTCAGAGCTCGTCCTAGGCTCTAGCCCCTTGACAGGAAGAAATCTGTTTTGATCTCGTCTTAAGGACACGCAGATTGAATGCCCTCCAGAAAGAAATCCATTTACTCCCTGGGCCCATGTGCGACGAGTAATTCGAGCCGAGATGCGACGTCTTATCAGACCTTCTCCAGGGCGCTGACTGGGCCGCAATGGTGGGTGTCAGTGGCTCGTAAGAGTAACTGCCGAGCACAGGCGTTATCCATAACCCATTAAGGGCAGAATCAGTCCTATAGGCCTTTTTCCGTGGGCCTTAAGGGATAGTAACGAAGGCAACAGGTCCTTTACCGGAGAGGTTCCCCTTTACACATGTGCAGTTGAGATCAAGGCCATAATGGAGTGCCTCCCGGACTTTCGGAACCGAGCACCAAAGACCTTGGTGGAGAACTGGGCCAGATACCACTATGTAGATAGGATGTGGTACGCGTTGCCCGCCCCATAAGGATATAATTCAAGCCCGGAAAGTCATAGCAAACAAAATTCCGAACCAACATAAATGCACATCCGCTGCGAGCAGTAGATCGGTGCCTGAGGCTCCGGTCGCATCTTTGTCCCTCAAGTCCCTCAAAGCGTACGTTGGTCCTCTTGCATGGATTGCCCTAACCAGCATGCTGCTTCATCTTTCAGATAAATCGTCAATATTTCAATTCGAGCCCAATCGATTCATTATCGTATTGACTTCATATGTGTAGCGATGCTCCACTGAAACCCCATTTACCCGATGGCCGTTATGGTCTCCGACCTGCCAGTGTTAGATGCTTTCATGCTGTGTGAATTGCAGGAAAGAATACTGCGTGATTAAGAGGCCCCATGCGATTTCGATGTACCATTCGTCTAGAATTAATACAACCTCTTTGAGTCAAAAATAACCTCCGATAAGGACTCCCGCCCAGCCATGTCTGGCAAGTGGTCGCGTGCATTTTGTGGCACGGACTGAATCCTTCGCTCCTGCGACAGCGCCTCGGTGCTTAGCGGTCTAGTCGGTTTCTTCATCTAATACAAGTTCAGTCTATGTCGCAACCTAGTTCACCGTTTGACCATTTTCGTGTGTGGGATTTATCCTCGTTAGCCGTCATTATTGTTATTATTGTGGTTTCGCCATCCTGGTTAGGGATTTGTTCGGTCATTTTACCTCTCTACAGTCGTCTATGCACGCGTCTTTTGACGTCATTTGTAGCTCATCTTGCACGGTCGGAGATGTATATTGAATGGTTCCATGGTTAGATACTTCCTATCGTGAAATATTACAAATATGAGATTCCGATGACAAATGTTGGTCAATGGTAATCGGGTGGAGTCTGGGTGCGTATTCGTCGTATAAATGCCATATGATGCCCGGATAAACCGGGTGAGCATATTATATGCATTCGTTGACCCAGTCCACGCTGTACTCCAATCAGAAGAATGTCAACATTGACATCCCTCTGTGAAGGTTGCCTGGTAGCACCCACTGGCAGTGTGGCAGGCATTTAACGATAAGTCCGACATGCATTCCTCGGGTTGACAGACCCATGTTCACCGAACCCACACCACCAAAACTATTCGTCACAGCCAAACAATCAACAGAATCCTCCAGATCATGACAAGAACCATCAACTCAAACTCAGATGATCATGTGGGCAATCCCAACCCTTCCCCGGTTGGTCGCCCTACTTTAATAAAATTGCGGTGGGTTGGCGGCGCGTGGTAGCAGCCAATGATCAAATCGTTAGATGAACTAATATGCTAGTGTAGATAAGATGGTTATTAGAGGTGAGTGATATCGAATGAGAGCAACGGCACGAGTTGCTGACCGGAGTCTTCGAAATTAGTCCTCCAGGGAAAGCTTAGATTTGCTTATCGGGTAGGTTGCACAGCCCCGCGATAGAACCCACCTCTATAGTCCTCACATGATGCTTGGATGAGGCGGATTGAGGGGTAAGAGAGTGATGCGCGAAATATGGGTTCAGAGGTGTGATATAGTTTGGAGCAGTGATGGGTGGATTTGGCTGGGTTTATAGAAGTCGGTTGGGACACCGGGGTCGTGTCAATTCAATGGGCAAGCACAGTGAATCCGTGAGTGACAAGGCTTACCAATCTATCGCCGAAGAGATCTCTTTCCACGCAGTCCAGTATGGCATACAATACCGGTTCGCAGAATCCCGGCTTAGACTGGAAGTTCAATTGCATGCCGGTCCTTGACATCAACCAGGCTACCGCGAAGGTCAAGCAGAATGAGGCGAGTTACACGTTCCAGTCCGGGGAGGTTGGTAGAGTGTCCCGCATCGACACCAACCAGGTCCCTAGCAACAACCCCATCGAGGACTACATGGCCTCGGGCAAGATTGACTTGGGGAAAGGTGGTATCTGGCACTGCTGGGCGGTATATGATGGTCATGGGTAAGTAGACCTACCAGACCTGTTTCCAGGCAGTCCTAAGTGATATGGACAGGGGACAACACACTGCCATCGTCCTCTCCCATGCGTTGATCCCGTACGTTGAACGTGCTCTGCGAACCCACTTCGAGTCAGCAACACCCCAAACCTCCATCGAAGACAGCATTATCTCCGCTTTCAAGACACTCGCTGAGGAAATCTCCGCCGACGGCCTGGCAGCCCTGGAGAGCGCACAAAGCCACGCTGAAGTTCAAGCTCGCCTTGCCCCTAACTACGCTGGCTCTTGTGCCCTGCTCGCGCTGTACTATCCGTCTGAGTCTATGCTCTACGTCGCAAACACCGGAGACTCACGCGCTGTTCTCGGTAGCCCAGCGGAATCCGGCTACGAGACTGTCGCTCTGTCAAATGATCACACAGCCACCAACGAAGAAGAGGTGGAGCGGGTCAAGGGACTCCACCCCGACCAGGATGACCTGATCACGAAGCGCGACGGTGACTGTGCCCGTTACGTTGGGATTGCTGTGACTCGAGCTTTTGGAGATGCCCGATGGAACTGGCCCAAAGAGGCGATGACCAAGTGGGAGAAGGAGTACTCAGGCAAACCTGCGTCAGCGAGTATCAAGAACCCGCCGTATCTTGACCCCACACCAGAGGTGAAGAGCTACAAGCTCAAGGGTGGTGAGTTCTTGATTCTGGCATCCGATGGTCTTTGGAACCATTTGTCCAGCGAGGACGCCGTGGAGGCTGTCAGCAAGTGGATGACGGCTACCAAGGAGGGTACGCTAGCGGAAGTTGGTTCTGGTACACCCGTCGCATTTGGTGGTGGTGAGGCGATCGTCGATCGCGCAGAAGGAATCTCCTTCTGGGAATTCTGGAAGGTCAAGCCAGACTGGTTTGTTTATGAGGATGACAATGCTGCTACCCATCTCGTGAAGAATGCGTTCGGTGGTCTGCAACGGCAGCTCTTCACGGGGGTTTTAACGGTGGATACTCCGGTCAGCAGGACGATGAGGGATGATGTGACTGTCCAGGTTGTGTTTTTTGACGGTGCTTAGCGTTTGAATTATGTTCTTGTTTGGATTTTATATTTGCCTCTTCAACTGCTTCCCTTGCACTCACTGTCTTTTCTAATCCCACGCAAGGGGAAATGTCCATTCTCAAGCTGGTGCTTACCAACCTGCCAGGCCCCGGCACATATTGCCGATGTTGTATTTGAGCTGCATTCTTTGATTGCTTTGACAGCTGCATCCAATCGCAAAAGAGATTTCTTTATCCAAGCCAAAATCACCCGAATCAATCCGAGCAGACGACATGATTACATTACATTACATGCATTTATCAATGTCGGGACACGTACAACATCCTCCCTTCCCAGCCCAGCCAAATTGCCTCAAATTAATCCCGGCTAAAGCTTACACACAATTTGAGATAGCCCAAGCTAGGTTAGCCTGTGATGCTCATGATGCTTCACACCCCGTCCGCAACAGCACCAAACTCCCCACCTTTGACACCAACCATCATATCTCCCCCCAACTCTAACCAACCCGACATTTCACATCACATCACCGACGAAGCGCTTCCTCCACCGGAGCAAGAAGCGTGCCTAAAGCTGTGGTCACTCCGCCTTCAAGAAGCTGATTAACCCCTCCCTGTCCTCCACCACTCTGACCCCCAGACTGTTGGCTGCTAGGAGGAGGATTGGTTTCCTTGTAGACACAGTTCGCAACGCAGTTCGGCAACGGGGAATCAGCGACTTGGGTTTCTAATGTGCATAGCTACGCATTAGCCTTTGCTGGAATGCGTCAGGAGAGCAAAAGGGATCGTACGGTCAATCGGGGCTGCTGTCGCCCCCAGCAACATGCTGTAGAGGGCGAAAAATGGAGAAGGTAGAGTGGCGCATGTTGGATATGGTTTGGTTGGTGGGATGGGGAGGGGGCGGGTGGTCAGGACTTGAAGTCAGGTTTGCGATGAGGTACTTGGCTGTCGGAGTAAGAGGTAGGGTGGGAGAATACTCTACTCAGGAATTTCGCGATCATTATGTATTCATCAGAGACTCAGAGGGTCGAAATACGGAAAAGGAACTATCTAATAGGTATAGTAAGTGGCGGGATATAAGGATTAGTTGCACATATAGCTTAAATGATTGCCACCTACTCTATACATTGAATATACGCAGGTGTCAGATCATGTCTGAAGAATTAACAGGTGTTGTACGGAAGGCTACAGGTCACAAGGCAATATGATAGCCACTATGGAATGTGGCAGGCCTCGAAGCAGCGGGATCGACCAGTTATGGGAAATTTAAAACCTGCATGAGATTTTTCGGTCTCTTAGGGTCGTTAGCTATTACAGAAGAATATTATAGACTGGGGTCTTGGGCTCGCAGTTCTATTATGACTTAGGAGTCTATGATTCCGACTAAGGTATAGATCTGCATGGTATGGGAATCGGGCTAGAAGATAGGATCTCGCGAGCACGACTTGAACCTCTCAGTGTGTTAACAAAATTCAATCCTTATTATATTGTGGATATACATGTCCTCGCGTCAAATGATACGATTAAGATTAGTTCTCCAAGCTTTCAGCCAACCACCACCGCACTGTCTTTCGCAGCCCTTCCTCCAACGAGATAACAGGAGCCCATCCCAGCGTGCGCTTAGCAAGACTCAGGTCCGGCCGTCTCCTGGGGGGATCATCAATTGGTCGCGTCTGATACTCAATGCTTGGCGGTCCATGCAACCCAGTAACTTCATTTACAACCCGAGACACCACACCCGCAAGCTCCGTCAGCGTGACCTCTGCATCATTGCCGACATTGACGGGCCCGGGAACGGCGGTAGCATCCATCTCCATTAAAGCGACAAGACCACGGATACAGTCATCAACGTACTGGAACGAGCGAGTAGCGGAGCCATCACCGGTGATGACGAAAGGTCTGTTGGACAAGGCGGCAGCCACAAAGTTGGACACCACCCTGCCGTCTCCCGCTGCGAGACGAGGCCCGTAGGTATTGACTATGCGGGCGATTCGCACATCCACGCATCGCGGCGGCTGTTTAAATGCCCAGGCCAAGGCTTCCGCGGTTTTCCCTCATCATAGCAGGCTCGTGGCCCGAATGGGTTGACGTGGCCCCAGTAGGATTCGGGCTGCGGGTGCACCTTTGGTGATCCGTAAACCTCGGAGGTGCTAGAGAAGAGGATGCGGCACCCCTGCTGCTGTGCTAGAGTGAGCAGATTTCGAGTTTCCTGGTATGCGGTATCTAGGGTGTCAACTGGGTCTTTCTGGTATTGAGGCGGGCTGGCAGGGCAGGCTAAATGGTAGATGCCCTTTAGTGACGGCAGGTGAGGTAGAGGGCTCTGAATGTTCTGGCTAGAAATGACATAGAAGAGATTAGCCGTGTCAAAGCATAATAATAGGAAGTGTTATCCTCATGGATGGATCTACGGACTCAATCATTGTGAAAAGCGGATGGCCTTGGAGATGGCGGAGGTTCGAGGGAGATCCGGTCTGGTAGTTGTCTATCCCTATCACCATCTCACCCCGTTCTAGCAGGTAGTCGACCATATTTGAGCCGAGGAAGCCCGCAGCCTAGCAAAGTTACAACAGTGTCACCAGAGGTCAGCGCCGGAGGGCATTCTGGGCAGGAAGGAGTTGCTCACGCCTGTTACAAGGACTGATTTTCCGGATGATGGAATCATAATGGATGGAGAGGGGGGTAGGAGAGAGAACTACACGAAGACAAGGGAAGTGAGTTCTTTCTAGGTGTATGAAGACGAATTTATCAAAGAACGCCTGTGGGATGAGGATAGCAGCTAGCATGGATAGCATGAGATAACGCAGGATCACGTGGCTAAGGTATCAAGGCAACTGCGGGTTCGCCAGGACATGACCTGTCACGTTGCCTGCTTCATACGTTCCGAATACAAGCCCATGTAGCACTTCAAACAGCCACCAACTCATAGCAATCATCCTCCCATATTGGCCCAACCCGCACCATCCCAAGCAGATGAGCTGCCCACTCGGACGTATCGACAGCCCAGCCGCGTCAAGAATGCCCCGTCCAGAAGGTTTCGGCCGTCAAAAACATACTTTGGACGCTGCATGGCATCGACACCTTGGCACCCTCTTCGACAAGGCCTCGAACCACGCCGATCGCTGGGGAGGTTTTCGTATCTGAGGTGTTTTCCTTGAATGGGAATCCCAACACGGCGATCCGACGTCCGGCAATGCCTCCATGCATGCAGGTGATGATGCGCTGCACAAACCGACTCTGCTGCCAGTCGTTCATGGTAATGACCGACTCCCAGTAAGCTGCGACGTCGTGAAGATGCAGGCTACGCGCAATATACACAAGGTCTAGAACATCCTTTCGGAAACACCCTCCTCCCCAACCGATGCCCCCGCGCAGCATGTGTGGCCCGATGCGTGGATCAAGACCGCAGGCTGTCGACACGGCATCGACATTGGCCGTGCCAGCGCCGGCCACCTCGCAAATAGCGCTCAGGGAGTTGATGCTACTGATCCGCTGGGCGAGCATCGCATTGGCGGCAAGTTTGGCCAACTCCGACGACCACCGATCCATATGCAGAATCGAGGACCGGGGAACCCAGATCTCATAAAGCGCTGCGAGAGAATCCGCCGCTCGTCTGCCGGTCTCGGTCTGCGCAGACCCGATCAGCACGCGACTGGGTCTCAGCAGGTTCTCGATGGCAGATCCCTCGGCCAAGAACTCGGGGTTGGAGAGAATCTCATATTGAGCGTAGGGGGAGCCGCAAATGGTCAGCTGGGAATTCATTGTCAGTTTAAGTGGCCATAGCGGACGTCCGTTGTGCGTAGCAGATCATGGAGTATTTCTCCGGTGCCGCATGGCACGGTGGATTTCTCCACGATGATTTTCTTCCCCCTCGCCACCTGGGCGATAGTATGAGCGACTCCTTGAATGTTGGTCAGGTCCGCTGCACACCCTCGACCGGTTCCAAAAGATTTGGTGGGAGTGTCGACGCAGAGAAAGATCACATCCGCTTGTTCGATCGCGCTTTCGACCATGGTCACGAATTCCAGATTTTGTTGAGTCTCCTCGCGACCCTGCACCTTCGCCAGCATTTCATTCAGGTCGGGCTCGTATAAAGGGGGTGACCCATTTGCCCATGCCCCAATTCGACTCTCGTTCTTATCAGCCACCACGACGCGGACATTCGGGCACTTGTATGCAATTACGACCCCCAGCGGACCGCCTGAACGAAGTTAGCGACCGAAGATATGTTCATACGAATGGGCCTCTCTTACCTACAAAGCCGGCTCCGATACATGCCACATTCTGGATCATGATGTAGTTGAGAGGGGCAAGGTCCTCAAGACTTGGTAATTGGATGCGACAGTCTTGATCGCGGTGTCGCACTCTATAAATCAGCTCGCGAGTCTGTGTGGAAATGAAGATGCTGCAGGCCTTGCGGGTCTAGATAGGCAATTGCACTGAGCGGCCGGATCTTCCCAAAAAGACATGTCTCATGCAGTACTTTTCCTCCGAGATCTATCTCCTTCATGGTCTGTTGGTTGTGTCTCAAAGGTATATCGCCTGCATATGTCATCAGAGGTATACCTCGTGTAACTGTATGCAATGTGATAACTCCATCAGGGAGTGTTCGCGTTGCCCTCTCTTACACTGTCTTCTCTAACACACTGCATGCCAAAGCTGAGAGATGCATGGCGTGCATGATTTTTAATAGTGTTGAATGGTGTGTCTCCTGCATATGTCTTCGAAAGGACGTGTCTCATGAGATCGTAACCAATATGACAACTCTACATGCGGGCGTTGCCAAAATTATGGGACTTCTCCCCGACACACTACCCCAAGGCTAGAATGGGGGAGTTGATATATCAACCCTCAGTCGTTCAGCTTGGTCGTCGTCTTTTCCTTTGCTCAAGCTCCATTCTCAAAGTTCTTCCCGAGTCAAGCACAAACTCTCATCATGACGATTGACCAGGTTGGTCCCAATGGCTCTCGTGCTCCGTGGGGTCATTCTAACCGCATCTACTCGATCCTCCAATACAATTATATCGTGTTCCCCTGTACCCTGTTGCTGACCTTTTACGGTATGCTGCTCCCTCTGTGCTTTGGGTGTCTATGAGCTTATGAGAACGTTCTGGTTAGGACTCAGAAGGCTGGTTGACTACACCGGGTACTATGCTCAAGTATCGGACGAGGGCTGGACGCGATCGGCGACCATTCATGCTGTCTTGACTGCGTTCTTCTTTTTTATCCAGATCCCTCCGTATGCCAATACTCTGGGCCTGTGTCTGCCTATGCAGCCGTATAAATATTCTACAGGTCCCAAAACGAGACGCCTCGGTACTTTGAGGGTCTGCCTTGTCACGAAGGGGACCAATGTGCAAGTGAGATCCTTCACCTTGTCCTCATGTCTACAAGCAACACAGACTGACTCCGGTGTGACTCGCAGGCCGCAATCAAATCCGCCCACTGCTGGGACGTCCTCACACAGCGCAACCATCCCTCGGTCCACTTCCATGTCCTCGTGGACAACGATAACAGCGATGAGTTTCGCCAGCAGCTGCCTTCATATATTACGGTGGACCAGGTTCCCAAGCATGTCCCTTCCAAACGGGCCATGTATAAAGCGCGGGCGTTGGAGCATTTCCGTCAGAAATACAAGCTATCCAAGGAGGATTGGGTGCTGCATCTTGATGAGGAATCCGAGATCGATGAGCACGTCATGGTCACTTCGCTGGACTTTATTAAGCGCGGAACGGCGCTGTTTGGCAATGTACGTATCGCTTATTCCCTTTTCGGTTGGAGAAGTCTAATCATTATACCCAGGGAACCATCTACTACACGTCGACCAACCACTGGACGAACACATTCCTATCGGCAGCCGAGGTCGTCCGCCTGGCGGAGGACTATGGACGCTTTCAACTTCCATTCAAGGCGTTCCGACGACCCTTACTGGGCTGGATCCATGGCTCATGGATGCTCATTAATGGCGAGGTGGAAAATACCATCAAATGGGACACTGACAACGTGTGCGAGGATTACTGGTTTGGTTATCACGTAGGTCTTGCAAGATCCCCGGCTCACTGTACCCGAGGAACTGACAACACCCGATCAATCTGCAGGCCGCCAAACATGGCTTCAAGTTCGAATGGGTACACGCCCTCTTCCGTGAGCAACCCCCCGTCAGTGTTCTGGACTTTTGGAGGCAGCGTCGCCGTTGGTATACCGGAATCTGGGGGGTGAATACTATCACTGTGCGACTGGCACTGATTGCAGCCGGATTGGGTGGACTTGGGATCTTCATCTTGTGAGTTCGACTCTATTTCCAATTGCTGGGATCTAATCTTCGGCCTCTAATACCATCATATAGCCCCATTATCGCGCTTTTTGGCGTCCGCGTTGTGGTTCCTCCCTGGTACTGGCCTTGGATGTTATTTAACGACGCGACGAATCTCCACGTCCTGGTTGTGGCGGGGGTTCTGCAAGATCTCAGCGTTGCCGACATTTCCATCGTAAGCATCGTGTATCATGTCATCATGTCGGTGCTTCTATCGCCCTTTGCACACATTCTTCAAACGGTAGCGCTGGCTTCGGCACTGGTAGTTCCATCGAAGGGGTACTGTGTCATCGACAAAACTTAAGTTATGGAAGCAGCAACGCCCACAGTAGTTGGCTAGGTTGACAATGGAGAAAGGCCTGTCGGATCGGCTACTTGTGTTGACTGGCTGGCTAGCACTATACGGTTCAGATGACTGTCATCTATGACAGCTAAGTTCTCGAATAGAACAATGAGACCTCAGGAATCCCCATTATCCAGTCTAGACCTAGTCTTGAATAGCGAGTAGTGAACAAACGGCCTTATTCTTCTGTATAGAAACATCTACATGGCTTTATTATAAAGTCTAGTATAATCATCGTGATGGTGTAATACTACATGCAGTATCTAGACCAGGACTACCAATCAACATTTTGCAACAGGAGGTCAGGAATAATCGTTGCTACTAGTACTATTTGGGACAAATCGTATACTGAGGCGAGCACAATTCAGTGTTACTATCCCAAGCCGACCGCGGGAAATATATATCGCTCCGTATGCTTCATTTCCGAACAGCAGACTCGATTCGTTGAGCACGGGCCTCTGTCATGATACTAAGCACTGTATAGATATATGTAGAGAATGCTAGTGGTATTAAAGATCGGGAGAAAATTCCAACAGAAATAGACCATGGAATCCAACTGAGGGGGATAATAAACATGGTCGGGGCCAATGGGCGACCTCGGAGCCGCCAGGCAAACACCATCAAACATGGCAGTCACCAGTCACGCCAGTCACGCACGCCAGTCACCCAGGTCGCGACCGAACTCCCCACCGGCAACCCTGCGATCAGCGATGACGATGAGAGGACCTCCCCGACCCACCCGAGCTGAAGGGCAACCCGGGGATGCCGGGGCAAGATGAGTTCCCCCATCTCCGTTCTCCGTCCCTTCCCTCCTCTCACTGGCCCCCCCGACGCTGCTAACCTGCTTTCCCTCACCGGCGTCCCCATGGGGAGACCCCGAGCAGATCTCTTCCCCATGGCATGATTACAGCCTCCATCCGACCATCCAACGGTTGCAGCCAACATTCATCCCTGTCTCATCGCCCCATGACCGTTGTCTCATATCTGGCTAGTTGAGGACGCGTGAGTCACAAGTGGGACCGGGATGGCGCCGACCAGGAGCACCTCGGACTTGAATACCTGGATAGGTCGGGACAAGAGCCTCGGTGGCCTACCAGCAACGGTGGCCCGAGCCCTCGTCTGCGTGAAGGATGCCGTGGTGAGCAGCAGGAGCCCGAAAGCAGACCACGCAGCGTCACACGAACCCCTCACTGAGACGGGGAGGTTCAGGCGCCGATCAATTGGGCCTCCCGCGTGAACCAATCAACCAACACATCGTGGAAAAAGCAAGGGGCTTTTACCCATGGGGGGCCGTGATGGATAGAGACACGCGATGTGACATTCCACGTGTCGCGGAAGCTGAACCGGCAAGAATCTCACTGGTCAGCAATGGGCAAGCAGTCCCATCGGAAGAGCCCAACGTCTTTCAGTTTGGATGCTGAACCAGTCGATGCGTTGACCGACCCCAGAGCTACGGGCAAATCCGGCTAAATCTAGTTGCTGCCTGTCCCTTTCCCCATACTCTCGCCCCTCCTCTCTATCGTCTGGGGATGTTCCCTCCATGCTTCCCCTCTTTTCTGCCATCCCCGCGAAACTTACCGGATCCTTCCAAACCCCTCTTCTCTAACCTCGCTCGGTCAACCCATGCAATGTCATCTTTCATGTTCCAACCGTATCATCCGGCCGGACTAGCGCTTGCCAAGCCACGCGGGCGTGGCCATTGCCAGGCCGCCCGCCACGAAGCTTGTATGCAACCGGCGGATGAAGTCCATCCCGGCCTCCTTGATGCCGAAACTAGGCCGATGACAAACCATGCCTAATTACGGCCCCCATGACATCCGACTGGCCCCACGGGGATGAATGGCATCCTTGGGGTGAAAGGATCCTAGCACGCCTTACCTGACCAAGCTAGCCGGAGAGTGATGGGCAAAGTCAGGCTAAATGAAGCGGCCAATCATGGCCCTTGGGACGCAGCTCGTGGAGATTGCATGACATAGATGTCGTTGACCAGCAACAGTGGTCTACTATCAAAGCGGAACGGCCTAAGCACAAACTCAAACAGCTGCGCGAAAGGAACCAAGAAAGCTGCAGCTATATGCGACGACTACCGGAGGCTGCGTCCTTGGCGAATTGCTTTTATGTCGCGTGTTCCCACGCGATGCTTCCTGTCAGATTTACTTTCTCCTTCCCACTGTCGTACCCTGATCTTCACTCTCTCCTGTTGATCATCCCTCCGCTGTTGATATTCTTAGTTGGATTGACTGTCCATACAACCATCCAAGATGGGTATGGGAGCAGGGACTGAGGCCGTCTCTGGGAGGCGTGCTGAGCTCGCTGGTAACCGCGTCGGATGGCGTGGGCTCATGAGCAGCAAGAAGACCTTTGCGATTGCGCTCTTCGCGTCGCTGGGTGGCTTTGTCTATGGATGTATGTGGTTGATGTGATCAAGCTTTTGATACTTGCTGACCATCTTGAAAGACAACCAGGGAATGTTCTCGGAGATTCTAACCATGTCGTCTTTCATTAAAGCTGTACGTTTCGCGTCCTATGGTCCCGACGTCTAACTAACTTGACAAGACCGACGGATATGCAGCGCGGACCGGTCTCAAACAGGGTATGCTTACGTCTATCCTAGAGCTGGGTGCTTGGGTTGGTACACTGTTGAACGGTTATCTCGCCGATGCTCTTGGTCGTCGTCAGACTGTTGTCGTCGCTGTGTTCATCTTCTGCATTGGTGTGATTGTCCAGGCTTGTACCAAGGACGCCGGATACATTTTCGGAGGTCGCTTCGTAACCGGTCTGGGAGTGGGTAACTTGAGTATGATCGTGCCTCTGTACAATGCGGAATTGGTATGTTAGACCCTTCATCTGTGTGTGGTCGTTACTGATACGTCCAGGCCCCTCCGGAAATCCGTGGCTCTCTCGTCGCTGTACAGCAGCTTTCCATTACCTTCGGTATCATGGTCAGCTTCTGGGTATGTCACGCCCACTCATCAGAAATAGATCGAGCTAATTAGGATCAGATCGGTTACGGTACCAACTACATCGGGGGTACGGGTGCTGGTCAGTCCAAAGCGGCATGGGAAATCCCTGTGTGCATTCAGATCCTTCCGGCGCTCGTCCTAGCTCTCGGAATGGTTTTCTTCATGCCTCAGTCCCCTCGTCATCTCATGAACCAAGGCCGAGATGAGGAGTGTTTGCACACACTTGCCCGCCTGCGTGATGCACCTACTGACGACATCCTGGTCCGCATTGAGTACCTGGAGATCAAGTCTCTTAAGATGTTCGAGGAGGAAACCGCCAAGAAGAAGTATCCCCAGTACCAGGATGGATCGTTCAAGAGCCGCTTCATGATGGGTCTGTACGACTATGCGTCCCTAGTGACCAACAAGTCACTGTTTAAGCGGACCACGGTTGCTGTAAGTCGGGCTGTTTATGCAACAAGCAAGGTCCTTTCTGACATTTACAGTGCCTGATCATGACCTTTCAACAATGGAACGGGATCAATGCCATAAATTACTACGCGCCTCAGGTCTTCGAAAATCTTGCCTTAGGCGGCAACACTACCTCGCTACTGGCGACCGGTGTCGGCGGCATTTTCGAGTTCGTCTTCACGATCCCTGCTGTCCTCTGGGTTGACAACATTGGTCGTAAGAAGATTCTGATCGCCGGTGCCATTGGCATGGCGATCTGCCATTTCATCTGTGCTGGTCTCATTGGCTCGTACGAGGGAACGTTTGGGGAGCACAAGAGCGCCGGATGGGCGACGGTGGCTTTCGTGTGGATTTTCATCATCAACTTTGCCTACTCCTGGGGTATGTAGCTTCACAATGCGGTGTCTACGCCTGCTAACTATTGCAGGTCCGTGCGCTTGGATTGTGGTGTCGGAGGTCTTCCCGCTGAGCATGCGTGCCAAGGGCGTCAGTATCGGCGGTAGCAGCAACTGGGTGAGTAATCCGGGCTTCTATTACTAGGCACGACGGTCTAACGAATCTAGCTAAACAATTTTGGCGTTGGCCTGGCTACTTCCCCCTTCATCGCCGCCTCTACCTACGGTACCTTCATCTTCTTCGGCTGTGTCACCGTTATCGGCGTGTTTTACGTGTGGTTCTTCGTCCCCGAAACCAAGGGACGTACACTGGAAGAGATGGACGAGCTCTTCGGATCCGAGGGCATGGCAGCCGAGGACGAGGCACTCCGGCAGCGGATCGACCGCGACATCGGGCTCACGGCACTTCTCCACGGCGAAATCATCGAATCTACCGACAAAGTTCCCGAGAAAGCCGTCCACGAAGACAATGTGATTGTGAATCCTCCCTCGGCATAAGCCGCCCGCACAAGTCAGGCTAAAGTGGTGGCACTCCGGAACGATGAAACCCCAGGCATTCATCTCCCGCCCTTTAGCCTTTAGCCGTAATCCCTTAGCTGATACCCAATCCTATTAATATAATCTCACCTCCCAAAGCCCACTTAGGCTATATTCCCCTGCAGAGCACACAACAGAACACTAGGCTACGTCCAGTTAAAGTCCTCGTCATCCGCATCATCCCAACCAACCACCTCTCCGCGCCCAGACCCTATCCCATCCCGCCATTGGCCCATCCCTCCGCCTTCGGCTCGACCCGCCCATGCAGAGGACCAATCAGCTCTCCCGTCCCCCGCACACTTCGGGACGAATCCGGAGAATCAAAGCCGGGGACGGCTGGATAGTGGATCGGTTAGGTTGGGTCTCTCCGGGGAGTATTCTCGCGATGGGCTGATCATGTAGGTTACACGCTAAGGTAGGTTGCTGACAGGCGGCAGGTGAGTTGATCAGCTGATCGGGAGAGCGAGTGGGAGGCCTGGGTAGCTGAGATAAGTACTCCGTAGTCTAGATTAATCCGATTGTTATATGTTGAAACGTGCCATATTTCTACCTTCTATGCCCGGGGCTAAGAAGGGATATACTCCTTTTGGCATACATGGTTCTTGAAATTATGATCCAGAAAGAGAAAAAGAAAAAAAAAGTAAAAGGAAGGGCCTACCGGATTGTGGTTGGGGTTATGTAACTAGGTGCTACTGCAGTTTGGTTTTGGTCGCGGTGAGATGGTGGTGTGTTGGTTTGAGTCAGGAATGCACTGCTATATAGTATTTCCGTGTTGGTTAATTCCTATCATGTCTTGTTGTCATTATCGTCTACGTTGAGTAGAAGGGAGAGAGGTGGCAGAAGAGGTATAATGAGTGTTGTCGCAGTGAACATGAACATAAAAGTAAACTTGGTACTCCGCTATGTCCCATGTATTCTGGCTCTACTGCCGGAATCACTCGTCTGAATCAATCGAACCCGATCTCGTCTCCCAACTCGTAATGTATAGGACTTTCCAAGCTAGTCAACAGCTTCAACGCCCAGCTCAGCATCGAATATATAACCCGTACTATCGCTGTCCGGGTGGACGTCCTTGACCGGATGGAAGAGGATGGATGGCAGACAGACCCGTCCGTGTTGAGCTTCATACTGCAGTCATGGAACATCAGCTGCGAAATCACCGGATCACTCAGGTAAAGCCAAAGGTAGAAGAAACTTACGGAGGCACCGCCCGTCCCATCCTTCTCCCACCCCAGGAAATTCCAATACAGTCGACCGGGCAGATTCGCCCGATAATACCACGACACATCCCGAAAGCGCGTCTCTCGACCCCACGAAAAGGGACTATCCACGGTGCTGCCGCTGCGGCCGTTGACTCCAGAATTGAACCACCGGTCCACCCGCATCGCCGGGACGTCCTTGTCGTCGTAGATCGGATGTGGAACCGACACTGCTTTCAGTCCGTGCAGAAAGGCGGTGGTGGCGGGGAATAATTCGGAGCCCAGGTGGCGTCCCGCGAGATTCTCCGCATGCATCGCGAGAAGCAGTGATCGGGAGAGACGATAGTGCGTCACCAATGCCGCCCGACGGGGGACGGTCGTGGACGCAGGATATCCCCAGACCTCGTTGCGGATGACCCATTTGGTCCCCAGGGGGTGGAAGATGGGGAGGAAGGTGATCAAGTCGGCATCTTCGCCCACGCCCCATTCATAGTTGTCCTCGTGAGGTTCTTGCACGGGTGGTGACGATCCTACCGGTTCGAAGGGTGGGTTTTGGATGTCAATGGGAGATGGGCCCCAGACGGCTTCATTTTCCTGGGTTTGCACGTATGCTCGGAAGGAAGTCCCATACTCCCCGTGCACCCCCGGGATGTAGAACCGTGCGTTTCGTTCCCACAGCCCCCGCCGTGGTTGCTTGCGGGCGAAGTCGGCGATCCGATCGACAAACTCATAGTGGTGGCCGGTGAATCGAGTGTCGAGTTCCCAGTTCCAGATGAAGTGGAATTCCGGATGCTCGAGCGCGAAGGCTTGGACGGAAAGCCATTGGGAGTGATGAACACTGGAGGTCTGAGCCATGATCCAAGAAGGATTAACTTGCGAACGAGGAGAAACATACTCGGTGATGCTGCGGTCCAGGTTCGGGTAGCGAACCGCCACGGCCGGCTCCTTCCATAGCACCGTCATGTCCCAGAACTCTTGGGGAACACTTGTCTCCACCACCTGGCGATATACGTCGGGCTCGTGAATCGCAACACTGGGATCCTTGACATGGAGAAAAAGAATGACCTGGTACTCTCTTCCTGATTGGAGTGACAGCTCGGTCACCATGGACCGAATGACCTGGATATCGTTCTCGGTATATTCCCGGTCCGTGAACGTGCGGATAAGCACAGCGGTCCGGGTTTCCACCCCGTGATCATGGGAAGAACCGCTCTCGCCTGCAAGGAAGCGGTCGGCGTTGCGTTGCAGACATTGATTCTGCAACTGGCCCCAGTTGACCTGATCCCAGTCCACCTTGGTTGGTCGGATCCAGTTCGCCACCGAGGTTTCATTTTCCCCAAACCCGTAGGCCCCGTATCGGCTGTAGCGATCGAAGGACAGCGCCCCATCAAACCCGATAGCCTCATGGGAACCGAACATGGGTGCCGGAAAGCCTGCTCGGGAATTAGTTCTCATCCCTGCACCTCCCCGATGCCAGAAGTCCCCATTCACCCACCTTCCGGGACTCCAACGTAGACCCCCACCTCATCATCCGAGCTTTCATTCAGAAGCTTTCCTCGAGGCCCTTGGCAGGGGATAAAAGGCACCGAATGCGTTTCCTTCCACCGCCGGCTGTTATAGTCAGGATAGGGTCGGTAGACCAAGGGTATCTGGCTGCTCGTATCCCGGACGCGGGAATCGACGGAAATGCTAGGGCTTTGGTGACTCCTCGGGACAACGATTCGGTTCACGGTAGATGCAAAGGATGTGAATAAGCTGCAGCAGAGAGGTCACGAGGGTTAGTTATCGTCATGCTAGAAGGGTAGGGAAGGCATGCCGTGGATACTGAGCTTGTTCCTCTTCATATCTTTCCTGTGACGTCTTTACCATCCGCTGCTCGGAATCACCAGTCAGCTTGGTGATCCCATAGTCATGGACGGCACCGGGCCTGTCCGGTACCTTCCGATGGGGCTTATCAGATCTCCGAGCCAGTGTTATTATCAGGAGCATCAATAGTAAGGCGAGAGTCAGTGCCGGTCGCCGGATCTATATGATATAGAGGAATCCCGAGTCAGTGACTGACAAGAGCCATTTGACGACATGGGTGGGATATCGAAGCAGGGGTAGTAGTCTATAACCGATCTCTCACCATCAAAGACCATGGTATAACACGCATCCTTGAAACGGGGGGCCCGTGGCCGTTGAGAAAATCAGGCGCTTGGATGAATAACTAGCTGATTGTAGATAATATTCTCAAGAGTCTAGACAGACAGCAGAATACTGACCATAACGATGAACATCGCGATGGCTCTGGCAAGGATTGAACGTATAAAAATGAATGCCACTACCCCCCCCCTTCTCCCTTGGGGCCTCATTTCCAGTTGCGATACATGTCATTATTCCTTGCACGCCACCACGTTCGGACAGCGCTTTCAATGGGGGCCTAGAATAGCCCGTGAGAATAGACTTTTTGATTCAGGGTTGCGCTCTGGTCGTCCTTCCCCTGGCATTCGCCAGCATTTTCTTTGTCATGGGCAACACGGGAGAGTGGCGTGAACTCTGAATGCAGCGAACCCCTTCCTCTTTGCGTGGAATTCGCTCTGGTCTTAATCTAAAAACAAATATGCTTCCAGAGTCAGGCAGCTGGTGGCGTGGACAGGCTCGTATAACATCGTCGGATATGAAATCAGGCCAGCCCCCGGTTCTGCTAGGTACATGCAGCACGGCACAGCACCGCACTGTGGAATTCCAGCCAAACCATGAGACTTGGGGCGGTTTGCAGCTCGGACACAAGTGTTGCCTTGCCTGTTCCCACATTGTATCGTCTTTCACTTGATGCTGTTATATACAGCGGCACCTGAAGGGCTGGATATCTCCCGTTCGGCCGTCGTTGGGGGATAAATGATGGCTACGTCGTCGTCAGCCCGGAAATAGACTTTTACCTGACACCTATCGCGGCTGATGGTACTCTTCAAGGTGTGATGATGAGTTCATTGGCCGGGCTGCTGGGACGGTTCGGAAATCCGGCTTTCCTGAGTGCCAACATTGCACGCTCAGTCCGGCAACCCAACTCACACCTGGCCTATTAGCCATCGGGATCCCGACGATGGGACAAATTTAGATCCTAAGAGAGTTTGGTCCCAGACGATTCGCCCGTCCTGGATCGCCCTGCAGAGATTGCCGAGGGTTCTCTGATTGGTCCCTAGGAGATGACAGCCGGGATGTGCCTGAATGTGTTCGCCACGAGACTGCTGCGCCGTCCTGGCTAGAATACGATAGATTGCTGCTTACCACATAGTGCTACATCATGAGGGTATCAGCCAGACGATGTCTCTAAAAAAAAAAAAATCCTTCAATGCTCCTCAAGCGCCCGAGACAATCCCATACCGAGTGGGTTCATATGTTCCCCATCCATTTTACTTTCCAGCTGATTAACGGATGCAGATATTCCATTATCGCTACCTTGCTCTTCGCAAGGACCGTCACCATCATGGCCAGCTCTTCTGGAGGCATCGTTCCAGATCCGACTCACGTTTCCCGACAAGACGTTCTGCATTGATCGATACCACTGACGACGACTCCCGGTGTCCCAGCAACGAAAGACCATGGGAATATCCGGCACCATGTGGCTCTATGCCTTCCTCTCAACGCTCTCGTTCCTCACTTTTGGTGTCTGCACGTCATGCTACTTCCCCGGTGGAAAGCTGGCCGAGAACTACACCCCCTGCGCAGAGAACGGCGACTCCTTCTGTTGCGAAGACACCTCCATCTGCCTGACCAACGGCTTCTGCATGTCCCTGACCCAGCCCTACGTTCTCGCACGGGCAGCCTGCACATCCCAGAACTGGACCAGCACCTCCGTCTGTCACGATGCCTGCCACTGTGGTAAGTCTTTTGTCTCCGTAGAGCGTTCCTGCCGGGATCCGATGGATCGACTCATCTTTTTTCACCTTCCTCCGCAGTCACCGAAACCTGGAACACCGGATGTTCAATCGTCCTCCTCAACAACGTCAACGGCGTTCAGTGGTACTGTCCGAACTCCATCGTCGCGACCGGGACCCGGTCCATCGGTTGCGCGGACGGCGTGGCCCCGATTCAGATCCATCCCGGCTACGCCATCAATGGAAAGGCGTTTCTCGCCAATTCGAGCATCACCACCACGATGACCGAGACCCCCAGCTGCCCGGTCGTTAGCGCAACGTCCTCCCCCTCTCCCACACCCAGCCCTACGAACAATACCTCCTCCTTACCGACCGCGACGGCCCCTGTCGGCGAGCCCAACAGGGACAACGGGGTGAGCCACTCCGCCATGGTGGCAATCGGCGCGGGTGTCGGGGTTCCGCTAGCGGTCCTGTCACTGGCCATTCTCACATTTGCGTTTCTCGAGCGGAGAAAACGCCTGCAGCTTGAAAGTCGCACGCCGCAGATGATCCGCCTGCAGCCTATCGAGCTCAGCCTGGACCGGAGGCCAAAGCCTCTCGTCGGGAACTTGCAGCCGTATGAGTTGGCCAGTGAGCCCCTGATTGATCCCGTCGGCATGGATGGGCGATAACGGCGTATGTCCATGCTCGCCTTTGATGCTACCATGTCACCCATCAACACTCCGGTTGCTTTTCAGTGATGTGGCTGGACGTGTTGGTTGGTGAAGGTGGGCACCTGTCGCAGTCTGTATACCGTCCGATCGTGTCTGATGGTTTGGCTCCCGAACTTCTCAGACGTCAGATCTTATTTTCATCCCTGTCTGTTGCGAGCTGGCCTCCCTTTTTTTTTTTTTTTTTTTTTTTTTGTTTTTTTTTTTTTGCCGGTTGTCTTTGGGCTGGCATCTCGGGCGATTCGCTGTTAAAAGAGAGAAAAGACCGCTATTTCAGCTCTGCCATTCAGCCGCTCGGTCGGCCAGTAGGGCAGGTTAGTAGTTGGGTGGGTGACCACCAGCGAATCCCTTCTGTTGTATGTATTATTTCTTGTTTTTTTTTTTTTTTTTTTTTTTGGTGTGTGTGTGTGTGTGTGTGTGTGTGTGTGTGTGTGTGTTCATTATATTCATCTATACAATGTACTGGATACCGGATAGACCTACGAGGTTAGTACATCTGCGATGTATGTATCCTCCCATAAAATCGTACCACGCCCACTTTCTCTTTTATCATACCCTCTCGTTGTGCTCAGAGGGCTAGGGAATGGGGAATGCCTAGCTGTAAAGAGCATGATCTCTAGATCATGTGGCGACGTCTGCTTTATTCGTACTATGCATTTGGTCTTTCCCCGCGGCCAGCCGGCATGTCGTATATAAGGTCAATACAGGAACGTGACACGATTTGGGATAGAGCACGGCCAGAGAGGAAGATGGGGAAATGGGGATCTGAACATATTGCGGGCGACTCTGGCTATACTGTGATGATGACATGCTTCTACTCTGCTCTTGGTGTTATTTCCTTCTAGAAATACGCATTTCAAAGAGAAGGATGCTAACAAAACCAGCACATAGGAGGACTCTCAGCTATGAAGACGGCTATGCCTAACCACTGAGGCTGAGGCGGCTATCAAGAGCTTCGTAAACATCACAGCCCCGAATGTCCGTTGTAGCTTACATATCCAGTCCCCCGCCCCCATTTTCTCCGTAATAGACAAGATATCACCATGCCATCTTCAAACCCACATCAATGCCACAGCATTGAGGGAAAGTGTCATGCCGACACAAGCGTCATAATCATGTCACTACCTCATTATCAATATGACTGATGTCACCAATATCACCAACTTGGTCTGCGTCTCTATCATCGACACAGTCTGCGACTTGAACAGGTAGAATCGTCGCTTCGTCATGGGTGTCGGATCGTATGGTGGTGCTTGGTGTGCAGAACGGATAGTCCCGACCCAAATTTCGACCTTAGCAATAAAGCCCAGGGGCGTGGAAGAAAAGTCCTGGCCTTTGCGCGTCAATCCGAACCATTCTTCTAGGAATTTAGCTGGAACCTTCTCACGTTGTGTAGTTCCTGAATGGCGTTCTCTACTTGACAGTTCGCCATGGGAATGAACTGACCCAAGAATATCGCCATAGTCCCCAAACTTTGAGATAGAGTCTGCCGGCCAGAATGCCAAGATCGATTTTGCACCGTTGGCGGGGATCCAGTCTGGAGATTGGGGATGGTGTAGAATCGGAACGTGTCGAAATGCAACATCTCCTTTGAAAAATTGATGCCGAGTGAATAATGCAGATAAGTGAACAGTCGGTCGGGGTTGCGCAGGATGAGGATCGGGTATTCCGCCTCTTCTGGAATAATCATAACAGCTTTGCCAGCCTGGAATTATAAAAACACGAATTTATTAGTTATTACTCTAAAGTACGCCTATACTCATGCTCCACGGTATGGTGACATACATTAACTCGCGCCTTACGATTCAGCTCGCATTCTGCTGCGTAACGTGCAATATGACTTATCTTGCTCAGGGTTATTCTCCTGAGACTCAGTATAAGCTGTGTTTTATCGATGGAGCCATCCACATGCATATATTTGCAAGAACGTAAGGATCATTCACACTATCCCACTCACTTGAATTGAGGTCAAGGTCTCTCATAATCTCCGTTGCGTCGAGTATCCGATCTCTCAGGCTTGCCTCTACCTCAGCGATATCATTGTCATGCCTGCCAGGCAACTGTTGGGGGAGGGAAGTACTGCGCGTGCGAAGACACGTTGGATGAGATGTTAAAGTGAGGTCGGAATTGATTTTGAGTTTTGTGGGAAAGGTAATGAAAGGCATTCCCTGGCTTGACCTCCCTGTCGCTTCGGTCCTCTCTCAGCCATAGGGAATATTTCACATTTTCTTGGCCTGCACTGTACTTGAACCAACAAGCTTAGCATCTATGCTATCCAATCTGATGTTGGTATATCATCCTATGTGTCTACCTACCGTTGATTGTTTATCTATATTCTCATGGAGGTTTCTTCGTGTTAATGTTAAGAACCTCCATAATCTGGCTCGGCCATCAGACTCCACGGGCCAGTAGAACCGAGCTGAATATTGTGTAGGTAGCTGGTGATCTTCTTCCGTCCAGCTATTCATCTCTCTAGACCCCTTGTCTAAGAATCATATCCTAGTGGGCTCGCTTGAACCAGATCTTCCCCCCCAACGCAGGCTCCATATCTATCCCCAGTTCCGTGGCGACCCCCTTCGCATCAACATAAAACTCGGCCTTCATGTAGTCTGGGTCCACAGCTTCCGCCCCGGGGGTATAATACTTGGTCACAAAGAACTCCCCACTAACATGCTCAAACCGCAAGCATTTCTTCAACACACGATCCGTCAAATCAACAACCAATTTCCCGTCCCTCTCACGCAACACCAGATCCCCATACGCTGGATGTTCATATTTCCCCGCATACGCCCCCAACGCCAACGCATGGGGCAATCTCCTCTCCAATCCAGGAAATAACCGTTCAATCACTTGCTCCACACTTTCCGTAAACCCTCGTTCCATCTCCTGAATCTTCTCCCCTAATCTACGCACATGTGCCTCCCTCTCAGCTGCTGCCCCGTCTCCGCTCTTTCCAATCAGCCCGTCAATTAGATACAAGTACAACTCCAACTGCGCAATCCTGGCATTCTGTGTATTCCCCATCATTGCAAACGCGAATCCTCGTGCAGGCAAGAACCCAACCATGATTCCGAACCCGTACCAGCTCCCAGTGTGCCAATATATCTGCTCCCCATGGTAGTAATCCACAAACCAGCCCATCGTATACAAATGATATGCGCCCGGCGGAGCAAGCATGTTATCCCAGTCCGCTTGGGCGATCACTGTCCGAGGTAGTCGTAGCGCCGTGTGTCCCTCTGGCGAGATGGGACCGGTCTGATATACCAAGGCACGGAGCCACTTTGCGTAATCAAGGACATTACTCACCATTGCACCGGTGCCAGTTATCGGGGTGTAATTCATATACGGCTCTTCGTGGTAGCTGTTTGTTTCTGGGTTCCACGTGTATCCTTTCACTAGTCGTTCTGATGCAGTGGGTATTCCTTTAACCTCGTCGACCGAGAAATATGTATCGGACATGCCGAGGGGATCCCAGATCCGCTTTTTGAGCGTTGTACCCATGTCTTCCCCGTTGATTTGTTCGATGAGATACGACGCGACCATGAACATGTGATTGCAGTAGTTGAATTTCGTGCGTGGGGGGTATGCGAGAGGCAAATGGCGGAGCTTGCGGACTGCAGTGCAGAGGTCCTCGTCCGGAAACGCAAAAGCCATGACCCCGAAGTGACCCGGCAGGCCGGATCGGTGAGAGAGAATATCTTCGATGGTTGTGTGGGCTGTGGCGGAGGGGGTAGAGAGGACGAAGTCATCGCGAATTAGAGAGGAGACGGGTGTAGACCAGGAGATCGGGTTGGGAGTGGATTTGCTGTCGTCGATGGCGAGGGACAGGGCGGCGGCGGTGAAGGCCTTGGTGGTGCTGCAGGTGCTGAAGAGAGAGTCGACGGTCATTGGGGTGGAGGGGAACGAGGCGATTCCGTATGCCTGGTTTCAATGATTTTAGTGTTGGGTATTCCTTTTGGGAGGAGGAGATGCTGAGTTGGTAGGATGTACCTTGGCGTAGGTGCTGGAGCCGTGGACGATGGCGATGCTCAGGCCCGGGATTTTCCATTTTCCGAGCAGCTTTTCGACGAGGTCGTCGAATTCGGGCGTTATTGGATTGATCATTTCTCGGAGGCCCATAGCGTGCTGTTGATGGTATGATTGAGGTGTTGGGGGAGGTCCTGGTAAGATTACTTATGGATTGTCGGGGGTTGCGGAAGAGAGAGAGGAGGGAGTTGAGCAGCGGGGGAGCAGCGAAGTGGGAGCTTCGGGGGGTCCGTGGGTGGCCCGGAGGATAGCTTGCTAGTGGCAATGTGGCTGGATGGTCTGGGCGCTACTAGGTGATAAGAGGCGATGGCTTGCAGGAATCCAATAGTAGCCTGGGCTAATCCTGCGGCCTGATTAGCTATGTCCGGTCTGACATGCGATATGACATGCGACATGGCATTTCTAGTGGATGCGACGATGACTGATTATGAAACATAGTTTATTCTAACTATCAACAGTACTCCTGTCCATATCCCCTATGCAATGCGACCTCATCCTAACTCATTAATCATGCAGATGCAGCACCCCAACCACCCCCGCCAGCCGTGTTAATAATAATGCGATCATGAGTCTTCATGGAGACGGTGTTCTTTCCGCCAATGTTCACCTGACGCTCCGCGCCAGTATTGACATCCTTTGTGATCCACAGGTTCAGCCCAGGCTGGGCATCCCCTCCGCCTTCAAGACCATAGGGCCGGTAGACTCGTCGCTCCGACAAGATGGAGACTTCCATCGGGGACAGGAACTCGATGTCTCGGATAACACCATCACCACCGGGATTCTGACCCTTGCCACCAGATCCCTCCCGAAGAGTGAACTGCCGTAGGAGGGTCGGGTAACGCTTCTCCAGAATCTCCGGGTCGGTGATGCGTGTGTTGGTCATGTGCACGTGGATCCCCGACTCCCCGTTCCATGTCGGACCGGCACCGCTGCCTCCTGCGATGGTTTCATAGTATCCAAAACCGGGGATCACCTCGCCTGTATCGGGGTCACGCTTCGAGTTCGTGCCGAAAGTCAGGTTATTGCAGCACCCTTGCGACGCGGCACAAGCTTGGAAGGCCTTGAGCACAACGTCGGTGATCCGCTGCGAGGTCACCACATTCCCACCGACCACGGCGGCAGACTTTGTGGGCGACAGAATACTAGGCGATGGAACCTGGATGTCGATGGGAGCAAGGCATCCCTGATTCAGGGGCATGTCGGCGTTAATCATGCATCGCAGGCAGTAAATGATGGCCGAATGGGTGATGGCGATCGGGGCATTCCATCCTCCGTACACCTCTGGACCAGTACCGGCAAAGTCAAAGACGGCAGATCCATCCGAGCCATTGATAGTGACCTTCAGCTTAATAGGAGTGCCATCGTCCATGTAGTCGACCGCCTCCAAGGGCTGGCCACCGAACCTCTTGTAAAGGTCTTTCAATAGATTGCGCACCGCTGTCTCGGCCGTGGCCTGAATGGCGTACATGTACTTCTGGACCGTCTCGACCCCATATTCCGCGAATAACGCTTGGATCAGCGAGATACCCCGGGTGTTTGCAGCAATCTGTGCCTTCAAGTCGGACAAGTTGTCACTGACACATCTGGCTCCCGAGCACCCTTCATACTGAGCAGGCTGGTGTACCAACAGTTCCATCATGCGTTCCTCGTCGAAAACCCCATTGCTCACAATCTTGTCACCTTCAATGGCAGCACCCTCTTGCCAAAGCTCAGTGGATTTAGGCGGCATCGACCCGGGCAGGATGCCGCCGATGTCAGCGTGGTGGCCACGCGAGGCAACATAGAACATGATTTCGGTGCCACCCGGCCGGTCGAAAACAGGTGTAATCACCTAGCACACAATCAGTGATGGGTTGCCAATGAATTCGATTAACTTACTGTGATATCGGGCAAGTGCGTTCCACCAGAGCTAGGGTGGTTTGCCACCAACACATCGCCGTCCTGTAGCTTACCAAGCCACCTCTCATGTTGATAGCGAACGGCAAACTGCATGGAGCCCAGGTGCACTGGAACATGTGGCGCATTGGCAACAAGACCTCCATCGGGAGAGAACAGAGCGCAGGAAAAATCCAGGCGTTCCTTGATGTTAGTTGACACTGAAGTCTTTTGCAGCGTACGACCCATCTGCTCAGCAATGGACATAAACCGATGACCGAAGATAGTGAGCCGGATGGGGTCAATTCCTGACGAGCCACCCTCGGCCGCAGAATCGCCTGGGAGCTCCTCAAGGTCGATAACAATGCATGTCTCCAGGATATTGGCCACCGCATTGGGAGCCACCACAACGGTTTGCGTCTCGTCGATGATGATGGCAGGGCCATGCACGCGGGTGTTCTTGTCAAGCTTGTTGAGCTGATAGACAGGAGTGTCGATCCGTTCCGAATGACCGTCAAAGTATGCCTGGGAGGTATTGTCGGGACCTCCTGTGACGTCCTTGATGGTAGCTTCCCTCAGCTGCACCAGAGGACTCTTTTCCGTCCTCACCTTCGAGCAAGCGATTGTGCGGACGCGGATGTCATCCACTAGAACCGGCCTATCTGAGTTGAACCCAAACTCTCTGCGATGTCTGGCACGGAACTGTTCGAGGAAATCGGAGTCATCTTCGGGTCTCAGAATCATCAGGCTGGTGTCTGAACCCTCGTAGCGCAAATTGAGATACAACTCGTGGCGAACCTGGTCAGAGGAAAATCCTTGCGTTTCCATGTCTTCGGTAGCCGCCTGAATCATGCCGCCGAAGCGCTTCTCAAGAGTCGACTGGGAGGTCGAGTAGTCAGTGGAGACCGGCTCCTGAGATTCCTTGACCACCTCGGCCAGCGCTAAACCGTACGCCGAAAGGACTGATGAAAACTTGTGGATGATGATGCGGGAAATACCCAACGACGCCGCGACAGTGCACGCATGCTGGCCACCAGCGCCTCCAAAGCATGCGAGGTGATGGGATGCAGTCTCGAAACCACGAGCCTCCGTCAGGTTGCGGATAGGACGAGCCATCGACTCATCCGCAACCTTCAGGAAGCCGAGTGCCACCTCCTCTGCTGTGAACTCCGATTGACCCTTCTCCTTCCTCTCGTCGTTGATCTTCTGCGTTAATTCTTGAAACAGCTTCGTGGTGATCTCAAGGTCAAGCGGTTGGTCTTCGTTAGGCCCGAATATATGAGGGAAGTATTCCGGCAGTAATCGACCAAGGAAGAGGTTGGCGTCCGTGACGGTCAGTGGGCCGCCTTTCCGGTAGCAAGCAGGTCCCGGATGAGCGGATGCTGACTCGGGCCCGACGTAAAACAGACCGTTGCGCCACGACAGGATCGAACCACCACCCGCGGCAACGGTGTTGATGTCGAGCTGAGGAGATTGGATAAGAACACCAGCCACTTTGGATCCGAAAACGTGCTCGAGATGGCCATCAAAGCGCGACACGTCAGTCGATGTGCCACCCATGTCGAATCCAATCACCGGGGTCTTCTCCTTCGGGTCCCAGCTGGTAGCGGCGAAACCAACCACACCGGCAGCCGGACCAGACAAAATCGCTTTCAGCCCGCTGAATCTGCGAAAGTCAACGAGTCCACCATCCGACTGCATAAACTCGAAGCGGCATTCTTGCTGCTTCTCCAGGCCACCCTCGAAGCTGTCCGAAATCGAGTCAATGTAGGTTTTGATGACAGGCGTGAGATAGGCGTCTGCTGCAGCAGACATACCCCGGGGAACCACCTTAATCATGGGTTGCAGCTTAGACGACAATGTGACGGAGAAGCCCATACTCTCAGCTAGGTCGCCGATCATGCGTTCGTGCTCGGGGTAAGCGAAAGAATGGACAAGTGCCACTGAAAGCGATTGGTAGCCCTGCTCTTTCAACTGTTGTAGCACCGGGCGAACCTCTTCAATGTCCAGCTCTTGCACCACCCGGAACTTCTCGCCAGTTGTTCCCTCCACTATCCGAGCATTGGTAAAGCAATCTTTGTCAGCGAGGGGGTGGCATGGAATGACACGTTCATTGATCTCCACCACTCTTTCGGGCAGCACGCCGGGTCTAGCCATTGAGAGGTCGAAGATGTTTGGTCGTGATTGGTCTCCAATCTTGAGTAAGTCGCGGAAGCCTTTTGTGGTAAGGAGTACGGAGCGAGCTCCCTTGCGCTCGAGGAGAGCATTTGTGGCTACTGTCGTTCCCATGCGCAGACTACCAATACGGTCGAGCTTCAGAGGCTGACCTCGCGGGTGTGACTCCCCTGTGACAAGCTCGAGGATCTGGCGGATGCCCTCGGTGGGGGCATCTTGGTAGTGACCGGGATCGACGGACAGTAGCTTGAGGATGATATCGGGGCGACCGGGCACAACGGCATGCACGTCGGTGAAAGTACCACCACGGTCGATGGAGATAGTGATTTTCTCTGATCCGGGCATGTTGGCGAGGGAGGGGAGGAATAGAGGAGGGAGAGAAAGAACAGGTGGTAGAGGAGAGATGGGGGGGTATCAATGATTGCTGTCGAGGATGATGGAGGGGCATTCCCCAGGTTAAAATAACCCGCAGCCGGCCAGTCTGGGGGGAACGCGATAAGAGATCCGCTGTCGTCACTGGCCCTTCCGCCTTGATTGAGGCCTTTCATTGGTGAATGGTCACGTGTCGGGCCGACGGACGAGCTGGTCGGGGTTGACGGGCCGATGACGCCGGACCAGCCAGTCGATAAGTCCGGATAACGGGCGCTGATAAGTCTTGATAAGCCCGCCAGTTTGTTATCCACTCAGCTGGCTATCATGATCTACTTTGTCTCCGTAGTCAGTATACACCCAGTCGGAACTGGCAATTAGCCTATGGTTGTGAAACTAGGCAGTGTACTTAGCAGATGCCACTGAGCATATGCCACAACAAGGCACTCTCCACCCCGGATTATGACCAGTATTACTCTTGATGTTCATCACCACGCCGTGACCGATGACCGAACAGAGCGTCGGCATAAACCCCTGGAAGGATCGGTCCCAAAGTCGCCGTCGCCGACCAATGAACCGTTCTACGCGGTCAGCCAGCGTATTTTAAGATTTTGCTTCTAGATTCGCCCATTACCCGGGGGTATAGATAGCATTTTTGCATCGTGAGGTGGTCGTGTCAGTAGACTCGTTTGAGCGGCGTTCGACCCGTTGGGGCAGATATGAGCCTATTCATTTCTCATCTCTAGGAGCTGCAGACAAATACATCTCACGACTTCCATTGAGATACAAAGATCAGAACGAGCAAGTGCACGGAAAAAGGACTAGATTTCCTCTCGGGTACCAATACAAGCTGACTCGCAATCCTTGAAAGTGTCACTGCAGCCTTCTCAACCACTTATAATTCGCCTAATAGGGGGATTTCCATACATTACTATCAAACCCACGTCGGCTCCGACTTCTGATGGTATGACATCGACGGGCTTCCACTCGGTGCATGAATGTGTATTGACCACATGTGCTACCGTTTGTATCATTGTTACCGCTTTAACGTGTTTTCAATCCAGTCAGTATCCATGTCAATGTCAATCTGGCCCAAAACCTCCTCCCAGAGGCCCGGATCATCGTTGATATCAAAGTTGAACGAGATCTCCTGCACTGACGGCAAGTCCTGCTGTGGAGTCCACGTAGTGTTCGTCGGAGGGCCAATTGCATTATTCGACGGGGTCGGTTGCTGTGTGCTGCTGGGCGTAATCGGCGCTTCGACGGCGTCGCCTTCTCTCCTTGCGCGATTTTGCCCGATGGACGACTGAAGCTCAAGAAGTAGCGAGTGGCGGGCAGCCAAATTAGTATTGCCCCGATCAGCCATGCTGCGAAGCAGACTTATTGAAATCTCCATCGCCCGCGCATTAGCTGCGTTATGTGGAAATGCAGCATTCACCATTACAAGCAGGAGAGCGGCGGAAAAGACGTACTCTCCGTCGAGGTAGCCATAAGTAGCTGATAATCCTGTTAGTACGATTCTCGATAGCGGTTGGTTGAGTAAGCATACCAACCAAGTTATGCTTCGCTGCAGCATCCATTATAAGGGTGGTGGCCCGAGCTGCTGCCACACAGCTGTCAATTACCGCAACTGTATTCTGCGACAGCCCTTCCTTCCAGTCATCCGTCGCAGAGCCACCGGCTTCCGCGTCGAGGCGACGCTGGATCACATAGAAGACCAAGGGCCGTGCGGTCATGTTGACGCAAGAATAGAAGTGTAGGAATATTGACACCGACTCGCGGTTGATATGTGTACTCAGCCTGGAAAAGTCTATACGCAATCGATCGGGTACTCGTCGAAGCCAGTCGGAAAGCTCATCGGTAATGCTTTGTACTGAGGCTAGCAGGTTTGAGCCAGACCGCGGCTTCTTCCGATAAATTTCTTCATGACTTAGTTAGAGGATCTGTCGGGGTAAATGAGTATTGCTCCAAACCTTCTCCTATTCTACCCAGGATCCTGGACAGCTGGGTATAGTATGTGAGGACAACCGATGGCCAAGGAAGCACATCAGTTGGGCTCTGATTGCATGTGAGAAAGCGCATGTCTGGGGGACTCCTCAAAACTTACAACTGGCTGCGGCCATGTGGTTCCAATGTCCTCATCTTGGATTGTAATCGGATTGCCTGACTTGACAGACAGTAGCCTATTGGCCATTAGCAAGGCCTGTGGTTGAGAGAAACTTGAGGCTTACCGATCCAAACTATATACGGACCACCAAGCCCGCCGACGACGATTACGGTCTTCCTCACTAATTTCTGGGTCTAGGACCTCTTGATGGAGCCCCAGTGAAATTGCCATGCGAAGAGCAAGACCAATCTGTGGGGTTGGGATCAGTTATGGAAGTAAGCACGGAAGGCCGCTAAGCATACGTATAGAAAGGCAGCATCCCGACGATTGAGGTTCTGCATGTAGTAAGCAACATAGCAGAGTACCTCCACGAAAAATATTGATCCCTCCTCGTGAATGTCAGGCAAAAAGCGCAGTGCATGCTTGAAATATCTGAACCCCGGAGGACCGTCATCACCGGACCACTGGTTGACCGAGTACATGAGGCCGAACGCTATGACAAGCAATACCTGGCAGTAGACCAGACATGACTCGCGATTAAGCAAATCAGGGGGTTGGCTATAGACTATGTGTAGTCGCTCTTCGAAGTCATGGGGTTGGATGAGGGAGAATATTGTTCCGATATAGACATACTGGACCCAGTAGAGCCGCTTGGCATATTCGAACGGCGGCAGTTGAGGGAGGGATCGTGGTACTGAGCGGCGTAGAGAGGAAGGGTCATCGTATAGGGGTCGCACATCCCATGCTAAATTGGTTGATGTAGGATTCAGACGTTTTGCCAGATGGGTGGTAGAAGATGCACCAACATAGTCTGTCTATACGTTAGATCATGTATAAACATATATATGGCTACAGGGAATCTCACGATGTTCACCGGATCGATTCAGAAACAAATGTTCTGTCCCATTATACCACCAGTCGCCTCGCTCCAGGGGCACTTCGACGCTATACGAAGTGCCCTGAATGGATGTAGCTGGATTTGGGAAGGACGCAGAGCGAGCCTCATCTGCGTCAATAGAATAATCAGACGAAGGAAGTCGTTTCCCAGAGAAGACTTCACAAACCTCGACTGTTGGCCTGGGCCTGAGACCGCAACCGACGAAAGTAACTGGCGGGAAAGGAGAAGAAGTTGGTCAGCCGCTCAGGCAGCAATCACGTTCCCCTCAGGCTCTCACCTTTCCGGAATCGACACGCGCTTCTCGGCCTCCGAATAGACACACTCGTGGCCCACCTCTGCGCACGCAGCGCACGCATATGGTGGGTTACCAGCACATCGGGTCTTTCGGTTGCGGCATCGATTACACCTGCAAAGGCATGTTAGCTGACCTTGGTTCAGAAACCAAGTATTGATGGATTACGAACGCGACCATGGACCGTCTCGCACCGCTCGGATCCTCTCCAGCTCGGTGCTGCAGTCCACTTCGAGCCCTTCTTTGAGCCATTGGCAGTATGTCGCTGCTATCGATACGGCACAATCACCATAGCGCACACCGTGACAGCAAAGCTTGTGAACTTCTGGATTTCGGCCCAGTATCCCCGATGCTGGACAGGGACTAAGATGCCGATCGCCGTTCACAATATCGCGGGAAAATGAGAGACCAGGAAAGTGGAATGACCTTGGTCGGGCTTCGGCAATGAGTTCGTGGCCGGGATAAGCAATGGCCCTACACGAGCGATAGGATCACTAGAAAGCCAGATCGGACTCCACCAGACTAAGGGTCCCTCGTGGTCGATTGCAGTTGCACACCTTTGAATCGTCTTCCGATCGGCCTTGCCAAAAAGAGGAGCACAACTACCTAGGGTGGCAGCCAAATGCCGCTTGATTGGGTTCAAGGAAACTGTTCCATCCTCATCTTGTGATTAGAGGCGGCTGTGATAACTCTAGTCTGATCAGACGACTTATCTCCCTTGCGTTGCCAAACCCCACCATGTTGCACCATTCATGATTCTGACGGGGTGTCAATGCAGCCTGGCCGCACCACCTCGGCCCGACCGACAACGGACCCCCTGAGGGGCACGAGTTCTTATCGCGTAATGACTTGTGCCTATTATTCACCAACAGGCACCACAGGTTTTAAGTTGGGGCCTGAACCCACTTGTTTAAGTGCCTGGGGACCTTTTAGACGTGTCGCGGTCTGCCTTGGAGGCCATGACTTCACCCCCGGCTGCCTCCGGTTCATTTTCTCAACTCGGGACATTGCGGCTGCAGGAAAGGGGACACGATGATGTGTTTATCCCGACAGTGTGGCCGCACCGCTTGATATAACCAAAATACCATCGTATGAACCTCATCCAGGACAATGAACTGTGCTTCCAGTCTCCAACATGGGAGTAGGCGTCTTCGCAGTATTACTGCTCGCCGTGCTGGCACTCCTTCGCGCCCTCCGCAATTATAGTTGCTTGTGTGCCATCCCTGGGCCCCCGCTCGCTGCATGGTCGGATCTTTGGCGCATATTCGCTCGCAACGTACCTCGCTACGGTCAACGCCTATCGATCCTTCACCAAAATTATGGCATGGTGGTGCGTTTAGGTCCAAACCACCTCAGTATTGCCGATGGCACGCGGTTTGCCCAGATAAACCGGGACCACCCGACCCAGGTATGCTCGGAGTTGGCATTCGTATTGTGCGTGCTAATGTTTGCAGTCAGTTACAGTACCACAGTATGAAGACCACCTAGCTATCCCAGACGGCCCCATGAATAGCCCCGAAAATTCTCAAATGACACATGCAGTATGGGAATACGCGCATGGGTTAGCACAGTACGAAGGGCTTATCGACCTATCCGCCAAACAGCTGATCAGGGCGATCAGAAAATACCAAGTCCTAGACCTAACAGCATCCCTGCGAATATTCGTCTCGTCCTTTCTTACCGACCTTACCACGGATGGGCTGTTAAACAAGGAACCGGTAAATGACCAGATGGCAGCAAACAACCGATACTTGAGGGCATTCTCAGTGGTGGAGTATATGCTCATCCGCAGCCCAGTGACGGCACTCAAAAGAGATCGCGGACGTCGCATGACGACTTGTTCAGGACTGCCCTTGCCTGCGTCTACAGTTGCTGGTCGAGGGACTGGCGCTCTCCCAGCCCGTCCAAAGACTCGCGATTCGAGCTCCGTCGAGGGATCCCGCGGTGCCGCTCGTGGAGCCGATGGTGTTGCCAGTGCATTCCTATCGCTGTTTTACTTCCTTCTGAAGGGCCAGAGGATATTTGCTAGACTCAAAAATGAGATAGACACAGCATTCTGTGTTGGATCACTGTCAGACTTGCCTTTATGGAGGGAACTCAATAGATTACACTACCTGGACGCTGCGCTGAAAGAGTCGATGCGGCTGTCATCAGCGGCCGCCTTTGAAGAAGAGATTGTAACACTAACAGGTGTTACTCTGTCGGGATTTCCAATCCACCGGGGCACTACTATAGCATGCAACGCACGTGTTTTGCACTTTGATGACGATGTTTTTGGGAACGATGTCCACCTATTCCAACCCGAGCGATGGCTAACGAGAGATGCCCAACAGCGAAGCCGCATGGAGCACGGGTTATTGCTATTCAACCGCTGCGTGCGTGGTTGCCCAGAAGTCGAAGTGGCATGGCTGGAGTTGAAAAAGGTCGTCGTCTTGATCATACTGAAGTTCAATGTCGGTTTCCCCAGTCCCATCTTAAGAACTACCCACTAACCGTACTGTCACCAATAGTTGCAACTCTTCCATGTCGCAGAGCCCAGCAACGATAAGGATGATGGCATGGATTCCCCGCCTTCCATGATCGTGGGATTCACCCCACGACTTCCTGGATTTTGAGCCATTCCTTAGTTAGCCATTCCGTTTAATCATCAGACTACCATTTTCTGGCATTAATTCCCGCAGGCTATGGCGCTCAAACCTTTGTTGACAAATTGAAATGTGGCCACGTCGCATTCCTCCCAGCCTCTGCGCATCCGCTTCCCTGTTCTTTTCCACTTCCCATCCTTCCTCTTGTCCTTTTTCTATTCTATCAAAGATACCCACTCTACACATGCTATTTTTCATTTTACCTTAGAATTATTGACACCTTACTTTCCGTCTCCTTGTGGGCCTTTCCCGAGATAGATCTAGATAATTCTCCGTGCACTAAACGGAAATAAAGGAGCCACCTCCAAAAGTCCCGCGCAACGGTGCCAAGACTACTTCCGTCCGGGCCGAAACATTACCGAAACAGGTGATGCTCGCCATAGTTGCCTCTTAGAGCACAGCAACCAATTAAAGATCATAAAAGTACTAAACTCGGAAATTAATTATGTCACTAAACAGATCACGCTTCTCGGCTTTAAGTCCAGCTATCAGCTCCGTGGTAGATTATTTGGTACACTGTGACGCTTGTACACTCGAATATATATAGAAAACCAAAGTCTGACTGATGAAATATGCAAACTTCCGTCTTTTACTATTTTTCTTAGTAAGAGAAGGGGCTTTTAGCTGGTGGTACGGGTATACTAGAAACGATGCGAGTTGGGAAGATTCGAGATCTCGATGATTCACGCGGCCCAGACGTCCTCCAAAACTTTCTGTCCCCGAGTCAATGTCTTGGATGGGGCCTCGCCCAACCACTGCGGCTCGAGACGGGTGATATTCGCCTCCATTTCCCAGGCACGGCCACCTTCGACGTACATGGAAGTGCCGTTAAGGGTGTCATCCACCAGCACACCAGCAGTGACTTGTGCGACCTGGAGAGCGGAGCTGATTGGTAGACCCTCCTCTTCCCAGCGATCGCACAGCTTTTTGGTGACTGCTGGGTGTGTCTGGGTCATCCAGGGGCAGATTGTATTAATGCGGAGGTTATGTTTGTAAGGTGAGCAGAAGTAGGGGCGCAGTGAGCGCATCAGACCTTGGATGCCGTGCTTGGCCGCCTGGTAAACAGATACACCGGGGGTTTCCTTGAAGCCTGCGGCGCAAGAGAAGAGGATGATGGAGCGGTCCACGCCCGGGCCACGGTTGTGGCGGAGGTAGACACTAGCTACACGGACGACGTAGAGGGAGCCAGTGAGGTTGATATCGAGGTCCTTTGTGGACGGAGGCTTGTCATATTTAGAGATGGACCAGGAAGAAAAAGTCTACGGACGGCTTACCGTGCGGATGTCCTGAAGACTCAACGTACAGTCGAACCAATTCTCCTTTGGCTCCATACTACCAGCGGTGACGACCACATGGTCAATGCGGTTGTAGGTCTTGAAAGCAAAGTCAAACAGGTTAAGAACAGCGTGATAGTCCGTAATGTCGACAGCTTGGAAGGTTGACCGAGGAGGCTTAGGAGGGAGATTGGGGTCCGAGTAGACGGGCCACTTTTCACAACATCTCAAGCTCAGGGGTGCACCACGGGGGGTGTCAATGTCACCAATGCATACGTAGGCGCCATTTTGGCAGCATAGTTCGACAAGGCTCTCGCCGATGCCATTGGCGCCGCCTGTTGCAGGGGTGAGCAGGTTGAGAGGGAGGGAGAGGAAACAAGCAGCAGGCGACGTACCTACAATGATAATGACTTTTTCTTCCAAAGCCTCCTGCGTAATAGTGGGATGAAATTGGGTGATTGGTACGGCTGAGTTCGAGGAGAGGACGGGGCCTGTTGGAGCGATCATCGTGATAGCAGAGATAACGCAAATGTGCTGAATTGGACACGAAGAACCAGGCGAGGGGGAAAATGCGGCTGGATGCTAGAAGCACGGGGTTCGAGGAGCCTTTTATGCAACACGGCCGATGGATTGACTTCCCAGGGACCTGTATTAAGCACAACCACCAACTCACCCGGGGAGCACATATACTCCGCAGCCAATCAAGCCGATGAAGCCCAGGTAGCTCATCTGGGTTTGGTGGATCCCGTGTCGGGAAAATATAGGGAGACAATAGTATGCGCCGAATAAGATGAACGGCACAAGTGCACCATAGCCCGATGTCATTGGGTGGTATCGTTGGATGATGTGACAGTACTACTAGTAGCCTGTACTGCTACTAAGTACAGATTCTGTAGCCGTCTCACCACTGCGGGTCGGCGGATCGGCGATTGCGGGGAGAGGGGACAGAATCCGGAGAATATCCGGAGTAGTGGGTTAGTTGCATGATGGAGTACGCTGGAAACAGCGATGTGAGATAGCTTAGAGCGTTGCCAGAGGAATCATGATTAGAGAGTAACGTGGAGAGTGGGAGAGAGCGAAAGAGAGAGGGAGGGGATAGGCGGAGGGTGGGTTCGTGGCTGCCTGAGGAAGTTGCATCCCCCTCTCGACCCCGCCCCATCCCAGCATCCCTTTCCACTATCCATTCCATCCGGCGCTGGATGCAGCTGGCCCTTATCACTCACTAGCAGGGGTATACCTCCTCTTCACATCGGCCTGCGTCTGCGCCTCGATAACATGCTTTTAACCTGGCACACGGGAAATCCTCTCACCCCCCTCTACCTCTTTCAACGCCATGGTCCAGTTTGTCCCCGAGACACGAATCTTTTGGTTCATACATTCGGTCCGTTGTCATCCGCAAGCCACCTGGCGCCTGTAGAGCTTGTTAAGCCACGGCCAACACTCCTTAATTCCATCCAGAGGCGATGGCGGCTAGACAGAGGAAGCCAGTGCAGCCATGCATGAGAGCATTGGCGTCGGACCAGTGCAGGGATGGACCTCAGCCAGCCCGTGGGGACGTGCCATATACGGCTGCCTACCGAAGGAATCGGCGGGCGTTGAGAATCGTTGATCCGACTGGATGGCGTATAATTAGCAGGCAGACCGGTGTACCGTGCCAGCCACGAAGCGAATGGGTTGTATCCGAGGCTGTAAACTCGGCGAGGGCCTATAACAACAATCGGCAGGTATTGCGGAACTACTGCAATACTCCTCCGGGATTCGCCCTTGTCGACCTAGGCCCCAGTCATTCAAACATCTTGTGGTCTGTGCGCAATTGAGTTCCGTCCCACTTTCTGTCATTGAAACATGCTTTCGCGTGTTTAGATCCTCTCCAATCGCATCGCCTGAGGAGTTAAAACGTACTTTTTGACCCCAATCGCGGCTAGTTACATCCAGTGACACCAGCTCTGGCGATGATGAAAGCGACTTGTCAGAGTCGCATTTGAGTGGTGGATTTAAAATATGCGGATTCCTGGATGTTTGATGTGGCCACAGGTGAAGCAGCGTCCAAGTTTGTCTACGACTTTTAACACTAACTTGATCCAGCAGGCACTCGTCTGGACTGTCATATGCTAACCAACGAAGCCTTCCCTTTTTGCCTCGACTTGAAGGGTCTACGGAGTACCGTACTCCGCCAGCGCCATGTGCATATAAATCCATTGAATGAGGAGGTCAATAGTGAATTAGCAGTCAGCCGAGTACCCGGTGGGATTGACTCGACATTTCGATGTGCATCTCGTGGCTTTACTGGCTGCGATGCGCAATCGCATGTACCCAACACCAGGTCTTTCAGCCATTCTTCCCCGGATGATCTTGGACTGAAACTCGATGCATTCCATGTCACGCATTTGCCACCAGATCTATGGAGATCATAGTGTCTCCGTTGCGATAACCGTGAGTTGGCAATCTGCCAGCCACGAATCGGTGTTCTGGGCCATGGGTTCAGATCCACTCTCTAAATCACTAGCAGCGGCTAGTGTACGGAGTACTCTGGTGGACAGCCAACAGTGCAATTATTGTACCACTTTCTACCTTTGGAGCATAGGGCGAGAAGAGACGACATGTGTAGCAGTATGACCTGCTTTTCATGTGTCTTAAATCACTGCTTGTTTGTCAACGATGCGTTGAGCGATAGCCCGAGGACAATTATATCGGTGAAACCTGCTGCCTGAGGCAGACACGGGGGTTCCTGAATTTGAGGGCACCAACCGGTCGCTCTAATCAGTCATAGTACTGAGACGATCAAAACACCAATTCCCAATTAGAGGAACTTTATACGCCTGAATAGATAGACTGCTGATACTTCTCACAGGATGATAGCCTCTTATGCCTGGGCGTGGCTCTACTTTGGCTGGTATCACCAGGAAGGTATGCTCCACGTTGACTCGGCCCACAGAAGAGGACGTCTTATTATCAAGCATAAAGGCTGGAATTTCTGCTGAGAATTCACAGTGAGCCATGGTAGATGCAAGGTTGCATGGTGGATCCGGAAGCAGGGAAGATGAACGCCTCGATATGATGGCATGGCCCTTTACGTCACCACCCGGGTGTCCAGACCTGCCGATTTATAAATGGCCAACGTGCGCAGCGCCCGATGACATATCACAGCCTAAACGGCAACAAATAAAAATGAACGGATTGTCAAGGTGTCTGGGAAGGCAGTTCGTGCCATATTCAAGGGTTTATTACAGGAATTGCAATCTGTCTGTGCCCCGCCTTGCCAGCATCACCTCTCGAAGTTATTCGAACCAGAGTGCAAAGTATAACGGCAATATGACTACTCAACCACCCAAGAATGAGATGGTCTACCTGCCGGCGGTGATGTCACCGAACAGATCCTTCGGTGTCTTCCGCAAAGTCCTGCACACAGGTCTTTATTCGCAATTCGTAGCGATGGAAGTGCCTGTGAATGGCGAGATCGGTGACGAGGTCAGGTTTTCCCAATATTAACGAAGAAATGAACTCACAGACCGATAGGTTCATACTGTGGACCAAGTTTTGATCTTTACCCACGGCACCGGCAAAGCGATTGTAGCTGGAAAGGAGCAGGAGGTTAAACAGAACGATGTTGTTATAGTTCCGGCTGGCACGCAGCACCAGTTCTTGAACGTGGGAGACACGCCGCTGGAGGTGGTTACAATTTACGCCCCAGCAGAACATGATCCACGGACAGTACATCAGACCAAGGCCGAGGGTGACGCGCAGGAGGAGGCAGGCGACGACGAAGCGCCAGAGTGGAGCCAGAGAAGCAAGTCTGAGAATGAGAGGATTGGCCTGGTGAAGCTGCCATGATTACTGTACAATATTATGTGATCGACGAGAATCTTCGAGCCCAATGATGACCTACCTACTTCTATAATACCTCATGGGATGTCGACAGAGGCGGTCTAAGCACAAAGGTGTCTACGTCATTCTACATCCAAATCCAATTACAAGATATTTCGATGATCTGCTGTCCCAGCATGCGCCCTCAGGGCTCGGCGCCGTCAACCGAAGGCAGCCACTCGCAGCCCTACCAGGCCAATCAGACGGAGTAGACCTCCGGGCCGACAGCGGCCATGGCAAATCATGAACCCGGGCCGATTTACTTCATCAGATTGATGCCGATGATTTGTCCCTCCCGACAGGGAACCCCGGACATGATTGCGTCGGTGTTGATTTCAAAGCACTGCAGGACAGGATCAATAACCGTGCTCAAGTGGCGGTCAAGCTGTTGCTACAGATCACACTATAAATATCCCCTGTCTTTACTTAGTACACTATTAGGACCATCCATTCCACCTTCATTGCGAACTCACATCCATAGTTTCCTCCCAGGTTTTCTTCCAATCAATGACAAGCATGCCTGACAAGATGATGAAGCAGTGGATAGTCCAAGGGACCAATGGTGCAGAATCCCTGCACCTCCGAGAAGTTCCTATGCCGGTGCCAGGGGACTATGAAGTCCTGGTCAAGTTCCATGCTGCGTCGTTGAATTATCGAGATATCATGATTACAACCGTAAGCCCATAGCTTCTCCCTAACATCCATGCCACGTCCACAAAGCACACTCTGACAGGTTATTAGGGAACCTACCTCTGGACCGCCCGTGACGGTATAGTCCCAGGGTAACCCCCCTCCCCTCCCCCTTCCCTCCCCATCCACTCAAACATACCAACCTAACACATCCCCAGCTCCGACGCCGCCGGCACAATCCACACCACCGGCCCCAAAGTAACCCGCTTCACGCGCGGCACCCGCGTCTCCCCCATCTTCCACCTGACCCACCTATACGGCCGCTTCCGTGAGCAAAACTTCACCTCCTCGTTAGGCGCCACCCACGACGGCATCTTCCAAGAATACGCCATCTTCAACGAACAATCCTGCGTCGAGATCCCCTCGCACCTCTCCTTCCGCGAAGCAGCCACCCTCCCCTGCGCGGGCGTCACAGCCTGGAACGCACTCTACGGGGGACCTCGCGCGCTGAAACCCGGCGATACGGTCCTCACGCAGGGTACCGGAGGGGTGAGTGTCTTCGCGGTGCAGTTTGCGAAGATGGGTGGTGCGGAGGTGATCTCGACAACGAGTTCGGAGGAAAAAGGGGAGAAGTTGAGGAGGTTAGGGGCCGATAAAGTGATACTGTATACGGAGGATGAGAAGTGGGGGGAGACGGCGAAGCGGGTGTCGCATCGTGGAAGGGGGGCGGATTTTATTGTGGAGATTGGGGGCGCGGGGACGATGGGGCAGTCGGGGAAGGCGGTGGCGATTGATGGGCAGATTGCGGTGGTGGGACGGCGGGCGGAGAGGGGGTTTAGTAGGGATGGGGATGGGGATGGGGAAGGGGGGACGCATAGTACGAGTGTGTCGACGATTCGGAGGGTGTTGGTGGGGAGTCGACAGTTGCAGGAGGAGATGAATGTGGCGATGGAGGTGAATGGGTTGAGGCCGGTGGTGGATGAGAGGGGGTTTGGGTTTGGGGAGTTGAGGGAGGCGTTTCGGTATTTTGAGACGGGGAGGCATTTTGGGAAGGTGGTGGTGGATTTTGAGTAGATGGTAGGGTGGGGATGGATTGGGGATGGTTGAAGATATGTAGAAATTTGATGAGAGGATATGATATGTCTGAGTGACGAACTCAGATACTAAAAATTTAGATCAACTCCGATTAAACCATCTGAAGACCACGAAAATCACGATCACCTAGCAAGCGCCATTATCACCCAACCGCGCCTAGGGACAATCATGCCCGAATCCCTCTCTTGGATGTATCCCCGACAGGATTGCCCACCCACCATTGTGCAAAGATCTTGAACCCCGCTGCATTCATAAACGTGAAGTCATAAGCCTTTGTATAACGTATCACCAGTTCATAACCATCAAAGTAGGCCTCGATAACACGCGGATGCCGGCGGTTCAGGGAAAACAGGAGAACCTGAGATTAGAATCAGCGTTGTGTCAACAAAGTGTAGAGTAAAAGGAAAGATTCACCGGCGCAACCATGTCATTGACATAAACCTTCTGTTTGAGTTGACCCAGCATGATGCGAACAATGGTCAAGACTTCTCCGCGGAGTAAGTGATCATCATCGACCTCTAGGTCATTGTGCATGATACATTTGATATGCGGCTTCACGCCATTAACCACATGGAAGATCAATAACGTGCCAAATTCCGGCTCGAATGACCGGTAAAGGTCCCCGAAGTTGTAGTCGCCGATCCTGGAGATATGGTGAGAAAGTAAAAATATGTAGGACTTGAAAGTGGGGGCTCTCACTGGTTGCTTGACCATGTTTGCCGGATCTCAGGGAAGTCGCTCATCAACCTGCGAATGTAGGTCGAGAAATAGATATTGATCAAGCGTCCATATTCGCTGGAAAGGGTGATTCGGCTGGTATTGTACTCTCTATCGACGTATTCTTCTGTGGGCTCTGGAAAGTTGGGAGACTTGAAAGGGGCGAAAAACCTCGGCATCAGTGAGTCATTGCCATCAAGAGACAGAGGCAGCGTTCGGATCTTCTGCCGCTTCAATGTGCTTTGGCCGAGAGTATGTGTTCCCGTATCTTCTAAGCGTTTGATGTCCCTCTCCATCAGGGTCAGTGCTTTGCGGAGATTATACCTTTCCGGTGACTCCGTGATGTGCTCCATGACCAGGATTTGTGTAGTGCTGCTGCTGGGAGAACGAGACTATATGTGGATGGACCGTACGGAATCGGGAGACAATCTACTGTTTTAAATAACAACGGTCGGCTCGATGGAAGAGGATCCACGCGCGGCTTCGCAGCTGGTGACTCGGAATTTGCAGGGCCTCGACCGGCGTTGCCCCGCGACGGGTCTGGGCCAATCAGAAGCCCAGTTCTGCAGCGACGCGCCGCGGATTCTCTCCCCGGCATCACTTTCCACCCTCCTCCCCTCCTCTATCGGCTATGAATGCACGGCATCCGTCCAGGGTTGAAACACTGTATCTATCTTTGCGACATGATACTATTCTCAGATATTGGATCTATTGGCTGGAGAAGCGCTCGGTATGGCGCTCGGGGAGGGGTAGGTGCCAACCGACACAGATGATTGATGGAGAGGCTGATGTGAAGTGACGCCACGATGGTGACTCGGAGCAAAATAAGGCTGCTCGGAGACAGTGGGTGTGCACTGACAGGGGAGATGCTCCGTGTCAGGGCCTGAGCGTATGCTCCTCTCCCCAATAGGATGCAAGGAGCTCTCGCACATGGACAAGATTCGAGGCTGAGGCGGCAACCACGACGGGATGCGTTTCGGAATATGGCTTATTCACTCAGAGGCCCATGAGAAACTGACCGGTAGGGACTGGAGATACGCATAAAGGGTCACGTTTCCCTAGGAGAATGGCCCCCATCGTACTTCCCATCCAACTCCTGAGCCCAATATCCCGTTTGCTTTCAACCTTTTCTAGCTTGTTCTCCTATTCATCATGGTCGATTCGACTAAAGCCATCCCTGATTCCTTTAAAGACTGGCAAGATGAAGTCAATCTGCTGGGCCTGGGCACTCAGACCATCCACAACATTCAGCTAAAGTCGGCCTCCCGTGTCAGCAGAGAGCAATTTCTGATGCTTCGGGTTCTTTGGAAAGAACATACCTCCTCGGAATTTCTGCACTACGTTAATTTGAATCAGTGGCTGCCAGTCGCCAAGCAGATGTTGGAAGGTCTCTCATCGTGGGAAAAGTACCGCCAAAGCTTTAGCAGTTCGATTCAGGAGGGCACGTTTGCGCCAGCCCGTCATTACCAACTCCAGGTTTCCCAGACCGAACAAGACGATTTTGGCGGTGGTGTCGTTTTCACCCCCAAGATACATATGACTCGGTCAAGAACACAGGCCGCGCAGCTGCCAATTCGCCAACCAGACTTTACCACAACGCCTCCCAGGCAGACTAACCCTGCCTTTGAAACACCACGCATTGATGATGAGCCCGATATCAGTCCTCGTACCTCTTCACCGTCGCCTCCCTCCCGTTGGAGTACCATCAAACCGGGCGATGAATTCATGTATCCTCCAACGAAAGATGAGCAGATTGTCAACACAGCTCTACTCGTCTTCCTCGATTCCATTACCTTGCACTTCAATCTTTCTGTCGGGTGGTCTCTACATCGCATGGCTTTGACAGCAGAGTTCACCAACGCAAAGTTTGAGGCCAGGACGGATGGGTACCTGTCCGACCACAGCGGAGATATCAAAGCCATCATAGAAGTGAAGCCAATGCTTCGACAAAAGAAAAAGCCACAGATTCTCATCCAAGAGAGCCACCAGATCGTGGCCGGTTTGCTGACGGATTTCAGATCTCCCATTACTCAACGTCGGAATAAACCGTAAGTGAAATCTCAAACCTCGCACGTTTTTTATCGCCACTAAACATTCGGCAGTCGCCTTATCATATCGCAGGACAGGCAAGAGATCTATATTTCCTTGGCCGAGTACAACGCCGATTACATCACGTATCTGCTAACAGGGGAGGTCCGCAACAACCCTTTCCTGGTAATGCGTCAATTTGGCCCCTGGAACACGAATAGTTCGGGTGCGATGGCTGAATTGGGTCCCATCCTTCTAGCACTTACTCTTTATGCTGAGCATTATTAGAGCGTTTCTTATTTCTCGTCTGTCTCGCCGTTTCATGTTCTGTATCTATTCTTTTCATTTAGTCTTATCAAATCACGCAGATTCCGTAATACTTCTCGCTTCAAAGGCCCGTCAGCCCTTGTCTTTTTATTTATCCGCGCCCACCAACCATCCCTCTTAACGAAATGCCCATTTTATCAATCAGAAAACCTGACTCTTCAGACCATGAACCAAGCTCCAAACCCTCCGTAAGTAGAGAAAATCGACTTCAACATGGATACCTCTTGTCGGCTGGAGTCCTACCTGAGTTTGCTGGTACTTAGTCTACTGTACGGTCTACTAAGCGCCTGCAGGTATCTTTTAGCCGAGCGGTCAGACTTCCCAGATTTTCTGTCAAAAGGTCTATCTTATCTTTTATTCTAATAAACTTTATTTTTGTAGTACTTTAAAGTTATTATTTAAATAAATCTTAGATTAAGTTTCTTTAATTAAAATTAATAATTATACCAAGTAGAGAATAGAACAGATCTTAAAAAATTATTTATAGATAAGAATTTTGCAATATTACGTTAAATAGATAAATTTTAATAAAAAATAATTATAAATAGTATCCTGTTAGCAATTTTAAAAACACATTTTTCTATTTATATGATTTTTAATGCCCGAATCCCTCTCTTGGTCGTATCACCAACCGGATTGCCCACCCACCATTGCGCGAAGGTCTTGAACCCTGCTACATTCATAAACGTGAAGTTATAAGTCTTTGTATGACGTATCACCAGCTCATAACCATCAAAGTAGGCCTCAAGCACGCGTGGATGCCGTCGGTTCATGGAAAACAGCAAGACCTGGGATTACGATCAGAAAATTGAGGGTGAAGAACAGGGAGGGAGAAATCTCACCGGCGCAATCATATGGTTCACAAAGGCCTTCTGCTTGAGTTGACCCAGCATAATGCGAATGACGGTTAACACTTCTCCCCGGAGTAAGTGGTCATCGCCTACATCCATATTGTTATCCATGATGCATTGGATGTGTGGCTGGGAGGCCTTGGCAACGTGCCAGATCAATAACGTGCCAAATGCGGGCTCGAATGTCCGGTAGAGGTCCCCGAAATTGTAGTCTGCGATACTGGAGGCATGATGAGCATCAAACGACCAGCTCTGGGCGGTAGTGAACCTACTCCTTGCACGACCACACGCGCCAAATGTCGGGAAATTCCAGTGCCAACTTGCGGATGTACGCATCCAGGTACATGTAGATGGACCGGCCCCACTCGCTGCACCATAGAGCAGAATCGGCAGAGTACTCGTCGTCGACATACTCTGGTGTAGGCTCCGGGATGGAGTCTGCGACAAGAGGAGAGAAGAATCTGGGTGTCATAGAGCCATCGCCATCGAGACTTAGAGGCAGAGTCCGGATTCTGTACCGTTTCAACGTGCTTTGGTCAAGGATATGTGTATCTGTATCCTTCAACACTTTGATCTCCCGTTCCAGGAGGGTCAGTGCTTTGCGAAGGCTGTAACGTTCTTTTGGCTCGGTGATGCGATCCATGGTCGCGTTTGGTGGGTGAAAGACGGAACCAAGGACCGGAGCACAAGGAGAGAAAGGGAATGAAACTGGAGCAGAGAGAGAGATGGTGGGTGATCCCCAGCTATACTATCAACGACGAGGGGAAGGAAGAGGTGATCTTCCCACGGCCCCTGCCGCCGGGCCTGTTTTCGGGTTGGTCCCCCCCGTGACGGGTCCGTAGCCAATCAGAGACCCCATTTCGTAGCCGTCATTCCGCGATCTCCTGAGGAGTGGCAGGATCAAACCAATCGTCTGGGTCTCGGCAACCGAACCATCCATGACACACAGCTGAAGTCGGCCTCTCGTGCGGAGATGGACCAGTTCTTACTCCTCCGGGTCATTTGGAAGATCCACCGTGGCTCTGAGCTTTTAAAGTACTTGGACTTGACCCAGTGGCTTCCGGACGCCAAAGCAAAGCTGGATAATCTGCCATCATGGAAGAAATACTGCAACAGCTTCACCACTCAGATTCCTGAAGGCTCCTTCGCACTAGCACGCCATTATCAACTGCAAGTGTCTCGAACAGAGCAAGATGACTTTGGTGGCAGTGGTGTACTATTCACCCCCAAAGTGCACAACACTCGCTCGAGGCAGCAGGCACCCCAGCCCCCAGTGCCCCAACCGGACTTCACCAAGACCCCTCCCAGCAAACCGGATTCCGAGTTCGCAACTCCCCACTTTGACGACGACGGTGATTCAGATTCCCATATGTCTTCGCCGCTGCTTCCGTCGGCTTGGTCATCCTGGAGTCCGATCAAAGCGGATGAAGAATTTATGTACCCCCCCACGAAAGACGAGCAGATTGTTAACACTGCTCTGCTGGTATTTCTCGACTCTTTGACGTTGCACTTCAATCTTTCTGTGGGCTGGTCTTTGCACCGCATGGCTCTGACTGCGGAGTTCACAGATGTGAAGTTTCAGGCAAGGACAGATGGCTACCTTGCAGACCGCAGTGGGGATATAAAGGCTATCATAGAGGTCAAGCCTGTGCTTAGGCAGAGGAAGGAGGCGCAGATCCACATACAAGAAAGCCACCAGATTGTGGCTAGCTTACTGGACGACTACAAATCCCCAATCCTTCAACGTCGGGGTAAACCGTACGTTAACATATTGGAAACTCGGAAGTAGACCTGCTCAGCGCTAACCGTGCGAATACTAGTCGCCTGATTATCTCCCAGGACAGACAACAGATATACATATCCTTGGCTGAATACAATGACGATTACATTACCTATCTGCAGACAGGAGGGGTCCACAATAACCCCTTCCTTGTTATGCATCAGTTCGGTCCCTGGGACACCAACAACTCGAGTGCAATGGCCGAACTAGGCCCCATTCTCCTGGCACTAACGCTCAAGGCACAGTATTATTAGGCAGCCCTTTCGTCCGATCTTTTGAGGAATGTATGTCGGGCGCTCTGATCTTTTCAGCCCCTTCTCGTTTATTTCGATGTGTTTCCTAGCTAGTATTGCTTATCTCGTCGCGCATCTTCCTCCTCGCGCTCCGATAGGTCATGAACTGCCCGAAGTCCTTCGACCATAATAAATGACACCACTTATCCAGACGCCCCCCATTTCGATTCGGGAAACAGATTATACTTTCTCTTTCTGCGTGTTAATCCCATAAAAAAGACCGCACTCCAAATTCCATTGAAGACCTCTATCCAAGATTAAGCTGCATAGTAGTAAGCCCATTGGTTTGGTTTGGTTCTTTGTGAGTCTGCGGTTAGACCTAGTGGTGCTGATTTCATTGGTATCTTTCTTGTCGACTGGGCAGTAAGATCATTGTTGACTGTAGGTTAGGAATGATGATTCAAGTTGTCAGATTGATTATATTTTCAATTCCGGTTATAATTAAGAGCCTCATGCAATAACCATGGATCGGTACAGGGAGTAGCCAGGACGCCGCTGGATGATGAGATGAGATAATCCGTAGTAGCAACACACGCTTGCGAAATCAAATATTACTCTATCAGATGGAATCCATGCAATCAAGTCGTTAAACCTCTTCTTTAGACTCCGCGGTCTGGTTGGCTTGCTTCCCCTTTTTGATGTTCTTCCAGCCCATGCCCCATGAAAAGATAAACTGAGCAACGCAGAGTGCAGTGCCGAGATAAATGACCTCGTCGATCGCTTTTGAATATGCGACTAGCACGGACAGGAGATCTTTGGCTGGAACCACCTCCCGGAACCCAGTCGCGCCGGCGGAGATGACGGTTTCGGGGTTAATGCTGGGTGCATACTCCGGGATCTTCTTCCGTAGTCCGGCCGTGAAAATAACTTCGCCAACCGCGAGAAAGATGGAGCCTCCGAAGGTCTGGCTGAATGTCAAAATGGCCATAGCCGTGGAGATCTCGTTCGGGGGCACGGCGTTTTGAATCGCAATCATGGGCTGCAGACATCAGGTCAGTGTATGCGAGAAAAGTCGAGCGAGATGACATATATACGTACCACCTGAGTCGCAGCGCCGCGACCAAACCCGACAAGGGCCTCATATCCCGCCCAATCCCTGGTAACCGTGGTGGGGGAGAGCATTGAAAGGAGACCACAACCGATGCAGCTCAGCGTTGCACCAAAAATGCCCCAGGGAAGGTAGTATCCGAGTCTGCCGGCTAGAAGTTGTGAGCTGCGTCAATATCAGAGTGGTACATGTCATCGCTTACTCAGAATCCCAGACGACACTGCCATCACCAACTGACAGAGGATTTGGGGAAGCAAGTCGACACCACTGACGAGGGCGGATTTGCCTCGCACGGACTGAAAGTAGATTGGCAAGTAATACGCCAAAATCATGGTCATCCCAAACATCGTGCCCATCGCCAGGCAGCTACACCAGATGATTCGTTGTTTCACCATCTTTCCTGGGATCATTGCTTCAGCGCCCATACGCCGCTCCCAGAGACCGAAGACAAAAAAGGTCGCAGCGGAACCGCAAAACAGCCCAATGATGGTGGAACTCTTCCAAGCGAATTTGCTTCCGCCCCATTGCAGGGCCAATAACAACATAATGGCAGCGGGTGCGAAGAGAATGAATCCAAATAGGTCGAACTTCTTCACGATAACCCAGCGAAAAACATCTCCGACCTTTGGCTTGCCGGGCGGCTCAGGGATGGTGGTGAAGACAAGTAGAATGGCGACAAGCCCTCCAATAGGCAGATTGATATAGAAGCCTGCCCGGGTTAGATCTTGTTGTCCAATAGGGATCAAAACGGCCACTTACACCATCGCCAAGTCGAATACGTAGTAAATGCACCGCCAATGAGCGGGCCAAGTACCATTCCAAGTTGTGAAACTGCCACTGGGTTAGAATGCATCCTTCGGTGCTGAAGCAAAATACTCACTTCCCATCATGATGCCCATGAATGTAGGTCTTCGATGCATCGGAAGAGAACTGGCTATGATGTTAAGCGCACCGTTCACCATGCCTGAAGACCCCATTCCAGCCACTGCTCGCCCAACGATCAGCATCTTTGATGAGGTAGCGACACCGCAGATGAGCGATCCCAGCTCGAACACGGCGAAGAAGCTGAGGAAGGTCCATTTTTGTTGGAAATTGCTATAGAATTTGCCAGTGAGGGGCTGGAGGGAGGCACTGGCTATCGTATACGCGCTACCGTACCAGGCGACATCATCGAGAGAATGGAATTCACTGGTGATATGCGGGATTGCCTGAGCAGTCAGTACGGACAAGTCATGGTAGACGACCCGAATCGGTACTGCAGTGAACTTACCGTCGACACAATCGACACGTCTAGCAACATCAGAAACACCACCAGTGTGACGGCACTGATCACCATCGCTAGGGCGATCCCGTGAATCCATTTGGGCTCATTCTCATTGGGCTTCGAATCGGAGGTTTCCTGGGGTCTTTCGCCCACCGGTAGTTGCGCATCTTGGACCGTACTCTTGTAGTTGACACCGAGCGATTGCGCCGGAAGTGTGGTTTCGCTATCCTTTGCGGATTCCATGATGTAGGACCGATGACTTCAAACTTGGTGGACGAAAACATTGCAGCGATGGGTAGCTGCCCAAGGAGATAAATACAGTCTGGATGGGTCGGGGATATCGAAAAAAGTCTCGGACTTAACCAGGCAAATGACGAGAAGACGGGAATCGGGGATTATGAGCTCCGTCCTCGCCAGTCAGAACGCTTTGTCGGGGACATGGACCACGGGAAATTGGGAGCCGTCTCCGATGGCTGGCAGCCTCGAGTAAGAGCTAGTGTCTGGAAGACGTGTATGATCTGTGACTCGACACATCGTCGTTGGTCCCTGCCTGGTGGGGCTTCTCGCACTGGTTTGTCTGAGGGCAATTTTTCACCAGGATTGGCCCCCTCTGACAACCGTGTGGACGGACACACGGAGATAAAGCCCGTTGACCCTGATCGGGATCGGAGCGGAATGTCCCCACCGATAGCGATGATGCTGCTGCGGCTGCTGATGGAACAAGCTCGATTATGTCCACCGCATTGTTCATGATCGTGCCGCACGTTCTACTATAGCGTTGTGATGCTGTGGCGACCAGCTTGCATGGCCAGAGATGACGTGTTAAGTGGCAGACAGCCATGTTGGATAGTCAAGAAACTCGCAACCTATCGCTCTCCACGGAGTATACAAAAGAAAGAGTACCGAGTGCTGCTAGATAGATTGAGCTGAGCACTGAGCACTGAGCACTGAGCAGGGCCGAGACCCCCCCCCCCCCCCCACCCCACCCACCACGTTATGGAGAAAAGAGAACGAAGAAGCTTCCATGTCCTCCATACGGGCACCGGGAACGGGAGAGTCATGTGTCGTCATGTGCCGTCCGCCCTGCCGATCCCGATGGACTGACTCATCCCGCTATCGGCACGTGAGGGGGGAATTCAACCCAAGGCATCAATCCATGGCATTGCAAGACCACTGGCACTGTTGCCAGGACCTTGATCATCCGTGGGTTGGGTCGCAGCGCGTCATCTGAGTGGCTTGCCTACTGTTTGCATAACGCGAAGCTGTCACGGAGCTTCCTCGGACATTCCTCGCCCCACTGCGCTCTGCCAAAGACCCCTCCACCCCAGCACCGCGTCGCGGGGCTTTCTTGAGTGATTGATCGAGTAATCGCAGTGAGCAGGGGTGATTTTGCCTTTCTCAGGGCTCACCGACCTCACCTGTCGTCATGCCACCTTCTGCCCCCGTGCCCGCGACGGGATTCCAGGCCCTCATCCTGTGTGGCCCTGGTGTCTCTCTCAATACCTTCACGTCGAACCCCGAGGAGTACCCAAAGAGCCTCGTTCCGGTCGCCAATCGGCCCATGGTATTCTACCCAATCGACTTTTGCAAGCGCTCAGGAATCACTGGTATGGATCTTAGATCGGTGTCCCAAACTATACTCCATGAAGTTCCTTGTTGTGGACTAACGCATTTCATATGGTCATCCTAGATATCACCCTGATCACACCTCCGTCCTCCCTCGCTCCACTGCAGGCCGCCCTCAAGCAAAACCCGCATCTCACATCGCTCCCCCCACCCTCGGTATCAGTAGTGGCCCCGAAGGATCTCGAGATGACCATGGGAACTGCCGAGCTGCTCCGTCTGCCCGAGGTCCAGGACTGCATTCGAACCGATTTCCTCCTTCTTCCCTGCGACATCATCTGTGAAGTTCCTGGCGAATCTATTCTTGAGGCGTGGATGGTCACCCAGAGCGCTCTAGGAGGTAATAATTCGGGTCCGGGTGGTGAGCAAGGGGGTCGTCGCGGCGGGCTTGCCGTTTATTACCAGACACAAGGCCGAGAGGAGAGCGTTAAAGGTGAAGCCACAGACTTTGTGGCCATCGCCCCGCTCGAACAGGATGAGGCGCCGGCAGTATCACACCTAGTGGATGGGCCAGAGGCCCTGCGGTTTGGCCTGTCCAAACTGGTCATGTCAATGCCCATGGATACAGTGAAGGAGAAAATGGCGAAGGACAAAGGCTTTCTCATTCGCCATTCATTAGTCGATAAACATGCCCAGGTCAAGATGTTGACCAGCTACCGGGATGCACATCTCTACGTCTTCCCGTACTGGGTGAAGGATCTGGCGCGCCACCAGGAGAAGCTCGAGTCAGTAAGTGAGGATCTCATTGGCTACTGGGCCAAGGCAGGATGGCAGAAAGGCCTAGGAGACAAGTTAGGAATGAATAAAATCTTTCAGGATCAAAGCGAACATGACAATCGGAGTCATGATGGTGAATTACTCGACGAAGAGGTTGATCTCCAGCATATAAGCTCCACGAAGACTGGTACGCAGACTTCGAAGTCCAGCGAACATCCCCAAATACTTGCCTATGTGCAACGAGGGTCGACCCCGGTTATCAGACGGGTTGACAGCTCCGCAATCCTTCTGTCAACTTCCCTTCGGTTGGCCAAGCTAGAGTCAATTGAAGAGGTTGGCCGTCAGGCAGCATCGCCTTTCTCGCATAACCAGAAGATCGCCTATCCCGAGGGGGTGGCTCAGCGCTGCACTGTTACCAAGAGTGACTGCCTCCTCGCTGAAAATGTCACCGTGGAGCCGACCTGTGTTATCAAAGAGAGTGTTATCGGACCCAACTGCCATATTTCCAGCGGCGCACGGCTCACTCGCTGTGTGTTGATGGAAGGGGCTGTCGTTGAGTCTAGGGCTCAGTTAACGGGCTGTCTGATTGGTCGGCGGGCCAGAATTGGCCGCGAATCCGTGCTGAAGGATTGTGAAGTGCAGGATGCCAATGTCGTCCCGGAGGAAACAGATGCGAAGAACGAGAAATTCATGGTCTTCGAGGGTCTGGAGGACGAAGGCGACGATGACATGGATGATATGGATGAGCTTGACGACTAGATCCGCTGATGATAGATTTGATCTCTATATATTTCACATACCCCTGCTATATCTTGATGATGAGATGGATTAAATGACATGGTGGACTCATTGGTCCAGCCTTTTCATGACGTTGGACTGGCAATGAAGGTTTTCTATGACTCCTTCCATTGCCTTGTAGACAACCAAACGATGTTTGCAGCTGACCCAAGGGCAAGATATCATAACCCAAACAAATGCCCAACGTCAAATTGCAACCGAGGACCGGCGGCGGAACTTTCAGTTTGGCTACAAAAAGAATCATCAGAATATCGTACAGAGACGCCTTGAGAGCTGGACCAGTCGAGCCGGTCCCTACCACTACTAATGTAGGCCGACAGCCTTACGGGACATACCTTGACCTGAAACATTCACCTCTATATATACTCAAGCCATACCTCAAAAAAACCCGGGCTCGGCAAATCCCACTTCTTGGCACAGACTTGCGTTGCTTCTCGAATTTGTTGGTGGTATATACATCTGTGTGCTTACTTACCGGGTCCCATGACCGTATCAAACTATGTTGTCTTCATTTATGATTGTTAGCATCTAGTGACCTTTCTGTGCTGTTAACTTCGGTGACCCTGATCGGCCTTGTGGGGTTAAAAGCCAATAGAGTAAAGTTTTGCTGGCAACGGCATACATTTGGCCTGAGTTGCGAGAGACCAATCCAGTTATCACGAGGCCTCCGTGCACCCAGGACCTAGCAGCCATGGACTCTACGAAGACTAAGAACCCAGAAGTTTGCCATTCATTAGCCTCTCATGGATCGACCTCAAATTAATACGTGTTTGTAGTCAGCGTTCTGCTACATTGGGATTGTGCAAGGATCGAGTCCGCACGGTAGGGAATCCTCCAGTCGCGGTCAAGCATAAGTTTAATTTGTCTTACCTGAGGTGAAATGCGTCAAGGCTGACAGTTTCCAACCAAAGAAGACTGGCCCCCATCTCTGATTATCATGTCTATACGGAGTATTCTAAAATCCTATAACAACCCGTGAAAATTGAACCGGAAGCTCCCGTCTGGGCCCACCTCCACCTCCACTGACTGATGATCTTTGACCACCCAGTCCGCCCCAGCAGCCTTCAATTCCTCCACACTATGAGTCGTCGCAACAGCCAAAACCTTACACTCGGCCGCCTTCCCCGCCCGGATACCTGCCGGGGCATCTTCCATTACTAAAACGTCCCTGCATCCTTTCTCCCTCTGCGAAAGCAAAAGCTTCGTCCTTGCCTTGGAATACCCCTCTGGATCGGGCTTTCCGAGCTTAACATCCTCTGCCACAGTGATCTCCCGTGGTTGTGGGAGTTGGAGCACCTTCAACCATCCGTCTAATAATGCTCTGGTCCCCGATGTCACGATAGCATTGAGAATCTGGTATTTGTTTAATGATTCGAGTAGCCTGCGGGCTCCGGGGACCTCGACAGCGGGGGTTTTGCACAGGAAGGGAACTCTCCCTTCCATAGCGCTGACATCTGCGAGATGACTGTCAGCCGACTGTCGAGATGGTATGGTGAAAGGTAAGCGTACATTCCCAGTTCGCCTTTGTGGGATCTAGCTGTTGCAGGACATCAATGCTTCGTCTTCCGTGCGAGGTACGAAGGATCTCCTGGTGGTCAACCCCCAATTCAAGTGCGACTCTGGAAGTTATCAGTATGCCTGACCCTTTGGGTAAGTGCTTGATGAGCATACAATCTCCAATTCTCGACAATGGCTGCAAAGTGTTAGGCTGTTTGCTCTGTCATAACGTAAACTGAGAATGCCTACCCTCTGTTGAATCAATGATGGTGCCGTCAAAGTCTAGGAGGACACCTGCGAACACATGAGACGCAGTCCCCCCTGGTACGTTACTCTCTGGTGACATTGTAGAATATTGAGGATGAAAGTCTGATGGCTGTGGCTAATGCTTTTCCATCGGCCAACGGTGGCTATATAGATGCAGCGGAAACCTACTCGAAGCGGAAACCCGCCGACCCGCCCTAAATTCAACCGAATCCGGCAACTGGCCCGACGTGTCCACCGCACATCCAAATAAGTGAGGACAAGTGCCTACTAGATATGTTCATGACAAGCCCTCGATAACCAGCCTCGAAAATAATCCTTCTTATAGCTACGATGTGATGTCACCCAATTTTTATTGCATTTATTTACAGACATCTATAAATCAGTCATTTATCCATCATAACGAGTGCTCAAAAATTCACAATGGCTTCTGCGCTGCAATGATCAAAACATCAAAGATGGGATGAATGTCCTTCTGCAATGACTCGCGGCGAACTCCGGCATTCAATTCCATTACATCTTCATGCTTCCACCCCAGGACCTCCGTAAACAACGCAGCAGTAAATGCCTCGACGCCCTCGACAAAGTTCACCCGCATGAAGCTGCCACACTCTTTCAGCCGTGAATCCTTCGGCCAGCTGCCAATTGGAAGCTTATACTTGAGCTTATGCACCGTGCTAAAGCCCGCATCGTTGACCCACGTCTCGAAGGATGGTGCGGGGTCCATTGTCTGCCCGATCGTCTCGCAGGCGTCTTTAAGCCCATCCATCATCTTAACCATATAACTATCCGGCTTGAGGCTCTCATCCTCCGAGTAAAGCGTGTTAATGGACTCCTGCAGCTCCAGCCACCCACCCGGTTTGAGATTGTTATAGCATTGCTGGATCAGTCGCGGCCAGTCCCGAATCGACCCTGCCATATACCGACAGTGGATGTAGTCATACGGCTCAGTATCCACCCAATCCTTTTCCACATCATCCACGACGAATTTGACATTTGGCGGCACCCAGGATGGCTGGATTGGACTGATATCATTTCCGACGATCTTTTCCACGCCCGGATAGTCATCACCCATTTGAATGGCCCAGATTCCGGTCCCGGTGCCGATATCCAGAATGCGCTTTCCGTCGGGATTGATCGGAGCCAGAAAGAGTCGGTTGTTCACCAGCCGGTAGAAGATATGATGAACCATATCGAGCCGATCCTGCTCGGGTTGGTCGTTCGGGAATGGGTAGTTTCCCAAGTGGTGGGCGTGATAGCGGCGGCCATGTTTGAATTCGTATTTCAGGACGCTGGAACTCAGCGATGTGGTCGAGGACAACATTCCCGTGCTGATGTCATCTTCGGCGTCTACCTCGATTGGAATGTTGGGCTCGGATTCCGCCATTGTGAATGATCGCGACCGACAAATTAACAGATGGGGTGATAGAGGCCACGCTGTCGTCGAAGGAGAAGTTCGAATTGGCCGCAGGATAGGAGAGATGGAATGTTTTATCTTCAGACGGGGCGGGACCGGACTAGCGATTGGGTTGCAGAGTGCAGACACGTCGCGTGCCGGCCGGAACCGATGCCGATGGAAGACTAACGCCTGCCATGGCTGCTAGCGCTTACAATGGTCCACTTTAACGGCCGTGTTGCAGCTAGCTTCTTGGAATCGCGGATAAAACCTGCTCTATGAGTGGTAGGTGCTTGTCAGAGATGGGAAAGCCCCGGAGACATGCCCGGGAGGGATGATTGTCCGATGGAATTTATGGTTCTTTTTCATAATGCTCGTGCATTTTACAGCGCCGGACACCATATGATCTCTTATTTAACTGCACTTGACGAGATCCATTGAGGTATCCTCAATTGTTAATATGAATCTTACAGTTGCTAACCTTCTGCCAAGGTTAGATGGCAGAGAGACCCTCCGTTCGCAAAATTAAATAGGCCTCTTTTCCTCTACATCTTCCGGCCCACAAAGAGTTTCAGTTCTTCATTCCATTCATAGCCTCCTCTTTCTATCTCTGGATCACTCCTCCGTGAAGTCGACCTGACCCTTGGCCAGATCATGGCCGTTCATATCACCTGGCGAATAGTTGGTGGAAATTCACGAATCTTCTTGACCGACTTTTCTACGGTGAAGATGAGACTGGGAAATTTCAGAAATGCACATCTTCAATCCAAACCACGTCACTAGAAAGTGCCAGCGCCCTATCTATCACTTTTTATTTCTTTATTGCCTTTAACTGACACCTTGGCCAAGGAATACTAAAAGGGACGGCTTATCAAACTACAGTGATGGGTGAAAGAAATATGCATCAGTGTCAGATAATAATCAGCCCGTGTTCACGCAAATGACAGACGGTGACTGCTCAATGGCTGAGGCGCTAGACATTCGCCAGATGTAGTGACAATTGAGCCATTCGTGACTCCAGAGTATTCGCCATGTCTATATTCACGATTGAGGTTTATATAAGGCGGCCCATCCCAGCTTTGACACTTACCTCTCAATCTACTCTCTCCTATCCCTCTCATGTCGCATCGTCCCACTCTCATTTCTCTTCACCCTCATGCCTACAATGGTATTCCTATCCTGATCAAGGCTCTTATATATATCCACGCTCAGTAATGAACATCAATCAGACACCGGTGAATTGGAGCTACTTAGATGACGTTACCCTTTCCCTCAGACACCCAAGCGTTGTACACCAACATCTCTATAAACGGCACCCAACTTGTCATTTATCTTTCACCTTTCACTCCATTGAGTCCAATTATTATCGAGCCGTCTGAGGGCTCCTGGCTGGCTGGCTGTGTACAAGGAGATTTGCATTGCTAAAGACTCAGCCGAAAACATGACGCCCAACCAGATATTCCTCTGAGGGTATCATCTAATGCACCAAACGATGAGGTGCAAGGCACTCAGCCATGAGATCGAATCTTTGTTCGCTTCTCATCGAAAAGAAGTAACTCTTTCGGACATCGTTACCTTTAAGAACAACGGCACCTATTCTGGTCGCGCATATACCGCCAAGGTCCGGCCTACTAGACACTCGGGCTTTCGTTGAGCCCCCTACATCTCAGAGAGAAGCAACGAATTTATCCTAATCTGTGAGATTGGGGCGGAGCTTCAGATACCCATGACTTGAATGTGCTTTGCAAAGCCTACTATATATCGGCAACAACTATAGCAGTACCGCGTCTTTCATGGAGCACGATATATTGTCATCAGTATTTGGTGCAGCAAACTGCTCCTATCGCTCTCATTATGGGGTTTCCTAGCGACGCTTTCTTCAGCCCAGGCGGGATCTGTCATTATATTACATACACCGTGGGCCCATAGCAAACCATCAACAGCAACAATCGAGTTGGCCCACTTCAATCAACCGGAAAAGCTTTTTCACAAGGTCTGGAATACCTGATGCACACTGGGATATTACAAAACGATGAAGAGCGAAATACAATATCTCGATGATGTGCAATCATGATCCTGGCGTCTATATAGGATCGTGGATCCCCTTCTCTAGGCAGGAAGGCAGTCGAAGAAATACATCAGAATCAGTGCTGGCGTGATGACAGCTCAACCTAACGAGTCAGCGTTTGTGACTCTGCAATCGTCATAGAAACAGGCAATGCACATAAATCTATCACATGGAAAGGGTCAAATCGCTGTGCGTTAAAATGCGGGTCCTCACAACAAACATTTTCTCGGTCATTCTAACACGAAACACAAAACTCCTCACTCCTCACCATCCCCACGACTACTGTTTGACAAAAAGACTTTAACACCTTAGACTTTATAACCTGCAACGGTCCTGAGGACACTCGGGAGCATCTACACCATCCTGGAAGTTATCAAGAACTGGGATATCGCACAGAGTATCAACTAGATCTCTCTGCGCTAAGCTGGCCAACAACTTCTACCAGACAGCGCAAGCAAAGTCTTGATGAAAAAGCTGAGCAGGTTACTGTCCACTTTGCGCTGGCGATACCCGGTTTCCATCTCAGCTTTGGGAGCACTTCTATAACAAGCCGGACTCATATCCAATGAGTTTCAGAGCTAGGCCTATCCTTGGACTGAAGTACAGGACAAAATGGTTTTTACGATCGGTCGATCCAAAGATAGCTCTCTGTTTCAATGATACTTATCGTCATCACATTTGCCCGCGGCGGTGTACTCTCCAGTGGAAGGCAGCCTGGCTGCAGGCGCAGCTAAAGAGAGACAAGGTGAAGGAGTCAACCAAATGGGGCCGCGCTTGAACAGGTCGATTATACGGACAAAGGATACGCGGTCGGAATGTGCGTTCATAACAGCAACGACATTTCAAGAGGACAATGATCCCGTTCGCTTGAAAGAAAGCGTTTATGTTGCACGAGAGCAACCACTGTTTCCTTCAGGGCGCATGTCCAATCGTCCTTTTGCTCATTGAAATGTGAATTCAACACAAAGGCCTCGAACAGGCCATGGGAGATGTACATTTTGTATATCACTGTGTAAGTTATTCCATCCTTTGATCTGTTCTCCTCGCTGATGATTGCTTTGATAGTCATGTCGCCGATAAGCGAAATTGTACACTTGCTGGCTTGAATTTATCTGGTCAACCCATCGAAGCGCTCTTCCATGGTGTAGATTCTCTGTTTGTGACTACGGTAGCCGTACATCTCAGAGCCGATACAGACCATGCAGAGTCATTTGAACGGATAGTCTGGCTCCGAGCTCCGAGCAAGAAGAAAAGCAAGGGGGGAACCATTTTCGCCCAAACGGAGTTTCTTTCCGGTGGTGGTACACGATGGTCCGATCGCTATAACGAGCGCAATTCTGCTGGCCTTCTACCCTCCCAGAACTCCTACATTCGCTCGGCGGGACTTATAAAAGCTGGGGGTATCTTACTAGCACTTGAATCTCGATTCAGGGAAGTCTGTCTACTCACATTACTCTCAGTGACGAGGAACACCTTTGAACTGCCGAGGCAGCTAAGGAAGAGGGAAATCCTTCCCATAGTACCATGGCTGTTTCTCGTTCTGATGAAACGAATGGTCCTCTTCCCACAAAGGTTGCCAATCAGGAGGGAAGAATGCCTCTCTCGGGAACTACGACATTTCAGCAAAGTCCTCGACTGGTCGTACGCTTCGAACGATCGCGCAAACATTTATTCTGCCAATTCTGCCATTGTCCACTTGGGGCCTTTCGCAAGCATGTCTAGCAGAATTTCTAAGACATTCGCCCAGATGAACCATAGCAATGTCGGCAAGAACGTGGAAAGGGAACAAAGTTCCACCGCTATCGTGACGCTTGTACTTGGGTAACCCGAAACAAGCATACGAGCAATGCCTTTGGCAGCCTTGATACTGCTCACAGTCACGAATACAGGCTCTGTGGACTAAAACCCACGACCTTTCATCTTCATGACAGCTGGTTGCGTGATAATCTCGCTAGGAGATTGATAAAAGGACAGTCCGGTCTATCAAGTAATTCCAGGGATTAAAAGCTCGATACGGAGTGACACCTTTCACCGGTCGGCCCTTCAGAAAGGGATGTGAAGGATTCCAGCAACTATCTTGTTTCATGTTGTCTCCGGTTATCCTGTCCATAACTCCGGGCGAAAGAGAACAGCCAAGGCTTGCAGGCGTGGTTTTGAGAGACCTGTTTCTCTCCCATGGCAAATCACCATCCTGGCGCTCATCCGGATCATCGTTCGATGGATCATTCCGCCACGATTTACACAATATTACATATGCCTGAGATACAATTCGATGGCCAGACACACATGGTGTCTCAGAAAGCAGCAGGTCACACTGGTCATGGACGATCCAGCAGAGGAGTCTCCGCTACGTGCAATGAGAGGAACGGATAATCCTAGTCAGGATTCTTCTGATTAGTTGTAACCCTGGAAGACAATGGGGTACGATGGAGATACTCCATTTTCTACTCATTATGTCTTCCTTGGGTCTCGCATACATGGTGCACTGCAGAACACATCTGCGACGGCTGAATAAGTACACAAACCCGAACCACATACCGGCCATATTGGTCAAAAGGCAACACGCAATTGAAGAAGTGCTAGCGAAACTAGACCGCTGCTCAAAGACAGGACCTTAAACGGTGTATACAGCGGTAATATCCGCTTGTCCAACGCGGCTGTCGAGAAGGACAGTCGAAACTGGAACGTTACGAGGAAGTCAAACTTCCTAGATTTATAACGGTCGACACAATACCTCTTTACAAGACGCGTATCTCAATACGCGCAGGGTTACCGGTGGGACCCAGAACGATTGACGTATATATCAACGAACGCGAAATTGTCTTGGCTGGTATCTAATCCAAGTAATCCATCAAACCGACAACATATGACATATCGCAATACGGGATATATCTTAGCACATACATCTGACCCACATCAGGTGCGCCTGAGCGGCTGCGTTCAATTGACACCGGTAGAGGCAAGATATCGAAGACTGATCAATAAAGATCCGACGACGCCCGATCGATGAACAAGGACATAAGTCTACCACAGGACTTGAGTAACATGTGGACCAAGAACGAAGGTCCTCGCCTACCGACTTGACTGTCAACAGGGGGCTGAACCAGTCTGGTGAGAGGAAGGATTCACGAGCGACAGCATTCTATCTGAATAGAGAGTCGCGGACATCCAACGTCGAAGATGTCGTTCCAGCCCACTACATGAGCTCTTCGAACAAACATATTCCCGAAACCACTAGCCGGGGCTACATCAAGTTCCAAGGCGACGACGTGCCCGACATGTCTTCTTTGCTCTTGGCAATACCAGTGACTGAGTGGTCTGATTCCACTCCGCTTCACTTCATCTTCGACTTACACACCCTCAATATATAACCACAACATACATGTTCCAAAGAGGAAGCCACTACTTCATATACACCCACCCATCCCACCCTCGACAATCCCGCTACACATGCAGATGCGGACTCCAAAGACTCCCGGAAGAACCACACAGAACTGGTGAATTTCTCCCACGCCGAACAAATGCATCCCTCCTACAATCCACCCCACGAGCCCACTATACAATCCAAGAAACAAAAACCAAGCAGCACCACACGCTGCTTGGGAAAGACGATTACAGTGCTCCTGGGCACTCGGATAAACAACCGTCTTGAAGTCAGGGTCTGAGAGATCAATGAGATTATTTACCCGGTTTCCTGCACAACTAGAGCTTGCGGCAATGTATCGACTCTCGGATAGGCCGTTCGGTACTACGTATATGAAGACAATTTACAATTGGATTGTGATCCATTCGTTAGTAATCCCATAGGGGTTCTTTAGGATGATATGACAATTATTACGATGATGATGACAACTTCGCGGGACTATTACATACTCATCCAGGGCTGAGGTGTCAAAGTTTCTTGTGAAACAATACGCTTCTTTGCTGCATCGTGGATTGCACATATGAAACAGACCGATACAGGATACCCATACTAGATATTGTTGGCAATACTGTGAGTGAAGCAATGTGTCCTTCATCATCTTTGTGAGAAGCAATGATCGTCACATGAATTTCTGGCAAGCCGGATTTCAGGGAGTACCATGCCCGTGTTGGACTAGAAGATAACCTCCACGGGCATTATTTACCGATAAGGAGAAGGCGAAGATGATCCGGAGTCTCTGAGTCTCATGATGCGTGGGGGTGTTTCTTTGATAGATCTTTGCGCCGTATTACTTATTACTATCATTTCACAATGCGTTAAACTAGAAATGAAAATCTTGAACTCATCGGGCTTTCGCGGTGCCTAAGGTGTACACAGTGAGGACTGACTGCATGAAAGTAGAAGAAGCATTCTGATTGGTGCCCGGATTCTTCCCTGAAGTGTTAGTAATGTTCGCACGCAGTAACCGGCATCCAAATCCCCGATTTATGCAACTTACTAAAGATTCAGACACTTTCCGACTGACTCGGAATGAGTAGGAGTCCTCAGCGGCACTCAGATCCAGAATCCGACCGCTATTGGCCACGATTCACCAGGATGAGGTGACCTGATCGTACAACCACGGAAGGGACATACCACCACCTCCTCTCCCTCCACCACTTCGGATCGTATGATCCCGTCCGGCCCCTAAGCAAATACCCAAAACTCACCTATCTCCATCATCTCATCATCTCATCTTCATCACATTTCCCTCTCTTTACTTCTATTCCGATCTACGGCGACGACCAAATTACCGACTACGTCTCCAAATGACCCCCTCTGCCATTATCGTCATCGGGTCCGGCCTTGCCGGCCTAACCACCACCTCGCAACTCCTCACTCACCGCATCCCCGTTCTTCTGCTCGAACGTTTCCCCAAGCCCGGTGGAAACAGCATAAAAGCCTCGTCTGGAATAAACGGAGCCCCGACACGTTTCCAACCCCTCCCCAGCCTTGACAGTATCGCGACTTTTCAAACCGATACGATCAACTCCGCTGGCGGGCCCTATATTTCGGCTACAGGTGCGGAGAAGGCTCGACGGGAGAGGCTTATTGCCACGTTGACGGAACGGTCCGCAGAAGGAATATACTGGCTTACAGATGAGGTAGGAGTGGAGTTGAGCAGGGTGGCGAGATTAGGAGGACATAGTGTCGCGAGGACGCATCGGGGGAGTGGGAAGAAGACGCCTGGGTATGATATTGTGAGCACGTTATTGGGGAGGGTCAGTGCGGATGAGTTGTTCCGGATGGAGACGGAGAGGAGGGTTACGAGGATTTTAAAGGAAGAGGGGCAGGAAGGGGGACGGGTGGTGGGGGTGGAGTATGCAGTTGTCAAGGAGGGCAATCAAACGGTGGTGGAGCAGGCGTATGGGCCAGTGGTGGTTGCGAGTGGCGGGTTTGCTGGAGATGCGCGCGGATTGTTGGCCCAGTATCGCCCGGATTTGGCGGGGATTCCCTCGACGAATGAGGAACGCGAAGGAACGCAGCCCCTCCTGCAGGAAATTGGGGCCGCCGTGGTGGATATGGAGCAGGTGCAGGTACATCCCACAGGGTTCGTGGAGGGCGGGGATGGTGAGGCCATGGTCAAGATATTGGCGGCGGAAGCGTTGCGTGGGGAGGGGGGCATCTTAGTGCTGGGAGATGGGAGACGGTTTGTGAATGAATTGGAGACAAGGGAGAAGGTGACCGGGGAGGTGATGGAACGGGCGGAAAAACTGCCCACCAAGGCGAGGCAGTGGGATGTGAAGCTGGTGCTTGATGAGGGGGCCGCGGCGGCGTTGGAATCGCATCTGGGGTTTTATATGTGGAAGGGGCTGATCCGCAAGACGACGGTGGGTGAGCTCGGAGAAGAGATGGCGGCGTTGGAGGGGACGCTGCGGGAGTATGTGGATGTCGTGTCGGGGAAGAAGAAGGATGAGTTTGGGCGGGAGTCGTTTGGAAACTGGACCATCACGGAAGTGAAGCCAGAGTCGGTGGTGTATGTGGGCAAGGTGACGCCGGTGGTGCACTTCACGATGGGAGGGGTGGTGATCAACGAGCTCAGCCAGGTGCTGGATGCCCAGGGGCGGCCGATTCCGGGTCTCTGGGCGGCGGGCGAGATCACCGGAGGCCTTCATGGCCAGAATCGGTTGGGAGGATCGTCACTCCTCGAGTGTGTCGTCTTCGGCCGCATCGCCGGAGATGAAGCCGCCGCATTCTATAAGGGCCTAGCACCTTCTGCGCAGTGATGTCTAGTGGGTCTGCACATCATTCTTGCTTGTTGTTTCCACTCTGTAGTAAGCTGCCGGTGCAGTGGTCTGCAGTGTTATGGTGATCAATTTGTCCTAAAAGGATTGTCATCATGAGGCTACTGTGTTATCCAGGATTGTCCTTGTTTTAAATGCGCCTCCTTGCCTTAAGACGATGATGATAGACGTTGAACATCCTTTTATTAGATCCAGGCACAGATATGGGACATCAAATTGCATCGGCACTTATGTGTGAAGTCTAAACGATATCGAAGCACGCACCTGCATGCACGCACTGTTGTCTTGGCAGGTCGACTGACACCATTCGAAGAGCTTCTGCCAAGATTCCATGAACCCCGTCAGATGGTGTCGCCTTCATTGCATCATGGGAAGCTGCTGCATTGGTACAGCAAAGCTGGGGGTAGCTCCTGACATCAAGGGGACAGCCAAGTGACGTTGGGGCAGCAAAACAGCCCTCTGCGAGGATTCGGTGCCTGCGGTGATGACCATGATGGACGGTCGGCCAGGGAGCTATGACGTATGAGACTGGCAGTCGGCGATCTCGGGCGAATTCCGGGAACGAAGACAAAGAGACGATGCGTTGTCGCACCGCCACAAGCCAAACAACAATTACTCTTGCCCAGACCGGCTAGGTCGTCGCCTCCACGGAGCGGAGTAAGTCTGGTCGGCGTCCTTTCTTTGCCTTGTGATTGTCGTGCGCAGCGTACGGATACAAACTTCGTCCGCAAATTGTCGGTCGCTGCTCAAACACCTCCTCCAATGCCTCCTCCAATTCCTAGTTGTGTTTCGAAGATGCAGATACCCTTACGTGCCAATGCACCCCGTGGAAAAGCAAGTGGCTGGAAGGTCCATCCATTCCTTTCGGCCGTACTCCGTACTCCTGGAACTCTTTTTCCGCCCTCGCGGTCGCCCATGGTTGCTCGATGAGTGGTCGCTGGCTAAATCAATAGATCGAAATTAGCGGGTGGCGGAAAACTCAGAGGTTCTCCCCACATCGGCCCAGGCTACCGCGTTGCTGTGGTGCCACCAGCAGGATCGCGCTACACAGGTTGCTTGAATCGCGACGGTCGTCTGCCGACTCGACGCTAGAAAAAACCCGTCCGACCGTGAGTGGTCCAGCCTTGACGCTGAGGCATCGAGATGTGGCTCGAGAGGGCCATGAGCCACACCGGCGGTGGGCTGATTTTAGTGCCAGCCCCCAAGCACAAATCACGATCTTGGGCCGTGAGGATCGGACCCATCGCGTCGATCCCCTGCATCCTGTCGGTCAAGGGCCCTAAGACCCTGCCCGCTTCCTGGTCTTGTTTGTATTCCCGGTCTTCACAGCTTGGCCTTTTGGGCATCCAGGATCCCCTCCTTCCTGACGTAGGTGGTGCGACCGAGCTTTGGCTTCAGCATTGTCCTTGGTCCAACCTAGGTTCTCAAAGTCAGTCCACTCACTAGGTACAGGTACGGATAGGGGAAGCAGTAAAAGAGCAACACGAACTACCGTAAGCGAAACTAAAGCTTTTTTCCTAGCTCCAGTCCCATGGTTAGTAAAATAAACCGCCATGTGACTAGGGGTTCAAGATTGTTGAGTAAAAGTGGGATCAACCACCACGGTATCCCCCATCGCTTCGAATCTCAGCCACTGGCCGTGCTGGCGGGCTCCTTGGGCAGCCTATGGGAGACACGCAGGGGATGAAGTGGATCGAGGTGAGCCACGGCGTCTGGGTCGGGTAGATAGACGAGGGGCTTCCTCCAGTCCAAGATTAAGGCTAGAGTGGAGCAGCCATGACTGCATGAATTGGCCCGTGACGGTGTCCTGAGCCACGTTGGCTGGGTAGGTGGTTTAGCGGGAGCCTGGAGGACTGGCGCCAGTGTTGATCGTCTCCAGAAGCAATCAGAGACACGCAGAAAAAATTGTTAATGGTAAATGAAAAAAAAGAAAATGAAAAGAAAAGGAAAAAGAAAAAAAGAGGAGCAAGTGACGGGAACTCCGAATGAACCCAAACCAGGAAGGCACGCCGGGCCGGGATTTGCGCTCGCCTTCTCTTCTTTCCTGCCATCTTTTAAATCTCGCCGATTCCCTCCTTGTTCCTCTCAATCTTTTCTCTCTTCCTCTGCAACTACTAGTCATCTGCTTCTCGCGTCTATTTTCATCGCTTGATACCCTCTGTCGCGACGTCTGTTCGATTGCTCCTCCTTGCGCTTTCATCCAGCCACTCCATCACAATGAAGACCTTCTCCCTTTCCCTCGCCCTTTTGGCCGCGGCCAGCATGGTCAGCGCCGATGTCTCCGTCACCGACTGCGCTGTATGTTTTCCAGTTGATACAATGGTTGATAAGGTCTTGCTGACAGCAGCGCGTGTTAGCAAATGTGCGTCAACAACATGAACAACAAGGCGTCTGAGCTGGGTTGCACCAGCGGCGACCTGTCTTGCCTGTGCAGCAAGGCCGACTACAGCTATGGCATCCGCGACTGCACTGCTCAGGCCTGCCCCAATGACGACGCCAGCGCTGTTGTCTCGTCTGCTCTTGCTTCCTGCCCCACCACCAGTATGTTGCCCTGTCGGCATATTTATAGATGTCGAGATGGATGCTAACTACATACCAGGCAGCGCAAACTCCGCTTCGGCTACCGGTGCTACTAGCACTGGCACTGGTGCTTCCGGTGCTGGCGCTTCCACGGGCTCTTCCGCGTCGGCCACCGGCAGTGACGCTTCGTCCGCTACTGGCAGTGGTACCTCCTCGGGCGCGACCAGCTCTGCCTCTGGAGCTACTACCAGCGGTGCTACCAGCGGTGCCACGACCGGCGCTACCACTTCTGGCGCTACCACTGAAGCGGTATGATTACTATCCTTGTGTGCCAAAGATATTATGCTAACGGTTCCTAGACCACTGGTGCTACCACCTCCGGCGCGACTACTCTGAGCACTGTCACCAGCACCATCTCTAGCTCCTCTTCCTCCGATTCTTCTTCCTCTAGCTCCACCTCCTCTGGCAACGGATCCGGTTCCCAGACTGGCAGCTCTTCCAACGGCTCTGGCGACTCCTCCACCGCGACCGGAACTGCCCCCTCGTCCTCTGAGACCTCGACGGGCGCTGCTCCCAAGCTTGCTGTTGCCGGCAGCGGAGCCGTCGGAATTCTCGGTCTGGCCGCTATGTTCCTTCTCTAGATGATTGACGATGCCCGGATGATGCGATAGCCTGGAGGTTCCATGGCGCCAAGCGGGCCCGTCAAGACCTGACTTGGATTGTTTCACTATCATGCTTTACGACTTCTACGTTTCGATTGCAGCTTGTATATGTTAATAAGATGGGTCATACCATAATGGCTAGTAGATAATTTGCGCTGTCCAGGACCTGGTCGTGGAGCAGCAGCATGGACGGGGTAAATGGTTGGCCAAGGTTAGGCAATGCAGCTTGTTGAATGATTACACTCTTTTCATGTGCTCTGGTTTATTGTTTGTGGGTCGAAGTGAATAAAATAAGTTCTGGCCAACGCTCGGACGGCTGATCTTTTGTTGTAACGTAGTGATGATGTGATCCACGCAAGCTGATCATCCCTGTCTGTGTGATGGGCTGATCCCACGGCTTGGCAACCGTCACTGTTCTGGCGCAGCGCCTCAATGTATTGCATGCAGGGACTTAGCTGGCGCAGTGGCACAACGAGTTATGATATGATTCGCAGCCAAGGTAACAAGATCTATTTTACAATTGGAGCAGCTGATGTGTGGCGCGGATTACGCCGTGCATGTGTGCTTCTCTGGTTGCCATCAGGGCGCCAGCTCCACTCCCCGCCTACCTTTTAGGTGAGTTCAATTTTACTGACGGCAGAATCCTCACCGCTTTAGTATAGTGCCTGGGGTACTTGGGGACTTCAGGATAAATCTTCAATAGACTACCTTCATGTTTTCAAATATCTTGCTCAGTCCTTGGGCTCCTGGCTCACATATTACCGAGGAAGGTGTGGATGGATAACAGAAACAAATGAGTCCATTACAATAGGTAAGGATCAATGCCGGTTCATTCGATCCCCACACAGAGCTGATAGTTTGGTGCAATTTATATATTGAAGGTCACCGTAACTAACCTTAACATACAACAGAACCACTTCAGGCTAATTCCACCAGCTATAGTAGAGACGCCTCGTTACCATGCACAAGGTGAATCGGTGGGATTCGGTGTTGCGAATCGGTGCTTACAAGCTCCATCTCACGCGAGCTTATTCCTCCGAGTCGGCTCTGTAACGCCTTGTCAGAAACGGTACTGTACCAGCACCTGGAATATACGGCGACAATGCATGTGAGCAGTTCATCTTGCTAGTATGGGCGAAAAATATTTAAGGAATCAAGCCAAAATAATGTCTCTGTTAACCACAACAAATTCGTACCTAAGGCCTCCTGGTACTCCCTCACTTGCAATCCGACGACCATGCCTTCAGCCTGTCCAACGATCTCCCTACCCGCTCGGCAAAGTGCCATCGTGGCCCAGGGCCCGGGAAAGCTTGCGATCCAGCACGACGTCCCCATGCCTCCTCTAGGTCCAGACATGGTCATTGTAAAGACTGCCGCGGTAGCCATCAACCCCGTCGATGCGAAGATGCTCGACTACAGCGCGGCCCCCGGCGCCGTCCTCGGCCACGACTTCTCCGGCACTGTGGTGGCCATCGGCTCTGACGTCCAGGCAACCAAACACCTTGCCGTCGGTGATAGGGTGGCTGGGGTGGTTCATGGCATGAACAAACTGAAGCCAGATATCGGGGCCTTTGCCGAGTATGTGGGTGCGTATGCGGACATTCTGCTTAAGATCCCCGACACTATGAGTTTCGAAGAAGCGGCATCGTTCGGAACGGGTGTTGCTACTGCGATGATGGGGCTGTTTCAGGAACTGGCTCTGCCCATCGAGTCTTTGGAGATGCTGCATGATCATCATTCTCAATCTATCGTTGACGGGCCCGCTGAGAAAGACGGAAGGAAGTTTGTTCTGGTCGCGGGCGGGAGTACAGCAACTGGAACGCGCGCGATTCAACTGCTTAAGCTGTGAGATAACTACTCTCTATTCTGTTGTCCATGAAGGCTTCTGACCGTAACTCAGGGCTGGCTTTCGTCCGATCGCCTCTTGCTCAAGGTCCAACTTCGACCTGGCGCGGAGATTCGGCGCCGAAGAAGTCTTCGACTACCGCAGCCCGACCTGCGCGACTGATATCCGGGCTTACACTAGCAACGAACTAGGGTATGCTCTTGACTGTGTGACTCAGGCGGACACCACCCAACTCTGTTACACTGCCATGGGCCGTGCGGGGGGCCGTTACGTGTCTTTGGAACCATTTCGGGAGAACATTGCCCAGAGTCGGTCGCTGACGATCCAACCATCGTGGTTGATGATGTTGACTATTTTCGGACATAAAGTCCCCTTGGATGGAGTGTATGGGCGTGAGGCGCGGCCCAAGGACCGGGAATTTGGGGCTCGGGCATTTACGGCGGTGCAGGGGCTGTTGGACCGGGGGCTGATTGATGCCCATCCGATCAAAGTGCAGAGCGGATCCTGGCAGGGAGTGATGCGTGGGGTGGAAATTATTCGCAACCAGGCTGTGTCGGGTCAGAAGCTTGTTTATACTGTTGTGTAACTGTTGATTATTAGCTAGTGGTGAAAGTCTATGCCAATTGCTTTTACGCTGCAAATATGTTATCTCTCAAGATGGTCCGTAGATGACCGTAGTACTACAATAGTGGTAATTAAAGTGCGATTAGGATGTCTGTCGTCAATAATTGACTTGTATCATGAAGAAACTACCCTGCCAGAGAGCCATGTATGTGTGTCAACCGTCAAGATCCACCGATTCAGGAACACTGTGCATATCTGGCCTCTCGGTTGCAAGGCTGACAGTCGCTTATGATCACGCTTGGCCCCTAAAAATAGAGGAAACGCCGTTAGTTCCCACGTGGGGCAGATCGATGACAGCTCGGCACATTAGTGAAACATGTCCGATCACCGAATCAGGCTGTGCTATCGGTGGAATCGGTATGTTTCTACATTGTGAGTGCGTTCGGGCATTACTGACGTATGTATGTGAGATTGTTTCAAGTTTTCGGCTTCAGGGGCCGAGCTGCAACCACAAGCCCACAAAAGAAAAACACTTAGTATATTATTGTCCTGCATTCCACACTATGTACTATCCAGATGATTACTTGGCGGCATCATCAAGCCTTTGACGGAATTCACTCTCTGCTCCAAACCTACGCCACCGAACGTGACCGCCATGACACCGTTCGCTCAATTCCTGGGGTTGCTCCCGCTGGCCACGACTGTGTTTGCCTATAACAATATATGTGATACACTCAATTCTCAAATCCCCGATCGAGTCTGGTACCCCAGAAACCAGAACTATTCCGCGTCACTATCCTCTTACTACACTAGTTTCGAAAGACAACTGGATCCCAGTTGCATCTTTAGACCAACAACCACGGCCGAAGTGGTAGACTTTGTCAACATCATCACCGAAAATGCCAGCACCACGTCGTCACGGCCACAATTTGCCATCCGCGGAGGCGGCCACACACTGTTCAGCGCAGCGGCCAATATCAACGGGAGTGTCACCGTTGACATGCGATCAATGAACTCCCTTACCCTTAGTCCAGATCTTAAGACAGCCTCCATCGGTGCTGGAGCCGTCTTCAGTGATATATATCCCCAACTTACGCCATACAACCTCACCGTGATGGGTGGCCGACTTCCCGGAATTGGCGCTGGTGGATTCACAACCGGAGGTGAGTAAATCCAGACCACAAATCCCACATCAGGATTCTCACCTCCTGCCCTCCCCTCCAGGCGGTCTAAACTTCCTCGCCCGCGAGCACGGTTTCTCCTGCGACAACATCTACGGCTACGAAATCGTCCTCGCCAACGGCACCGTTATCTACGCCAGCGCATCCTCCCACCACGACCTCTGGCTAGCCCTCAAAGGCGGCTCCAACAACTTCGGCATCATCACGCGATTCGATCTCGCTGCCTTCCCCCAGGGCCTCATGTGGGGTGGCGTCATCATGTACAACTACACAGCCAGTACCATGGCCGCCCAAGCCAAAGCTTTCACTAACTTCATGAACCCCGACCACTTCGACAGCGCCGCGGAAATGGCGGTCCTCGTGAACTACGAGGACGGAGGCTTTACCATTGGAAATAGTCTCTTCTATACAAAACCCGTCGCTTATCCGAAGGTTTATCAGCCGTTTACCTCCCTTCCGGCCCCGACGTTCAACGATCTGAGCTTCAATAATGTTAGTGGGATGGTTACGAAGTTTGGGTCGTTTCTCCCAACGTCTGCGGAGCGGTATGTCCCCCCCCCCTCCTCCCTCCCTATGTCCCTTCGAACTACACCTCCGAAAGCCCAACATCACTAACCCAATGACCACACTCAGAGCAACCGAACTCGTCTACTCCTTCCATAACGCCAACACAACCACCTACAAACAACTTATCAAAATCTACCAAGACGGATGCGCCCTCCTGAACAACATCCCAGGCCTATTGGTGCAATTCATGCTGCAACCCCAACCCGTCACCAACGGGACCAACTCCCTCGGTCTCACGCCCGGGGAAACAGACCTCGTGATTGGCCTCGTGTCCATCGCGTACGATAATCCCGCCGACGACGACAGGGTCTTCTCTGTCCAGGAAGCGATCGTGGATGCGCAGACTGCTCTCTTGGAAGAAGCGGGATTGTTGATCCCGTTTAAGTATTTGAATTATGCGGATGTGTCGCAGGATCCGTTTGGGAGTTACGGGGAGGAGAATAGGGAGAGGCTGAGGGAGGTGAGTAGGAGGTATGATCCATTGGGGGTGTTTCAGTGGGGGGTGCCGGGGGGGTTTAAGCTTTTTGATTAGGG